CATGCAATTTGACGTTCACCAACAAGCTCTCCACCAAGGTTCGATTCGGCCTTATGGAGCACCACACTTTGATATCGGCTCTGCCGCTAGCCAAGTGGAGGTCCCGAGGTGCTGCTGGAAACCTTTACCTGCGGCTTTGTTCGGGGCACGCTTGGACTGGTCTGCGGAAACGTCGCGGGACGGCCGGCAGAGCCGAAAGGCAATTCATTAATTCACTATTGTTACGGTACCTGGAGCGTCTCAACCAAGCTTGTTCAAAACCGAGGACCACGGTGGAGTCTTCAGATTGTCAGCAAGCCACCCGTTGCGGTGCTGGTGCTGTGCGGGAATGCCTTCGGCGCTCCATCCCATCAAGCCACACATAAGCCAATGTGAATTTCCTGCCATCTGTCTCCCTGTGACGAACAATTGGCCGATGCACAGACCTCTGGACATGGACGGTTCCCCCAGGCGGCGTTAGCTTAGCGGAAACACCAACGAAGCGCGTACAACATGCAATACTGATTCCGGATTGTAAATCGACGGTATGAAGGCTCGACTGGGGAGATGGCTGCACGCCTGGCTCGCCACGCTAATAGAGAAGACGGCACATAGTCAACGTGGACAAAAGCGAGAGTTGAAAATGCCCCCCCGGCCGAGAGATGCAATCCTGGATACAGCCATTTATCCCAACATTCACCCGTCACATACATGACGACATACAATTCCGGGGGACAAAAGCCCACGCTCACGACAAACCTCGAACCGGGGGGATTGATGGTACAGGTTGCGCCTCCATGCGCCCCCGTGGTCTGGCTGTATCCCGTTTTGGCGTCGGGTTGCCGTCACACCCTGGTCGTGATGCCCTCTGCCGCCAAAGCCCCGCCTTCATGCTCCCCGGGTATCCAACAAGCCGCATGTGCTAGGCATTAGCGTTGCGCATCCACCTCTCAAGTGTGCCCAGCTGGGACGCTGCAGGCTGTTGTGGGCTGAAGGTGGCCAAAGGTAGCCATTTCTGGCCGGGCTGGCCTCAAAAGTTGACATTCCTGCTTTTGTCTTCAAGCCCAAGCTCGCACGACTCTTGGCTTGGCTGAACTGGGCTGGGCCGGCCGGGCCCTTCCCAGCCGATGTTTACCTGACCTACCAGAGCACAATACACAGACACCAGGGCGCCGTGGCGTTATTTCGTGTTGCTGAGGAGTATGGACTACGGAGTAGTTTGGTACCAGACGCTAACTGATCGGCCGTAGGGACGCTGCCATCGCCCGCTGCCCATCACCAGCCGACTCCTTTTGGATCCAACAGCTAGACCTTGTCAAGCCACCGGCTCTCACTTCAGCGACTTACACGAACCGTGCAAACACACCCACAGCGTCGGGACAGCCTTGCATTTTTTTGGTCCCCAAGGGTCAGTTCGCTGTTCCTGCCTATTACTTCTAGAGACGCGAGTTGGTCTAATTTGACGTGACATGACCCTTGATAGCTAAGCTAGCCTTGCTCTCTCGCGTCAGTCTAGGCATTGTTAGCAGCTTTGACCTGGTGGCCGTGGACTGGCCGAGCGCATGGAACTTGGAACATCGCCTCGAAACACAGACTTGGGCGGGCGGCCAGCAGGTTTCTATCCCGAACCCTCTGCTCTGTGATTACTACGGGGTGCCTTGGTACGTATCCATCGGCATTTCTTTTACTGGCAGCCATCTCCATTTGGACTCCCATTTGAACTTCTGCTCTGTCCATTCTACGTGTTGGCGGACCATGGCGCTTTACACCACATATTTTTTCCCCCCTTAGCACTTTCCCCCCAATAGCACATCCTGGCTCCAGATCTTCATTTCCGGATGGCTTCATACAAATACCATGTCCTGCTCAGTGATCTGGCCGACCATTGCATCCGCAGTCGATCCTATCCGCTTTGCGCCCCCTGGCTCCTTTTATTATCATGCAGTCCACCCGTATGTATGTACGGAGTACTAGTGGTATCGCGTTTCCCCCACACGCCCCTTCTGGATCTTGAGATGTGGTCACGGTCACGACTGCTCACCACACCCCCATCCCTGCATCAACCACCACAACTGCCAAGACGCACACAGGCGTCCTTGTTCGCATTTCCTGTCATTCGCCACCCTTGCAGCGTCAGGATGTCGGGGTTCTCAACGCCCATGGCACCAACTAGGGCTGCCTAGCCCGGTGCCCATCTCCATATGTCAACCCTGGCAACTGGCTTGTCCCCAAGATACCCGGATGGAGCCGCTTTGCCAGTTTGCTGGGTTTGGTCGCCGTCCTCTGAAATCGACGGCAGGAGACTGAAGGGGATGCACTGCCTTCGTACCGTTCGTCCAATCTGCTGCGCCAGAGAGGCCCTTGGCCTGTTTTGGCCGTCCTGGAGGTCATATTGCGGCACCTACCGGGCATGCCTCTGATGCTATCGCTTGGAATCCATGTTGAGCATGGACGAAATACCGGTTTCTTATTCACGCCATCCTGCTGGACGATATGATTACAGCTGCAATATGGCGGGACCCGCTTTCCATCTTGCGTTTTATCTATCTTCCTATGTTGACGTGCATCCCAAGAAAAGAGGCTCACGGTGGACCGTTCAAAGCCGGATATCATCATTTAGCCTTCTTCTACTCCGTACTCCCTGCCCTTGCTTCCAATACTTCCAGTTGCTTTTTCCACGGTGGCCTTTGCCGTTGTACTTTGTATGCTTAGTACGAAGTACACAATCGTTTAGCTCTTAGGCCCGGTGGACGCTACTACTCATTCCACCAGCGCCCCTAGCTGGATGGTTGACCAGCATTGCGACTCGACGCAGGGCATACATTTGTAAACCATCTGCAGACACCAACCATCCCAGTCTCCAAAAGAAATGTTTGCCCATAAAAAGTTCATCCCTCCTGGCACACGCCCCATAACAACCCGAGACTTTGACTCTCCTGAATCTCACTTGCGTCTGAACCAGACTCTTGCCCTTCTCTTTACCGTGTCAGATATCCATTGCCATCAAGACTTTCAGTCTACTGCTTCCCGCCACAATCATACACATACAGTTTGCCAAAGCAAGTTTTCAACGGCGTTCTCATCCCAACACTAAGCTAGTTGTCTCTTGCAGAGCTTCATTTCCCTCCCTGCGAATAGTAGTTCGGAGGTTGTAGCCATTTACATCTCCACAGTGCTTAACCGTTAGAGGCGTGTGCCCGCTGCGTTCATGTAAGTCGATCTTTAACTTTCGATTCTATGTCTTCCCATAGTTTCCCAACTCAAGACCGCTGAATTCCCCTCATGATCAACCTTCCTGTGCCGTAAAGAGGCTTGCGAATTCACGCAGCATGCTGACAGAACCAGCTCAGCCTAATATTCGCTACAGAAACGCTTACCCGTCATATCTAAGCACGTAGGAAGCTACGGCGGAGAGAAGTAGTCCCAACGGGACATCTGACAGCGGGTTGTTCTGTATCACGAACATACGAGACTGCTTGGCATTCCTCCCTTTTTGTCCTCAGACTCCCGAAACTTGATTCCGTCAGGAATTTCCTCTCTACTCACTTCGTCTCCTCTCGCCAATGAGAGGATAGTTGGACTAGACATACTAGACCATTATTGTTCTAACAGAGTTGCTTGCCTCCCCATTTGAGAAGGTTGGACCGGGAAGGGCAAGACAACCCACGCTTCTTGTAAAGAGATCTTCTCTTCTTGGAATGCACCCGTTTCTGCTCTGGATCGGGACTGTCCTCTGCCACTGCCAGGATCTTTCATCGCGCCAGTAAGATGACCCCAGTCTTCCTGCTGTCTCACTCAAGCCCCCCTTCTGGGAGGGGAAAGAAGCAAACCCCCATGGGCGTTTAACTGACATGTCTCCGCAGCATAGCAAAAAAGCATACACCTCCACATTAGTCTTTACGCCTGTACCATTATCAAATCTCCGACAGAGACCAAGCGCTTCCCGAAGGCAAGGGAACCCCTCTTGACCGAGTGATTCTCTTGGATAAGACCTCGACGAGACCTAGTTTTAACAAGACCCGCGACCACCTTTTCTCCAACCCAAGACAGTGGTTGGCATTTTTCAATCATTTTTCCTTTCTATCTCTCCTAGATTATTTGTTTTGTCATCAACTTGCTACTATCCTTCTCGTCTGACAGCTTAATGTCTGTTGCTAAGGTTCAGTCTCCATACAAGCTCTTCGAGGTGAGTCGTGAACTTAGACGTTGTTCCAACATCTTGCACCAGCACGTAAGGATAGAAACGCTTTGGCTATTCTGATTCTTCCCCCTTCGTTTCCGGTCTCTGTCTATCTTCATCGTTTGCTGCATCTACCGTCTGCCGAACAATATTAGCAACAGCAGCTTGGCTTGTTGCTTGCCAGCTACGGGAGAGCACTACGTACGCCTGGCTGGTTCATTGGCTTGTGGTGACATAATTTGCACGCCATGAGATTGCGGCAATGCTAACAGGGTCTACTCACAGTTGGGACTCAACACAGATAGAACTATTATAGTTGGAGAAGACAACGGGCTCGATTCGCCAAACACTCTTGTACTGAAACACGAAGAGGCCGTTCGAGGAGCCGACGGAGGAGGTCCACGAAGGGGTTCTCTTACCATTTTAGACATGGCAACCTACGGTAAAGCCCAGCTACCCTCGGTGCCAGGTAGGTTTCCGATTTTCTTTTCCCAACGTATCCCGTTGTCAAAATGCGGCGGGGCGATCATGGTTGTGGCGAAAAGTGTACGGCCACTGAAGCTAGAATTCTGTGGAGTCTGTCTTTGGAAGCTACAATCGTCGCGATAAATTTGCCAATCTGGGATGTCTTTGGAAATATGGTGGTTGAGCTAACACTTGCTGTTGTAAAGGTTATGACGCAGCTCGATATCAAGATTCAACATACGACCAGTACCCATCTCAAAGCTTTTCTGTCCAGCAAACGGAAAAATATGCCCAGCTGAACCAGCAGTCCTTTGCATCTAACAATGCAGTCGCTCAATACATGCCCGCCGGGCCCACCGTGGTGTCTTGTCAGCCAATGTCCGGCGTATTCGGAACGAAAATCTTTATGAAGATTTCCTCGCAATACGATCTACTTCCCATATCATCTGCAATACCGTATTTCTCAGTTAGCTTTGGATCCGAGAAGGTGCCTGTTCAGGACTTCACCCGAGACGCTCAGGACACAACAGGCTTCGTGTACTCGTGCAGTGTAGATGCTCCGCAGCCATTGGTCACGGGCTGCAACGGCAACAACGTGCCTTTATCATTAATTGCTGAAGGTCCATCTGGAGAGGAAATCTCGCGGACGGGTGCAGGGTCTTTTCAGTATCTTGAAGGGTCTGGGGATGACATCACGCGGACAACCAAGCTTCCCAAGCATGACACAACGGCACCTGGGCCTCAAGTTGATCAGGCGAGTGCTTCGCCAAAAACAATAGACACTCAGCTGCCTCCGGACACAGCTACAAATAACTACGAGTACCCGTCGCAACAGAGCCAGTATGCAACGACATTTCCTCAGAGCAACGGCGACATGATTACCACGTACAGAAGCAGCAGCTTTGCGGAGCCACACTATCGACGTTCCGCGCCGTCCTGGAGCGGCTATGGCGGGCCTTTGGGGAGCACGAGAAGCTCCTTGGATCACTCAGCAATGAGTAGTGGGCGGCCAAGCTTGACGCCACTCCCGATGCCTTCCTCCGCTGGCAACGGGGCCCCACAACTTATCCGCACCAGTACCATTGCCAACGGGGCAAGTGGCAATGGATCCTATCATCACATCTCGCTCTACTCCAGCAAGGCTGTTCTCAAGATCATAGGCAAGTTGGATACCATGGCCGAGCACTGGAGCGAAGAAGAATGGGAAAATCGACGCCGCATTGTCATGTTTCGCAAGTCTCAAGCGGGTTCAACTTTGACGGCTAATTTCCGAGCTGTTCCGGTCAACGAACGACCACAAAACAGTATCTGTATCTCGTGTATCTGGTGGGCAGAGAAACAGGAGTGCTACGTGACGTCGGTGGACACTATCCATCTGCTCGAGCAGCTTGTTGCCGCGCCCAATCGCTTCAGCGTCGAGGAGAAGAATCGAATTCGTCGAAACCTTGAGGGCTTTCATCCGTTAACAGTGTCCAAGTCGAAGCCTGACAGCGAAGAATTTTTTAAAATCATTATGGGATTTCCCAACCCCAAGCCTCGCAATATTGAAAAAGATGTCAAAGTATTTCCGTGGAAGATCCTCGAGCCAGCACTCAAAAAAATCATTGGCAAGTACAGCGCCAGCCCGAGTAACTCTCTGCCTCACGGCAGTATGATGACACCTGTGAGCACAACTCCGTATGCACCTCTGCCAACACCTCCAGGACACGGTATGGCCTCGCAGCAAAGCCTCCCATCTCAGCATGGTGATACTCATAGCCAGTACTCGGTGCACTCAGGCCATCATGACCCCATTCCATCACCAAGGTCGCTGTCAGGATCACAGTCCACGTGGACACCATACACCACGGCGCCAGCATACGCAACATCTGCACGCGCTCTGAGCCCTACGAACCGACATGCCAGCCCGCAGCAAGGCCATCAACATGCGCCTCCCATGCGTATCAATACAAACCCGCTGCCAGCGGTCACCACATACGATTCTCGAACCGTTTCGACCGCAGGATACAGCTCAAGTGGCTTGCACACGCCTATCAGTCAACACCCGTCCTCCACAGCAACACCACCGCGTTGGGACAGCACATCAGCAAGTTATTCGGACAGCTACTCGAGTCTAACCTCACACCACCAGCCCGGACCTTCTGTGTATAGCACCGGGGCTTATGGGGATGGTGCTACTCGAGTCTAAACTGTGAATAATATCAAAGCATGGGTCGAGGGGCCGAGTGGTTCAGTGCTTCCCTTGCATGGCGGGAGGTGAACATCCGGGATCTCCTTACCCACCATGACAGGACAGATGTCGTTCGTGTGCAGTGAGACTGCATGCCTCTCAAAAATCGATCCAAGCCAAGAGGAAAGCGAGGCTTGCAGTGGCCTCGTGAGGCCGTCTCTGGACTCTGGAGGGTCAGACGGGAGAGTCAGGTGATCATAGCCTCATAGGTGGTTTGAGGATGTGAGCGGTTCGTTGTTGTTGGCCAGTCCAGCCAATCACAACCCCACGTCACTCACACACCTCCCACTGCTACAAGGCGGATGTGGGGATGGCATCGCGTCACACTGGCCGGGCCAGGTGCCTGGAGGCTGTTCACCTGCCGGCCGCCCCCCATTCGTTGTGTGACCAGACCAAACGAGCCACATCCGCCGGCTTGTAATCCATCTACTTGGGCTCCAAACCGCGACCTGCGCTTCTGCGGCTGTTGGGACCGAAGCATTCTGAACTCTCATTGTGTTTCGTCGGCGACCAACCTTTTTACGCTCTCCCTGCTGTTCTGCGCGGGTTTGGGTGCCTTATTGTCCTACGACAATATTTTAAAGCTCTCTCGGCATATATTGTGTGTCATGCCATCGGATTAGGCTTGCTTTGCTGTGCTACCGGAATTTTTTATTGATTGGTTCTTCGTACCCCGGCCGCGTCATTACTTGGTTGACATGACAGTCTTTGTGTGCCTGACATGGCTCAAAGAAAAGTCAAGTGTCTCACAATTGGTTGTATCGTACTTGACAATGGCACTTTTGACTTGTACCTTGAGTCTGGGATCTCTGTTTGAGAGGCATATATATAACAGATATATACCCTTGCGGATGAGTTTTGTGTTTGTTTGGATCTTGATAAGTTTTGGTGGCATATATGCCTTACCTGCACGACGTGTTTGGATTTTTGTGTTTTGGATTTTTCTCTTCTTCTTCTGCTACCGGCATCAGAATGATTCTAGCTTTATGTCATGTCATGGCAAGAGTGGGAATCGGAGGGGATTTTTTTCATACTAGGTCTGGGATAACGGGGTCGTTGGAGGTACGGTGTTGCGGAATATCATTTAAGAGCGGGAATTTGGGATACTGGCAGATTGCAATAAGGAATGCATCGTCCTGCCAAGGTCAGTCTGGGAATTGAAGGTACATGGATCATGATAATATTAAGCTGTTAATAATAATTTCTTCTACTTATGGCGTGGTTGTTCTCATGCGTTGTGCCATGCCGACTGGGGCCGGCGATGCCAATGATTAAATGTGGCCTTGTCCACTTGTAGTGTGTGATATGCACCGGACAGCTTTACAACTACGTATATATGTAACCTTTGGGTGATTTCCCAAGGCTGTTGGGCAGAGACGAGTGTGTATTTGTGTGGCTAGTAGTAAGTTAGTTATCTAGCACCTCTATTTGAAAACAGTTGTACGGGACAGCAGGGAAACACAAAATTTCTGTATCAATACAGCTACTTGGAGGACTAATACTATATACGAAAGGGTAATTATCCACATTCTGACGACTCTCCCTGCACCGTGAATCATGTACATGTACATGTCCCACCCATCACTTATGGTCACAAGTTCACAACAACGGCTCTCATCGCCTCCAGCTAGAGCACCCATTCACCAGCTACAGCGGTTTCCCAATCAGAAAGCCTACTGAACCCGAATACTCTCCCAAGTGCCAGTCTTGTCCCCGTACACATACTGCGTTGCAGCCCTCCCGGGCCCGTCGCCACCGGCATAATCAGTAATGGTAACGCTCTTGTAGTAGGCGACGAAGGGCTTCTTGCTCCAATCAGCATACCCGCCGGCCCAATCGATGGTTCCCTGGGCAGAACCTGGTTTGCCGGCTACCCATGTGCCTAGCTTGATTTGCATTGGAGTTTGGGGAAAGCCTGACGAGGTGCCTGCCTTGCAGTCCTTGGCGAGGAGGGTGCGGACAGGCTCGCCATCGATGGACCACACAAGCTGTGTCTTTGTCCACTCGATGGTGTATCTGTGTGCCGAGCCGGTGGGATTGCTGACGTTGTGGAACTTGCCGCGGTCGTAGGTGGACGTGTTTCCCTTGGAGAAGTAGTTTGTTTGGACACGGGCGTTGTCACTTCCGATGATTTCCCAGTCAATCTGGGCGAATCGGCATCAATATCTGTTTTCTTATTCGATAGGAAAAAATACGGGCTCGGGAGCCTACATACCTCGTCGAGATCGTCGGACTGGAGAACGGCGCTGGTGACGATGCCGGCCCCCGGAGCGGCCTGAATGTCGACTTCGAACTTTCCAAAGAAAATGTACTTGGGCGTCTCGATGGTAGGAGCATCTGTCTGCTCTTCAATCTTGAACGCGGCGCCGTTGACTCCATGTGTGATGGTTGTTGTGCCAGCACTGGGCGTGAATACACCACAGGTGCCTTGGACAAGGTCACACGATGCTCGCTGGTTGCCGAACGCAGAGTTGGGGGGACATCCTGTCCACGTCGTGGTCAGCAAACATGACACTGCTTCTCTGGGGGAATAACAAGAGGAATATCCGTCTGCGTACCGTCGCGCAGCTGCGGGTTGCATCTGCTAAATGACTGTCCAAGGGCGACGTCGGCCGCCGCAATGGCCAGGAGCGTTGCGATGGTGCTGGAGAGCATTCTGTGCTGTTTGGCGCGGCACAGTTTGGCGATAGGGAAAACACTTGGTGTTGTCAAAAGCAACTTCTTAGGTGACTGAGGAAAAACAATTCGCGTCAACAATAACGAAAATAAATCTCGTATGCAGTGTAACGATGCAACCGCCTGTCACAAGCTGTCCCACATGCTTTTATGTAGATTGCATGCCGCTTGCCTGAGCCGCAGTCTGTCTCTTTTTAGTTTGTTCCTCTTGAAATTGCGGTGTCTTGAATGAATGCCGATCAGAACGCAGGGACGTGTGGGTAAAGGAGGAGCATCCTATCCCTCCTTTTGTGTTTACTATTTTTATTTTTTGAATGATGTCTTTGCTTTTTTTTAAGGGACGAGACAGGATGTTGGCGTGTTTCTGAAGGGATATGCAAGTGTACCGATCGAGAGGGTTTGGGGGTCTGGGCAAGGGGCCGCGATGCGAGATGGACAAGGAAGGCGTGTTGGGAAGGCGTGTTGGGAGGACGGTATGCAATGTATACAATGTACATGATGTGTTGTTGGTTGGGTCAAGAGGGATAGTGCCAGGGTCGAAAATACGAGCCTGGTTCATTCTGAGTAGCTTGACAAGTTGGGTTGAAGCATATCGACGAATGTTGATGCTGTCAAGACGTCGGCTGCAGTCGTACTTTTTTGTACGGAGGAGACAAGAGCATCTGCATGCGCACAATGATGGAATAGACCACTCGCATGTGTTACTGTTCCACCAACTTGGCATGGGGAAGACGATCAACTATGCGTTTCTTGAAGATAAGGGCAAGTCAATACCAGAACCTGCACATGTGTCCGACATTCCCAGGCACCATCATCTGCCAGCCTCCTCAAATCTGGGGCATGTTGGACGAAGGGTTAGGGTTAGGGTTAGGGCTTACAATATCGCGCCAAGCGGAATGAACAATACATTGACACTGTACTCCGTAACACACACCGTTAATGCCTTCACTTGCTGGTAATGTGCAATGCTTTCGTCTGCACCACTCTGACATACTAACTCGACTGATGCAATAACGTTCATGGTACGCGATTCCTCCCGAAACCGGCCCGCGCCGGCTCGAAAAGCTCAGTCTGTTGGTCACAACGCCCCTCCACAGTTAGAGTTACAGTTTGACAGGTCGATCCGATTCATTCCCTGATCCTAGCGATTAGTTGCTCCATGCGGAGCATCGAAGCTTGGGGGATAAAGTCTGGTCAGTAGCTTATCGCAGCTCAACAAACCAATCGACCCCCAGCGCCGATACAAGACGGGGTCTCTGCCCCAACTCCCAGCTGCACGCTTCCGCCTCACTACTCCGTAACTCGCCATCATCGCACCTCATCCATCGACATCGACCCCATTCGACTTCATCCGCCCTCATGCTCCGCGCCCGCCCCATGCTCGCGTCCTCCCTCCGCAGCATCGCGCGCATCCCGACACAGCCATCCTCAACAACTCCAACCCTCGCCGTCTCCCGGCCCATCATCGCCGTTGCCGCACGGTTCGCCAGCTCCTGCTGCAGCTCTGCCCCTCCATCAAACGCCTTGGCGTTGAGGACCTCCTCCTTGTTATCCCCCCCTTCCTCCTCCTCCTCGTCATCCGCCTTCTTCACTCCCTCCGCCTCCCACCTCTCGCCATCGCCATCCTCACACTCCTTCACCACCCTCAGAATGTCGCCCGACGGCTCGCCCCCCTCGGCCGAGGAGGTCTCCAAATATCTCCGCCAGTCCCACGACCGCCTCTTCGAGCACAACCGCGCCTGGGCCGCCGAGAAGGCGGAAAGGGACCCCGGCTACTTCGCCAAGCTCGCCGAGGGCCAGTCCCCCGAATACCTCTGGATCGGCTGCAGCGACTCCCGCATCCCCGCCGAGCAAATCACCGGCCTCGAGCCCGGCGAGGCCTTTATCCACCGCAACATCGCCAACCTCGTCTGCAACACCGACCTCAACGTCATGAGCGTCATCAACTACGCCGTGCGCCACCTCGGCGTCAAGCACATCATCGTCTGCGGCCACTACGGCTGCGGCGGCGTCAAGGCCGCCATGACCCCCAAGGACCTGGGCCTGCTGAACCCCTGGCTGCGCAACATCCGCGACGTCTACAGGCTGCACGAGAAGGAGCTCGACGCCGTCGCCGACCAGGAGCAGCGCTATAACCGCCTCGTCGAGCTCAACGTCGAGGAGCAGTGCCGCAACATTATCAAGACGGCTGCCGTCCAGCAGAGCTACGCCAAGAACCAGTTCCCCATTGTCCACGGCTGGGTCTTTGGCTTCCACGACGGCCTGCTCAAGGACCTCAAGATTGATTTCCAGGCCGTCCTGAATGACGTCCAGAAGATTTACAATCTGGCTGATGCCTAGGGAAGAAGGGGGCGGGGTGGCGAGGCAACGCACACACGCATTGCATGGCCGGAAACAAGACTGGATAACCACCAGCCACTTGAAAAAGAAAAAAGAAGACCTGATTTTGGTTGCCCCTGCGCAACTGGTGTAGAGTAGTAGTTGTGAAATGAGCGATTGGGTGTTGGGCTAGGCTACATGGCATGAGCCAGCGGATGCGGACATGAATTAACACGGGACCCGGAGTTTGGTGATGATGATGGGAATAAAGTCAACAACAGGACAGACGTCTTACTTGGGCCAGAATAAAAAGGAAGAATTGCATTCATAGACTGTCTATTTCGTGCTTTTCCACTTTGCGACTCCTGCCCCCCCTACGTGTCTGTTGTCTGTGCCACCCTCCGTCCATCCCATCCCATTCATCTGTTGAGAGGGCGGGCAACTTGACTCTACACAATCTCCCACCAGGTTCGATGAAATATCAACATGAAAAGACGTAACTTGCTATAAATGCAGCCATGCCAACCTCGTCAACAACCTAGCCTCCCTTCCACAAGGTCCATGTATTCCCTTTCATACCCAACTCAAAGCTCTAGCGTAGGATTTGACGACACTGACATGCTTTTGACGTGTGTATATTCGATATCATTTTTTTATCAATTTCATTTGTTGCTAACTGCTGTACACTACCAAATGTTCTACTGCTCATGCGTGGCCAGGGGTCAGCGGTCAGGGGCCGACAAGCGTCTTTAGAAGCCTTATTAACAAAATTTCTTCAGCTACATGCAATGTGTAAAAATATATGATTCCCTTCTCTTTATTATGTCGACACAGATTAACACCTCATGTATTAAAAACTTCCTTCTCTTTTCCAGCATATTCGTGGCAATTAACTTTACACATGTTCAGTCCCCTGAACAATACCCTGGTTACCGCGCGAAGAGCTGTATCGAGACACGGAATCGCCAGTATCCTTTCGTGAGAATGAAGCCCAAGTCTTGAAGCTGGACACGGACAAGGTCTTGCGGAACTTGGGTCCTTGGTCATCCGGGCCTCCCTGACCCCATGCGCCGCGTTGAACTGGGCGATCCTCGAGCAGGTGGAAACGCCGCTTGATAAATTTCCATGCCTCGATTCCGGCAACAAAGGTGATGGTGAAGCCAACGGACAAAGCCCATTCCCACGAGATGCCCTTGTGTTTGAAGAACTTGGTGTTGAGGAAGGGGATGTACACGACGGGAAACACTGACAAACCACCCAGAATAACAGACCAGAAGAGAAACCTGTTGCTGTACAAGTCCTTGAAGACGGGGAATCGACTGTCGTCGTCGGGATTGAGGTGGAACATGGATCGTCGCAGACTCTTAAACTCCCAGGCTGAGATGAGGATGAGCCACGTTAGTTCGGCAAAGGTGGCCGCGCGAGCCCTGAAGACGGCATCGCAAACATCAGTGTATTCAGTGTTGCAATTTTCGCCCAGGTCGCCGTTATTAGCGCCGTAGATAATGATGCAGAAAGTGCACATTGTGCAAGCGCCCATGATGACTCCGTACACGATCATATCGACGATGATCTGGTTCGTGAAAACACCCCGTCGTTTGTCCTGTGGTGGTTTGCGCATGACATCGACGGCAGCAGCCTCTCGGCCTAGACCAAAGGCAGGGAATGAAGACGTAACCATGTTGATCCAAATGATTTGCAATGGTGATACTGGGAAGACTGAGAAGCCTGTGTGGTCGACAAAACCGAGACCGGCGATCAAAAGAATGACCTCGCCCACGTTGGAGGTGAGAAGATGCAAGACAAACTTTTGAATATTGTCAAACATTCGGCGGCCTTCACGGATGGCGGCAACAATAGAATTGAACTTGTCGTCAGTCAGGACAATCTTGGAAGCTGACTTTGCTACATCAGAACCAGAGCCCATGGCGATACCGACATCAGCACGAGAAAGGGATGGAGCGTCGTTGACACCGTCACCCGTCATGGCCATAAATGCTCCACGTCGTCGAAGTGCTTCAATCATGCGAGTCTTAGTGTCGGGAGCACAGCGGGCAATGACGAGGGGAAGCTCCTCGAGGGCGTCGATTTGCTCATCCGTCATCTTGTCAAAATCGGTGGCTTTCTGAACAATGGACTGGGCAACCTTTTCGGGCAGGACACCAAGGTTCTTGGGAATGATACCGACTTCCTTGGCGATAGCCTTTGCAGTTTCGGGGTGATCACCGGTAAGCATGTGAACCTTGATACCGGCTTGAGAGCACTCTCCAATGGACGGTTTTGTCTCACGGCGAGGAGGATCATAAATGCCAGCAAGCCCAAGTAAAACAAGATCCTTTTCAACATCGCCGCGAAGCTTCTCATCTTCTGCGGCGGATGACGACTGCTTTGCCGTAAATCGACCACCCCATGGGCGGTAGGCAATGGCAAGGACTCGCTGACCCTGGGAAGCCAGAACATTCATCTGGTTGAGAACATCCTCTTTGAGTTGGTCGGAGATTGGCTGCTGCTCGGCACCAGTACCAATGTACGAACATAAATCTAGAATTCTCTCCACGGCGCCCTTGGTGAAAACCATGCTCTGCTCGGTTTCAATGATGGAGCCGGCTTCGCCAGCAGGTGCATCGTAGATCACAGACATACGTTTGATGGAGCTGTCAAATGGAAATTCGGCAAGTTGTTTCCAGCCTTTTGTTTCAAGGCTCTTCTTGCCCTTATTGAAGCGATGAGCAAAGACTTGAAGCGCAATTTCGGTTGGCTCGCCAGTAGTCTGCCATTTTTCTTCCTCGTCATCATACCGGACAGTGGCAAGGTTGCAGAGAGCAGCAGACAGTAGGAATGCTTGAAGCTCATCCGTCATTGTAGTTTCGGGCTCTGCTTCGGGAGCTTGCTTGGCAGGCTTGGGGTTCAGCTTCTCGTCAGGGACATCGAACTTGAGAACAGCAGCACTGCGCTCTCTGTCGTAGTCGCGCTTGGGCTCCTCTTTTTCAACAGCAGGTTCGTCCTTGCTCTGAGAATATGTAACGCGGCCCTTGGTCGGGTCGCTAGGATTCTGCGATTCGCGGACGGTATAGTTGTGCGAGGACGGAATCCATGCCTTGCGAACAATCATGGCTCCTTCAGTCAGTGTACCAGTCTTGTCTGAGCAAATGTTGGTAACTCCACCAAGAGCTTCGAGCGCAGAGAGATCTCGGACAACTACGTTGGCTTTTCGCATGACGGTTACAGCGACCACCATGGTAATTGTCAAGACACTGTTGATGCGGTCAGAAATTTTGAATGTCGATATTGGGTGAGTCGAAACTTACGCCACGAGAGACTCGGGAATAATGGCGATGCCGAGGGATGTGGCATAAATGATGACTTCATTTCGCAAATTGAAGTGGTTGACTCCAAAGACAACCATGGCAAGAATAATTGCACAACCAAAAAGCACATAAGCTAGGGCGGACAACTTTCGCTGTAATGGAGTGCCTTCAGTCAAACCCAAGAACTTGCCGATGAGATCGTATGTTCGCTTGGCTAAGCCAACAAGTGGCTGTCTCTTCCCGTACTTACGCCAGTTCATAGATCGGCCAGCCTTTCGCCGCTTTTTGGCGGTAGAGGCCGCAATCTTACCCACTTCGGTAGTCATGCCAATGGCGGTGACGATACCTCGACCTCTGCCCTTTCGGACAACGGTTGTAGCGTAAGTCATGTTAACGCGGTCGCCGATACCCACTTCGGCCTCAGAAGTGGCAGCCTTCTCAGTGCCAGGAGCGAGGATGCTATTTTCGGTAATCTTTTCGACCGGGATGGATTCGCCGGTAAGCTGGCCCTCTTCACATGCGAGGTTCATGGCTTCAAACATTCGCATATCCGCGGGTACTGTGTCGCCCATCTTGAGCAAGATAATGTCTCCCGGAACGACGTCGGGACTATAGATAAGTTTAGTATGCGTACCTCAAAAAGTGTGTTTGGCATGTAAGCACCGACTTACTTGGAAATTACTTGTGTTTTACCATCTCGAAGAACCATGGCGCTAGGCGAAGACAAAGCACGAAGGGCATCCATTCGCTTTTCAGCGCGGTACTCTTGCCAAAAGCCAATAGTAACATTGAGACAAATAACAAAGGCAAGGACGCCCCCTTCGATATAGTCTTTGATGCCAAAGCTAAGCGCCATGGCAAATGCCAGAACGATGATCATGGCATTTAAAATTTGTTTGGTGAGAATGCTGTACCATGGGATGGTATCACCAATGTCCAACTCATTTTTGGGGTATTTCTGTTGCAGCTCAGTAACCTGGGCTGTGGTCAGACCTTTATCAATGTCGGTATTAAGAGCCTGTGCCGTCTCCTCCACGGTAAGGAGGAACGGGTGCTTTGGGAATTCAGCCATTGTCAGAAGACGGCCAGTGTGAGACGGATTGACCGTCACGCTGCTCGGATGAAGGGCACAAATAAGCCGATGGCAAAATATGCTTCATAGACGTGGAGGGAGGCGTTGAGATCGCCAAAACGACGCTCGGGTGTATAGGGCTAACGAATGATCGCGCCCCTCTGGAGAAGTTTGTTGTTGTTGCTGGTTCTGGTGTTGGGGCCTTGCAAGAGCTCAAGGTCCCATTCCACTTGCAAGTTGAGCTGAATGGATATATACAATTGAGTCTTGTACCGATCTTCAGTATTGGCCTTGGAGACCAAAGACTTTTGCGATTATCAGATATCAACATGATCACAAGGTTTGAAAGCGGGGGGAAGTGGTCATATAAGTACTTCTTCGTCCCGGAATTCTTCTGCGGGCACTCGCTTCTCTGTACATTCTCGATTTGAATACCCAAGCAGCCTCAAGAAAATGCCAAGAGAGCTGGGACAGCCGTGGGTCAGCCAAGCTGCTCGTACCATACATCTAGTCTACTTGGCGATTCTCTGTGTCCAAAGCCAGCCAACGAGTCACAGCAAGATTAGCTTCCGTCCCCACGTTAACTTTGTTAGTAACGGAGTCGATAGGGATTGTGTGGATGGTGGCGTGACGTCAAAACGGGGTGGGCGAATCCGGGATGGCATCGATACGCGGTGAGGCTGCGGGGCATTCCACGTTGAGACATTGCGGGAAACCTGCGCAGTTTGCAGTGCCAAGACATTGGGGCAAAGGCCGGTTGGAAGTGCTCCGGACAATAACAAGGTGACAAATCGTGAAGAGTCTTGTCACCAGGGATCGAATGAAGTTGTCCGGGGATGGAGGAGAAGAATGGAAATGAACCAGACCAGACACGTGCGAGGAACTTTTCCTAGCCTGCCACTAAAGTCTACTAGTAAACTAGCAGGGGAAGGAGCAAGTCACTGAAACAGAGTTGTTGCCAGCATTTGGTAGCGCCAGCCCAACCTTTCAAGACCAGTCGAGACATTATTGCTCCAGAATGAACCCAATCTATTCCGGGAGGCGCTGCCCACCAAGACCGCCTGACAGCTCCTGCCATGGGGAAAACGTGTCGGGGCTCGACAGGAACAGCTTGACCCATCCCGCCTGCAGCTCACACCGATGCAAGATGGTCAATTGACGGAGGACTACCGTCAAGTGTTTCCTGGAGATCGAGGGCATCTCACCTTGCGCATTGCCTGCTTCTCCTTCATCCCCGTCTCCCATGAGCATCGCGTTTTCGTGCCAAGAGGATAAACCTCTCTTGGCGACGCGCGTCGACCAGTCGTTGAAGGAGCATGGCACTGCCAAGAAGCGCAGAATGCAATGGCAGCCGTCGTCCTATTGTGGCGGCGGACCTTGCAAGCCAGAAAGTTGGGAAGAGGTCGAGAGGTGAAGGAGAAGGTGGTTGGCTGGTGTCACCAGGCTCTGCGGCGTCTGGTTGGCCATTGGTGGGCATGTTTGTTAGTTAAGCTTATCTTGGTGCGGTCCCCAGCTCCAGCGCCCGTAGTGCATGGTTTCACGCCTATCAGTGTTTGCGAGACACTGGGGTCCCCTGCAGCATGGGGCTTGGCTCACTTCAGCATGGCCGTTGCTTTGCCGTGCCTGACACAGTCCGCAACCAGACCGTTTGTTGATTGATGGCCCTTGTCTCCGCGACGGCTGATTACGGCAGAACGGAGCAGTCTATGATATGACAAGTCGGTTTTAAACGTTGCTTGTTTGTCCGATTTTCTTCTTTGCTTACAGGCCCAATACAGCAGGTGCATGAAGAATCTTACAGACAACGACAGTCTTTCCTCTTGGCATTATTGACGCTATTCTCGTCCTGGTGCGCTGCGGCTTCCAAAGGTCTCTCTTCTCCTTCGATGCCAAGCACGCCGTGTCTTGGCATGCTGCTGGGTGTTGCTGAGCACCGGGGCACCGAGTCACGTGGCCCCGCCAACACCGAGTGCCCCGCCCCGAACGGCAGAGACTGTGCCTCCCCCGGTGGCGCAGCCGGCAAGTCCGATGCCACTCCGGCGTGGTGCAATCGTGGTGCGATCGTGGAGGCAAACAGGTTGGCCCGCCATGGGTTCAAAAAGCCCGCCGGAAGCAGCCAAGACTTCCGATGCCGATATGTATGATAAGATCGATACGACATGCCACGTGGGCAGCTTCAACGTGGTTGACGCGAGGCCGACTTTGCTCGGGTGTGGCGAGACAATTTTGTCAGGCAGTGCTGTGTACCATGGTTTGGAACATGCGCATTGTATGAACCCTAGTATGACTTGGCATGGTTGCGAATTGCGCATGGTGGGTACATTTCTTGGGATCCTGAGCTACCTTGATGAGAAGGGATATCCATAACGCAGTTATGCCTGGCTCTTGTCCGCTGCGTTTCTAGGACGCCAAATTTCTCCCACGGATATGCAGTTTCCTTATAATATAACCAGATTAGGAGAGAGAAAAAGAAGAGAAAAGAAAAGAAAAGGGACAAATATCTACACGTACCCACAATGTAGCAACGTCTATATATGTATATGTACAACAACAACATAATACAACATTCCAACAGGACCCGCCCATGCATCCCATCTTTACCCAGTCATGCCAAAAATTCATTACGAATTATGTAAACTCCTGAATACTCCAAGTCACACAACTTGCTTGCATCGATGATACCAAACCATTCTCGCTCAATTATAGAGAACCAACCAAAATGCCGGCAATGACGCCAAGAATAAGAGACCCCACGGTAGGTTCCAGCAATGCAGCCTTGGAGCTCTCCGGAGTAACACCAGTGGCTGCAAAGCCAAGATACCAGGATCCAATGTCTGTCAGCTTGCCGCTCTTATCGAGGAATGCCGCATTGGCGCCAACATTAGAGTTGGTGGAGCGGAATGCACCAAAGTAAGAGTAGCGACCGATGCTGTCGAGCTTGTCGAAGTAGTCAATAGTCTGGTTGTAGAACTCTTGGGTTGGCTTGAGATCCTGGTGGGCGAACGCGTATTCTGTTATCCAGATCGATTTATTCGGCCAACTTTACGCCGAGGTCAGCCAAACTTCTTCTTGCGACGACATGGTCAATATCAAAATGACTGAAATCATAAACTTACGTTGCCTCACGTTCGCCAATGTGCGATGCCAAGCCAGCAAAGTTATCGTACCAGTGTACCGGCAGGAAATCCCAGGTGCAGTTCTTCTTGTCCTTTCCGGTGCTAACCAACTCGGAGCAATTGCCCAAGAACTGCTTGAGCCAAGGCAGGCTGTCCCATCCTCCAGTGCATGCCGGCAGGCCAAGCTTCACTCCCATCTTGCCAAGAGGTTCAAAGTTGGCGACCCATGCGAGGGCCGCATCTGCGGGTTTGATGTTGCTGCCTCCATATGCAGAGCTTGTGTCCGGTTCATTGAACCCCAAGACGTGCTTTATCTTGGTGCCGTCATCAATGAGCTTCTTCACGTCTGTCAGGAACTTGGTGTCGTTGGGATCGGAGCCGATGCCCCACATCATGGGAATAAACTCGAATTGATCCTGGGATAGGCTGGAATAGGCTGGTGATGGCGAGCTCTGGTAGTTGTAGTACCATGTCAGATCGCTACCTGACTGCACCCAGAGCTTGTTATCCCCAGCATGCTCGGCATTGGGCGTGAAGACGAGCCCACGCTTGGATGAGGCCGCGGAGCAGATCTCGACCAAGGGGATAATTTGTGCCAGCCACGACGAAGTCCTCATTGTGGATGTGATGCGAATCGGGACCAGCTCGGAGTCAAGCGTCGACGAATGAAGACGAAACGAATACCAAAATGGGAGAATGAATGAATGGGCCCTGGAATCGCGTTGGAATTCGGCGCGCAAGCGTGTCTGTCGTCAGCCCTGTTGTCGCAGTTATTCTCGGCGTTTCTTTCAAGCGCAAGGCAGATCAAATCAAGTGTGTTGCGCTGAAATGACAGCGCCTTCTACGGAACCCAAATGAAAAGAACGAGGAACAAACAAGAAGCAACTTGCGGAAATCAAGCTGGAAACGACAGAGGGCCGGCGCAAATTCTCGGTCACCAAAATGAATGATGGTGGTGACGAGAAAGGAGAGCGCGCGCAATGCGGCCAATTTCTAGCTACAGTTTTGGCGACGTATTGACACCAAAGCGTTGAGCCTACTGCCCTGCCTCCGATGCAAAGTTGGCGCTACGCAGGCGACCAGCGGCTGAGGATCAAACAAATATTGGACAAGGGGCAACGTCTTTGCCATGATACGAGCTTCGAGATCTGAGCCTGGTCCACCGAGCCCACCGCCGGCGGCTTGGCGCATGCAACCGCCCCTATCAACAGGTACTCTGGGCGCACCAAGCCGCACGAGGCCGCAGAGGTAGCCGTGGATAGCGAGGCCGGTGGCTGCAAAACAAAGACGGTTTGTGCCCATATTGCTTCTGGTGAGGAAGGGCTAAAATGTGGTCTGGTTGGCTGGCCCGAGCCAAAGATCAGGGGACATGCTGACGCCAAACCCGGTGAGGCAACGCTATTTCGGGCAGCTCGGGAACCTGGACCGTCTGGTCACGGTGCAGATGTTGGCGGGCAATTCTTCACCAAGATGCAACCCTCTCTGGACATCTGGATGTTGGTTGGTTGGGTATCACCGATGCTGTGGCCTTTGTGGAGGAGAAGCGAGCAAACGTCTCACAACACGATAGTTTGCAAACGATGCAGCGTGTATTTCCTTCGATGGACCTGGATTGATGATCTATCCTTGACGTGAGCTCGAAGATCACACCCTTTTCCCCAGCGAAACCCGCGTCTGTTTATTTGTTGCTGAAAATTGCTTGCCTCGTGCGGCCATGATGCAGATGGAACAAAGTTTGCCATCGCACGTGGTGTAATGATGCAGGGCCCATGTGTATGTATTCCGCCAGCTTGCAAAGATGTGAAAATGCACGACACTTTTGTCCGGATTTCCGCCTTGACCATTCTGCGCAGCACTTGACTCGGCGCGGAAAAACAAGTAGCAGTGCATGTTGTTGGATTCGTCTTGAAAGGTCTTGGGCGGTTGGACATGAGTGTACTCCGTACTCGAGGTGTAATTGAGTGAAATTGATCTCTTCTGTGCCAGATTGCTTACTTAAGTGTCTTCATTCCGATGCCTGATTCAAGTGGTTGGAAATAGTACTCCGCCCATTCCCTCCTTCCCCGGATAATGATCCGGATAATGGTCCAAACCTCCACCGGAAGCAATGACCAGCAGATAGTGGCGGGCTGTTAGGTAAGCATTTTTGTAGCTGTCACTGGCCTGTCGGTACATTGCCTCGGCTCATCCCCACAATCGAGCTCCCTCGGCCCTGTACGGTTAACTTTCCACATAAACGGGCCTTCGGCCACCTTTGACGCTTCTCGCACCTCAAGTTCCTTCATCAAGTTTGGACATTGCCTGGCCACCGCTTTACTTGTATCCTTCGTCTGAGTTGAGGCACTGTTCGTATTCAACGCAATGGCTGTCGAGCGCATTGGTTCCATCATCAAGCACCTGGCCCCGGGGTCGGCCATCAATCAGATGTAAGCATGATGCCAGCGCACATCTGTACTCCGTACTGCAGTCTCTCTGACATACTTGCACAGCCAGTCCAAGAATCCCGATGATATTGTCATCACCCTCGCGGTTCGAACACCGCTCACCAAGGCACGCAAGGGTGGCTTCAAGGATACAAGCCTGGAGTACATGATATACGCTCTTCTGAAGCAAGTTCGCGAGCGCAGCAACCTTGACCCTGCTCTCGTTGAAGACATCTGCTTCGGCAATGTACGTTGTGTTGCCTCTGAATGATTTGTGCAAGAAAGAAACTCAAATTTGCCGAAAATCAGGTCTCCGATGGTAAAGCCGCCTACAAGCTTCGCGCAGCAGCTCTTGCCGCTGGCTTCCCCAATACCGCCGGCGCCAGCACTGTCAGCCGATTCTGCTCTTCTGGATTGAAATCAATTGCCGATATTGCACACTCCATCTCGTGCAACTCGATTGAGATTGGTATTGCCGGTGGTGCTGAGCTCATGTCTGCCCCAGGCGACCGTCTTGAGCAGCCATTCGACGAGGCCATTCTCAAGAAAAGCCAGGATGCAGCCGACTGCATGCAGCCCATGGGCTGGACCAGCGAGAATGTCGGTCGCGACTTCAACATCTCCAGAGAGGAGCTGGACAAGTACTCCGCCGAGAGTTTCCAGCGAGCCGAGAAGGCCCAGAAGGCTGGCTGGTTCGACGACGAGATTGTTCCCATTTCAACCAAGGTCAAAGGTCCCGACGGCGAGGTGAAGGAGGTGACCCTGACCAAGGACGAGGGTATCCGGCCAGGTACCACCGCAGAAGGCCTCGGAAAGGTTCGAGCTGCTTTCCCTCAGTGGGGACCTCTGACCACCGGTGGCAACGCCAGCCAGGTCACCGACGGGGCTTCTGCCGTGATCCTGATGAAGCGATCAACTGCTGTTAAGCTCGGCCAGCCCATCCTGGCCAAGTACGTCGGTTCTACCGTTGCCGGTCTTGCGCCGCGCATCATGGGAATCGGACCAAGCATTGCGATTCCCAAGCTGCTTGCTATTCACAACATTGCTCTCGCCGATATTGATGTAGTCGAGATTAACGAGGCCTTTGCCACCATGGCCGTCTACTGCCGTGACAAGCTGTCAGTTGACTGGACAAAGATGAACCCTCGTGGTGGTGCTATCGCTCTCGGCCACCCTCTGGGCACGACTGGTGCCAGGCAAGTCGTGACTGGACTGAGTGAATTGAGACGCCAAAAGAAGAAGATTCTCCTCACCTCCATGTGTATTGGTACCGGTCAGGGCATGGCTGGTCTGTTTGTTAATGAGGTCGTATGATGAATTGTAAATGGTTGTATAGAATAAATTTTGAGCGTGATTTATTTTGCTTTATGAATTGAACAAACCTATTCTTTACCTGTATTCTATTAAGCCTTCAAGGCTTGCGACTACGCCGAATGCAACCCTCAGTCTACAGTCTTCATAAAGTGCTCCTCCATACGCATTCATCCTATGGCTGTTTCTCACACAACAGCACTTGTCTTGAACATGCCCATCTTTCCCCGACAAGTTCAGTTCTGCAACAAGTTAGAGGCTTCGTTTCACAAGGAGAGCCATGTTTCTGTAGAACTGAGTCATAGTTCAGCCGGCAGTGTCAAAGTGTGTATTTTCAGCATACTACTGCCTTCCATGACCCTCAAACATTGTCCAAGGCTGATCAGAGACAGAACCCCCAGTTTCAGAAAACCGACGGTAGGAATAAAAGGTCCTTCGGAAATTTTCCATACTAACCCAGTCAATTTACACACCTCCATCTACATCACGCACTATACGTTTTCCCATTGCCTCACGACGTGGCACTCCCCCACCGCCCCCTTGATAACCAGCACCAAGTCATCAACCGCCGACAAAAACCTCAGATACGAAGATATGGCGACACAGTAGCGACGGTAGTTCTCGTCCCGTACCAGCGTCGTGTTCAATATTGCAGTGCGGTGCTTGTCATGCCACCAAGCGTAAAAGTTGCGAATGAGAGGAGCAGGCAACCTCTCTGGCAAGGGAGCGCCCGACTTGAGCGAGAGCCGCACCACCCCCAACACGGCCATGACATCGCCAATGACGTGGTCGTCGACAAATCCGACCACATTGCTGAACCGGTCCTGGTACTCCTTGGGCAGAGAGCCGGATACGTCCATTAGTCGTTCGAGCGACTGGTTCATGGCGAGGCACAGCTTCTGCGTTTCCTTGAGCGTATACTGGTCAAAGTGACCAAACGTCGGCTCCAATGTGAGTAGGGTGATGGGGCCGTTGAGCGAGAGCAGCGTCTCGGCGACGCCAATGGATATCTGTTCCGCCACCGCGCTCAGGGGGCTGTTCTTCTGTCCAAGGCCCCAGTGGGACAGTAGAAGCGCGTAGTGATCCGCAAGGGTGCCCACGGTGTTGGAAAGCGTTTTGCACACATGGCTCCGGGCAGAAGGGGGCTTGGGGACCAGTTGGACGATGCAGGAGGCAACAAACCCCAAAAGAACCGTGACCAGACGCTTCCAGAAGGCTTCGTAGCCCACGCCCGGCAGGCCGTACTGTTCAATGTGGAAGTGATCGTAGCTGAAGCCAACGATGAGGGCATACGTCGCCCCAGTCATGATGGCCGCCTGAGCGAAAGCCGGGGGCAGGAAAATGCGCCACCAGATAAGAATCAAAATCATCAGCGCAGAGATGGCAGCCAGGCCATACGGGTTTCCGATGCCAGAACCAGACCCGATGTACCAGGCTACCATGGCCATGACACCGCCAAGGACGGTTCCCAGCCCGCGGGAGACGACGGAGAATGTAAAGTCGGCCATGTACGGCAATAAGCATGTTTGGGCGCTAATAACCCCCCAGATTCCCTTCTCGCGATAGAAGAACCCAGCTGAGCTTGGGATGGCAGAAGGTATGGCCGTCGCAACGGTCACGACGACCATGCGGAGAGCATACATGCCAGCGGGATCAAAGAGCCAGCGGAATGTAGCCGCGATGACACGCGTTGCAGCTGACTTTTTCCGAGGTCTGACGTAGTAGCCACGGCTTATGCGAAGACGCCTATGGGCCTCTTCTGCCTGGTCCTGAAGCAGCACCGGATCCGCGGTGTTATCTGGATCGTCGGCAGCATCGGTGGTTGTACCAGAGACGGGAACAGAGAGCCTACCGTCCAGCAGCCATCTGAACATGTAGCGCATACGTGAAGGGATCCAGATGCGGTGAGTTTTCCGGGTGGTCATCAGGTGAAGAACATACTCGATCAATTTTTCCATCGCAGTCGCTATGCCAATCACTCGTTCCTCGATGACCATGGCGACGACTATACCGCGAAGCAGCCGCGATCCGCTCTCGATTGAAGGCTTGAGGTCTCCTTTAGCATCAAATAGGTCCTGATGAGTACTGAGTATTTTTTCTGTCGTGTTCGTGACGCAGGAGTCTCGTGAGGAACGCAAAGCGTCCAGCTTGGTCCGGAGCTCTTGTTCTAGCTCGTCAAACGACTGTTGTGAAGGCTGGCCGACCCAGCGGCGATTATTGACCGTGTTGATGCATTTAGCAACTACCTTGATGGACTGCGAGCAGGCTTGTAGCACGTCTGCGGTCGTGTCCAAGAGAGCCGCTCTCGTTCGATCTTGTACCTCGCCGTTCTCAGGACTTTGGAGGGCATGCAGCAGCTCTGAGCTTTCCTTTAATTGGTGCATACCGATTCCGTTTTCGTTGTGATTGTTTTTGTCTTCATCTTGGTGGTGTTTTGCCAGCTTGTCCTCCTTCTGGATCACGTTGATGCGAGAAATGTGAAACTCAATCATGGACAGGCTCGCAATCATGGCCACTCGGACAGGTGTCTGCAACCCCTTCACATCCTCGGCATTCCATCGACCACGAGAAAAGTCGAGCGGCAAGAAAGCAATCGCTGGCTGCATGGCCTTGTAAAGGCCCACCGTTTTGGCCTTTGCCTCTATTAGCTCGCCCAGAGATACGTCTTGATCACCAAGGCGCCGTCTCGTCGCCTGAAGAGCGATTTCCTGAAGCAGCACCAGCTTCTCCATCTGTTCCAGCACGGCGTAAGAAGTCGACTGCGGGAAGAAGAACAAGCAGCATGCCGAGCCTAAGGCGACTCCAACGGCAGCTGGCTTGACCAGAATCGTGCCAAGTTGCGCCTCAAACTGGGGAAGCGAAGGTCCAAAGATTAGGAAGATGTCTATAGATATGATGCCGAATAACTGCAGCAAGACAAACTTCATGTTCTTCATGCGCAGCCGACACAAGGCGTATATGAAGACGCAGGACATGACGTAAAAAACAGCAGTAACGCGAGCATCGAGCATAAATCCATTGTGTACCAGCACCAGCGCTTCCCACGAGACGGGCTGACCAGTCTGATTAGCTTGCGCGACGGCTGCTTGTTGAAGCGCGAGCAAGGATTGCTGCGTCTCGGAGTCCGGACGCGCAGCGAGAGCAGCCTTCATGGTCAAGAGACCCCATAGCCAGCCGAAGCACATGCCCAGCAGCAGAGAAAAGGAGGCCAGGACATAGACCAAGAGTATGCTCGCCGGCGGTACAGCTATAAGAATCAAGAGGGCGAAAAAAGCAGCCACTCCAAGGTTTGTCAGAGATGGCTGGATGAGCATGAGCAACGAAGCGACCCACGCTGCCACCCAGCAGCGGAAGACGATTTTGCCATCATGAATATTGAAGTGGTTCAACCACGGAGGCAACGTCCATTGTCGCCGGCTTGGCCTGCTTGCAGTTGCATCTGGGCCCTCTGCCATGGTGGCGGCACGTTTTGTCGCGAGCTCCAAGACGGAGCAGCCAGAGCAAAGTCAGTCAGCGGGAGGAATTTCGATAGAGACTGAAGCTCTAGAGTTGCAAAACATTGAAATCCGATCGCGCTAGTGTTTATTGCAACGCAACGGTTTCGGGACCGGGTCTGCCGGATGAAACGGGACGGCCATTGGTTCATATGCCCGTGCGGTCGACGCCGGGATCCCGCATGGCCTAGCCCTCAGGAACCATACTGTACTTTGTACACTTTGTAAAAATGCCTCGGTTCTTGAAGTTGGGTTGACGGCGTCGTAGCAAGGCAATGGTGGCACGGTGGCTTTGGTGGCAACCAGATGGAGCAATTCCGACTTAGAAGTCAATCAATGGCTGAGAGGAATTGACTGGTCACTGCTCCCGTAATTCGACTGACGGAACCAATGACGGGCGTTTGGGGGCCATTTCTTTTTTGACCCGCTAACCCTTGAAATGAGTTTTTTTGGAGTGACAAGATGCAGTATATTGCTGCAGCCGACTTGTAGATTGGCCCCATGGTCGGCCAGTTGCGTATTGCCGCGGGTTTATAACTTGCCCACTGCGTAGGCGAGCATTCTTCAATTCGCGCCAGTATTTCATGCGCTTCTACCGAAAAAAACTCTTGTGTTACTTGCCGCGCGCATTCGAAGATTGAGCACTGCACAGACCACAGGTCTAAATGTGTGCAGAGCCAAATTAATCAAGCTCCCTTTATTGATCCCTATTTGAAGACAAGTTGGAAAAGGCGAAATATAGCTTTGCAGCTCTTGGCTAGTTCAACGGCTGAAATAACAGGTCAATATGGTTTGGACAAGTGTGCAGCCACACAAAATGTGAGCGCCGTCATCCGCCGTTCGGGTGCTCAGTATGCCGAAATCGTAGGACTCCCAGAGATTGTAATCCCCAGCTATCTGGGCTGGATTGAAATGTTTCCCTAGACACTGAACGCTAGGGCATGTATGATGGACTTTGGGGGAGTGAGGGCAAGAAGTTGGTGTTTCCCGATGTGGTCATGATAAAGTAGGGACAAACTGGTAACTGAAGTAGTCAACAGGGGGAATGCTGCGGATTGGCTAATTATTTGCTGTTGCGAATATGTTGAGCATTATAATCGAAAGAGAAAATATTTTCTCACTTGTTTAGGAAGTATCCTGCTCGAGAATATATCGCAAGAGGGTGTCCTCGAGCCATTGTGTGCTGACTTGTTAAGGCGTGGCTGGTGCCAATGTCGATGCAAATACGGAGTAGAGTCCTGCAGGGATAGAAGATCAACAGATGGGGTATGAAATAAGAAGCAGAAGAAGAAGAAGAACAGGTCGTTTGTATAACCTTTTAGCTCCGAATGCAAGGAACACTTGGTGATGCTGTCTTGCGTATTACTGACACCTTTTCCCCAGTAACCCGACAATGCACTCCTGCGCTGTCACAGTATGCCACCCACCCGCGTACCTCCGCGGTCAATGATGCCCAATGACCAGGCGGCTGACCACGATTTGTGTAACTCCGCTTCTGGTTCTGTCGGGGTTTATTGTGGCGGTTGTGTTCAAGGTGGTGTCGCAGCCTGGCTGCCAGGTTTACCTGCATATGCAACCGATCATTTCGCAGTATCCCATGATCGCCTAAATTCCCTGTCGGGGGTTCTGGCCCCGTTACTCCGTACGGAGTACATGGCGAATATATAATGAGCGGCGTAGGACCCCATCTCTTGTGACACGGGCAGGTATGTTGATGAAGTCCAGATCGGTAGAGCATACAGAATCCAGTTTCTGGGTGCACGTGTTGCCTGGTCCAGACCAGTCCGTTCGCGCCTTCCATTCTCGGGCCTCAACCGTTTCCCTGCCGACTTGTCGTCGATCGGTTAGTGATGCCGTGGTTCTCAGTGGCTGCAGCGGTCGCTTGACTCTAGACAGCCCCGCTATTCTCGGAGTCTCCACGCGTTCAGTGACATCCTGTGCCCAAGGAACAAGGGACGTGCGGGCCGAAATTCGGATCGTATAAAAGTAGGTCAAGCCCCTTTGCGACCAACATTTTTGCGTAGTCCCTGGACCCTTTTGCTGACGCATCCCGGGTTTGAGTTTTCGTCTGATGATGCGCACCATTCGCTCCTCCTTTCTGACCCTGCATTGATCTCTTCTCTCGTGTCTAGATCGCCCGATTGCATGCTGTTACGCCCCTCTCGCTACATTCGATGCATCAGGTACAGGGGTTGCACACGTCGTACCCACAACTTTGGAAGGCAGTTTGAGCGCATCACGAGAGTCCCTGGCTGCTCGCCTGCTCGCCTGCTATCTTGCCTCGGCCGCCAGGGCCAGTATAATCCGTCCTGTGCGTACATGATGGGGCGTCCCTCGCACCATCGTGAGGACTCGTCCTCCAGCAAGAGCCACCGGCCAGCCCAGCCAAGCTCGCTGCGCCAGAGCCACGCAGCTTCGAGTCGAGACAGTAGCCAGGACAGCGGCCCGGCATTTAGACAAGCAGTCCCTTCTAGGGATGACGCTGCTCGTGGCGATGCCACCGTTGGCGGCAATACAGACGAGTCCACGCCATTGATTTCCGACGGCGGAAGTACCGAACGCAGGCGATCGAGCGCCGTTCACCCTGGCGTTTGCAACCACGGCACGTTTAGCCCTCGACCGATGACCCCGGACGAAGTATTCCCCATTGCTAGGGACGATATTGTCACCACGGGGCCCGACGGGCTGTTTGACAATTCCTCGTCCCAAGAATCAATCGATGAGGGCTGGAAGAAATGGTTTAGCGGGAGAATCCGGACCAAGAGGATGGGCGAGACTAGGGAACTCGCTCATCGAGCTGGATTCAGAGATACGCCCTTGATGTGAATATTTGCAAACGCCCACAGCCTCCCATCTGGCTTGCTAATAGTGTCGATAGGTATCTGTCCTACTACATTCCTTGCTTGAATTGGATGCAGCAGTATAAATGGTCCTATCTCCAGGGCGACCTTGTGTCTGCCATTACCATTGCATCCTTCTATCTCCCCATGGCGCTGTCGCTCGCTTCCAACCTCGCTCATGTACCTCCAATTCACGGCCTGTATGCCTTTGTTTTCCAGCCCTTCATTTACGCCTTGCTGGGTTCATCGTCGCAGATGGTTGTTGGTCCAGAGGCTGCTGGCTCTCTGCTTGTAGGCACGGTTGTGCAGCAGAGCGTCGACAGCGGTGGCTCGGCTGAGGATAACGACCTCGTTCATGCCCAGATCTGTGGGGTTGTAGCTGGTATGGCGGGAGCTACGGTTTTGATTGCAGGAATAGCACGGTTGGGTTTCTTGGACAGCGTACTAAGCCGCCCCTTTTTGCGTGGATTTATCAGCGCCATTGGCTTTGTCATAGCCGTAGACCAGCTCATCCCTGAGCTTGGTCTGAACGATCTTGCAAGCGACGATGGCGCAAGCCACGGCAGTACCGTTGAGAAGATTGCCTTTATTGTGGAAAATATTAGTGAGGCCCACCATCTCACGTTTGCTGTTGCCGGCATCAGCTTCCTAGTCATTATGATTTTCCGGTGAGTCTTGACATTCGTTGGTGCCGTATGCCGTATGCCGTTCATCGGGTTGCTGACAAAAGTACAGCGAGTTTAAAAAGCGTCTTGAACCTAGATTCCCCTCGGTCGTGTTTGTACCAGATCGATTCTTGGTCGTCGTCGTTTCTGCCATTCTCTGCTGGCATTTTCGCTGGGACAAGCAAGGCGTTGAGGTCCTTGGCGCCGTCAAAGCCGCCAACGGAGGCGTTTTTGCATTTAGATGGCCGTTTCAAATGGCTCACATGAAGCACATTCGCAGTGCCATGTCGACGTCTTTTCTTATTGCACTGCTCGGCTTCTTCGAGTCATCCGTCGCCGCCAAGAGCCTGGGAGGCAATGATGCCATTCAAGGCATCGAATTGAGTGCAAACCGAGAAATGATTGCCCTAGGCACTGCCAACCTCGTCGGCGCTTGTTTTATGAGTCTGCCGGCCTTTGGAGGCTATGGGAGGAGCAAGGTGAACAAAACGACTGGTGGCAAGAGCCCCGTAAGCTCGATTCTGCTGAGTTTGATCTCACTCTTGTCCATCTTGTTCCTGCTGCCGTACTTTTACTTTTTGCCGGTGAGTGTGCGTTCTCGTTGAGGTTTTGAACACGTGTTTGTCTAACACTCGACAGAAACCTGTTCTCTGTTCCATGATATCTGTGGTGGCGTATTCATTGATAGAGGAGGCGCCGCATGACATTGCCTTCTTCGTCACAATCAGGGGCTGGACGGAGCTTGGGCTCATGGCCGTCATCTTCCTGTCGACGATTTTCTACTCTCTCACGCTCGGCATGGCCATGGGGGTTGGCATTTCGATCCTTCTCGTCATCAAGCACAGCACACGCCCTAGAATTCAGATTCTGGGGCGCATTCCCGGGACGAACCGGTTCGAAAACGCCGAGTCTGGACGTGCATGCCTGGAGTTTATTGAGGGCTGTCTCATTGTCAAGATTCCTGAGCCGCTTACTTTTGCCAACACGGGGGAGTTGAAGGCGCGACTGCGACGGCTAGAGCTGTATGGAACTTCAAAAGTGCACCCGGCTCTCCCCCGTCTGCGGAGCCAAGAATCCAACCGAAACGTCATCTTTGACATTCACGGCGTCACATCGATGGACGGCTCGGGCACGCAGGTTCTTGAGGAAATTGTACGCAACTACCGAGAACGCGGTGTACGAATCTTCTTCTCCCGTGGCCCCAGTCGGCGAGATCACGCCGTCTGGAAGCTGCTGGAACGAAGTGGCATTGTGGCACTGAGTGGAGGCGAGTCGCATTTTGTGAATGATGTCGAAGAGGCGTTGCGATGGACAGAGTACGAGGACAGCATTGGCGTTCGGAGCGGTGGCAGCGGTTGAGGTTGGCAGTGAGGAGAGGGGGAAATGCATGGGAACGGCGCATTCTGTTTTCAGATACCAGAAGCTTGCATACGGATGGTTGGATCTAGTATATTTATTGTGTTTTTATAGCACGGAGCATGGGAGCATGGGAGCATGGCAGAGCCACGAATTGATGTCTGAACGACATGTATTTTGTCTGTTCTCTACACGCGCACTTGGCAATCAACGCCCACGCAATGGAGAAGTCGATTGAAACTAGCAAACATGTGCCTCGTCCTCGCAGTCACAGGCCACTGAGCATAAAATTTCGCGATGGCCTTGAATGTTGTGCAGTCCGCACGAGCCCCCTGCAAGACAAGCAGAAACCTCAAGTATCAATGGGTCCATCAATAATCCAAGGTCCCAAGTCATGCAGCCTGCGGCCAGGGTCCCACGCCAGTGCCCCGCCGAAGCCCACTCCAGACCACACCAGTTGATCCTTTAGTCCCAGCGCGCACATTTCACAGCCAAAAACGAAAATTTTTTTACACAGCCTTTATAAGTTGATTATACTCTGGTCTCGTTCAACAATCCAACCGGACTGTTCCGAGCGAGGTTAGCAACCGAGTTCGGATTCGCCCGGTTAGCTCAATCGGTAGAGCGTGAGACTCTTAGAGTACACGAAATCTCAAGGTTGCGGGTTCGACCCCCGCATCGGGCTTTTCCTATATCCAAGAAGCGATTGAGAATGGGTTCCGGTGGGATCTCTTTTTTTTTTTCATCTTTTATAAGGTCTTTCTTTCTTTTACTTTTTATTATATTTGAATTGTTCAATTTTTTTACTTGACTGACAAGATTGTCAACGCTTGCGCAAAGGGTCTGTCTGGTTAGAAAATACGTCCTTCTCGCGGCGGGCAGCAGCGGGCCTGGCCATTGCCTGGAAGACAACCAGACTGGTATTGACTGAGACGACTGGTCGCAGAGTCGATTTTCCGTGGCTGGATATCCGACGCATCGCGGTCAGTCAAGATGTGCGATGGAAATGCTAAACCGCTTACCCCTCAGCAAGTGAGTGGCAGTGGCGTCTGGTGGCACTGGTCCCGAATCCCGACTGTGTGATTTTAATTTCCGAGTATTTGGCCGTCGAGTACCTGTCACAGAAAACATTTATCCAAGAGGGAGATCCGTTGCAAACAGCGCAATAATTCATCAAGGTACCTGTCAATACGTCGCAAACATTCCAATTTAGTATAGAATTTTGCTCTTCACCACGAGGCTTGGGGTGACGTAAGTGCACGGCGACTGTGTCGTGTTTTGTAGATTCTAGACTTGGTGTCGAGTACTTAAGCAGGCATTCACATGTAACAACTACGGCCACGATACGGGAACAAGCTCAAACGTGGAGGGAAGGGCGGAATCCAAACTTTACTGTGCTTGCTGACCAAGATCGTGCTCCAAAGTCAATATGGCATGCCATTTCTTTTCCCGGTCCATTTACCTTTGGGGATAAAGTCTGGGCTTGGTGGTTGTCGAATAACGTCGTTGCTTGAGGAGGGGGAAGACGACGAGACGAGTGGCTTGAAGTTTTATTTCCCGCGTTGCATTTACATGGCTTCAATCCAATGCTCCAGGCAGCTACAAGACTGGAAATCTAGATTCTATTTGAGGCTTTTGATGAAAACTGGGGTTCTAGAAGCTGCTGCTGGTGTATTTTGGCTTTTTGCTCTTGTTGTTGCGTGGCAGCAACGACGGATGGGAAAAGTACTTTAGACGAAACATTTTTCACATGCACGGATTGTACATGGATTTGGGTTTTCTGCACATTGACGCTTTCGACACTAGTACAAGACGTTTTTTAACATATCCAAATGATACAAGAGGCTCAATTAGCATTTGTTCAGCACAAGTGCCGTAGAATCGTCCATCCAAAACTGGGGACAAGAGGAGACCAACCTCGCGGCAATGTAGTTGCCATAAATTTAATTTACACATCGACATTCCACAACCTTCCGCATGTCCCGTCATAGGGCACAGCAGAAACGGTAAAAGTCGATTGCATCTACCGTAGAGTTGGGTTTGCCAGGCTACAGTGTCAGGTCTGCGTAGCCATTTTGAAACGTTGATGAGAAAAAAATTAATTTCGCAAGAAAAATAAAATAGCCGCAAAAGTCAATATAATTTATTTTTTGATCCTGGTTATTATATCATAACATGCGAAAAATAACGGATATACGTGCATGGCAAAAAAATATATAAAGAGCCGTATTCGACATGTAAAAACCATGCGCTCTCTGCAAACCAAATCAACCTACACTGCTACTACAATACAATACAACAATCTATTACTATTCACACCCAACCCAACGCCAACATGAAGTACTCGATGCTCTCTGTTGCCGCCTTCGTGGCCTCCTCTCTGGCCTCCCCGGCATACTTCTCGGGCGAACCCGAGAAGCCCGGCGACATCACCATCAACAACAGGCTGAATACTAACGTCAACCTGGACATCCTTCAGCCTAATCCAATCGACGTCGACGAGGTTGGGGTCTACAACCGCCGCGTGATTATCAAGGGGCTCTCATCATACACAATTCCTGAAAAAGAAGTACCGCCAAGCGCGGACCTGAGGCTGAGGGTGCTGTCGCCCATGCCGGGGCAGGGCCCGGTAGATGTGATCTACAGGAGTCTCCATCGCGGTCCCGATTCCCCGTTTACGTACGATATCAGACGCAACGACCCGCATTTCGTATTCCCCGGCGTTGTCGATATTCAACCTCGGCCCAGGACGCCTCAGCCTCAGTGCCGTCGCCTGACCTCGTTCCCTCAAGGCCACCACATACCCGTCCTACCAAAATGCGATGCCGGCACCAAACTCCTCATCACCCTGTGCGAGCAGAATCATCCTGACTGCCCTCCTCGTCCTCATCCTCCTCCCACTGAGTATGAGGCCGAGTGGCTTTAAAAAGTGCCAATCACCGCCGCAATGGCAGCTCAACCTGCCGCCGCAAGAATTGCCAGGGGCCCTTTGGATGGTCGTCTTGTTTTGGAGGAGGATGTTTGGTGTTGAACTCTGGACAGCACCCTAGAGCTTTGCTCAAGGATCTGTGTTTCCTATCCTTCTATCCTTAGTTAATAACTAGCACCTAGGTAGTTATTAATATAGTCTATGCCCAAAACTGTTCCCCGTTGTCAAGCCGTGACGGCCGGTTTGGAGGACGAGAGTCACGAGACCATGCTTGGCCCGGTCAAGGAGGAGTAGTTGTGGTACAAGTAGTAGCGCATCAATATGTAGTTTGTATCCTTCATTCCTGTAAAAGGCACGGCACGGCTCATCATTGCCTGGCAACAATTCCATCCAGACACCGGACGGCTTCCCTGACGGTATCCATCCCGGGTGCCTCATCCTCAATACACTTGGTCAAGTCGTAGAGATGGCCCTGCCCCTCTGCCACCAGCAGCGTCACCTTGTCTTCGCCGAGGGAGTCCCTCATCTCTTCGCTCACCGCCAGCTCCACGTCGTAGTCGGCGTTGCCGTGGAAGATGACGGTCGGCGGCCACGCCTCCACGCGAGCCTTGGCCCCGGCCGCATCTTCCTTTGCCCACGCGTAGCCTGGGTCGACGTCACCCAGCAGCTCGACCCACTGGTTCTTGTGAGTGTAGTAGTCGTACAGCATACCCCGGAGACGAGCAGCGTCGTCTGAGTCATCAGGGGATTGCGGGCGAGCTGGAGGCTTGTAGTCGGGGTTTCTGGAACCATCGGGCGTGAGTTGGCCGACGTCAAAGGCAGACGGGTCGCCGGGACGTGTTTCGCCAATGACGACGGGGCCGGCGATGATGGGCGCCATGACCGAGTCTGGAATCGGCTCCGGCGTGAGCAGGGTGGACGAGTTGAAGAAGCTGTGGCGGAACGAGTTGATGCCCTGGGCTGAGAGGAGCGCGAGCGGTTTGACGGGGTTGTGATGAGCCAGCATGGCGCATGGGAAGAAGCCTGGATATTATTGTCAGAGAGAGAACGACTGGGCTTGCGAGGAAGCATCAATAATATCTTCAACGTACCGCCGCTGCTGCCGGCGGCAATGACACGGCGTTTCTTCCCATCAGCACGCCAGTTCCGGGCGAATTCATACGCCGCTTCGACGTCTTCCATCAGGCCCTTGGACGTGGTCTGGGGCATGAGGCGGTAGCTTGCGCTTACAAGGGGCCATTTTCTCTCCCAGCAGGTCTGGTATACCGGCCAGGCCAAGCAAGTCAAGCGTCAGCCATGCGCACTCTAGATATATATGTAGCCCTCGTGAGAGGCGTGGGAAACCGACCTGAACGAGCCACGGCGGCACTGCCCTTCGTCCCCAGCCAACCAGGCCCCCGGCGTGAAAATACAGAACAACGGGTGTGTCTGTGGGATAGCCATCCTCGGTGTAGATGTCGCAGTGAATCGCCATGCCGTGGTTGGCGAATTCTCGAGTTAGTTTCTCCAGCATGGCCCAAGTCGCCGCAACTTGGCGGATTCCGCTTCTGGTGTTGCTTTCAATCACCGACTCGTCAAGTTTAGAAAGGACGGTTTCCGGGCCCAAGCACTCCTTCATCAAGAAGGTTTTTGTACTCCGTATACTTTTGGGAATGACGGCCTCCATCTTTCAGCAGCGCAAGCCACCACAGGGGTCTTTCAGCTTCATGTCACAGCGTGAAGACGAGGCGGGGATTCTTATTGCCCAACACCCCCGCAGCCAGGCAACAAAGGCGTGTCGGACAGACGTAATGCACCTAGATACACAGATGTACGTCAAGGCTTGGCTCTATATAGCAGGTCGATGGAGCTGCTGCGAGTTGGACTATTGCTGCCGTTTATCTGGACGAAGACATGTAGCGTTAATGTTGATTGTGCAAGTAGTAAGAAGGCTTCGGCTTTTTTAACTAGGTACCTTGTACTGCGTTAAATCAATATCAGTCCTAGCATATGGCTCATAATGTGCAAATCGTAGAATCTAGCACTTGAGGGGCGAAACATGCCTACCTACATGTACTTCCTCTACCCTAACCCTAACCCTTACCCACAACGCCTCAGCGAGTTGATCTCTCTGAAGTCTGAATCATCCCTTCCTAACCTGCTTCCTCTCCCAACTCATTATTGCCAAAAACGTGTTTGCGCAAAAGTCAAAAGGAGATTCTATCCCGAAAATGAGCTGCTGGTATCTGTACGTCATCCAAGAACAACGACATGCGACATGTTCCAGTCAAATACACGAATGGCAAAAGTGGTCATCCACAGCAACGTCCGTCCTGCTTGCAATTTGATCGTTTCACCTCAAATACACTTGCTTCATAGCGTGCGCCAAGAGACTCGCCATCCATCGGTTTCAAAAAGGAGAACCCGACTGACAAAGAAATAATAATCTCAAGGCATATGTTACACGGAGGTCAAGCTGCAACAGAGGCACAGGCCTGACGATGGTTACGCACACGCTCGAGACTTGATTGACGCCTTGCGCATCCAGGCTGGCTTGCTCTCCGCTGTTTTGTATAAACAAGGGTCATCCGCCCTCAGGGGTCTTGAGAAGACCACAAGGCTTTGATATGAAAGCGAATTATTAACTAAATACAAATTTGCTCCAAGCCCTTATATAGTACGTCCTTGTCACATTCTCCTACAAAATCATTAGCCAACAAATTACCGAGTGGCAAGGGGAAAGGTTCTTAGATTCAATCAAGACCATTGTCTCCATCGAGTTCCTCACAGGAGCGCATCCTTGGTTTCGTGGTCTAGTTGGTCATGATTTCTCGCTAACACCGAGAAGGTCCCCGGTTCGAGCCCGGGCGAAACCACGTTTTCTTTTTTTGATTCCACAGTCTACGGATCTTTGTATCTTTTTTTTTTAAATCCCCTTTTCATTCCGATCGCATGTCGCGTGGTAGGCTCTGTGCAGATTTGTATCTTGCGGACTTGCGATTCTGCAACACATCACGCGCTGTAATACGTTTCTCTAGATTATACAACTTTTATCATACCTCGAATATCTCCAACTCTAGCAGCAATGTTTCTATTCTGTAATGCCCATCTCGTTGTGTCAAACGTGTCCAAAAAATAAAAAAAGACAACATCTCCCATGTATTACCCTACAGGGCACCACTCCATGGAGGATAGCTCCGTCAACTCTTCCGCTTATAGTCTAAATTTTCATCGCTTTTACATATATACAGTCTATCATACCCCATCATACACGGTCTATCTACGTCTATTTCACTCTACAGTTGCGACCCGCCAGCAAAGTCTACCTTCAAACCCAGCACCCGCTTGACACCCAGCCAGAGCTCAAAGGCCTCCAGCTTCACCTCCACCCTCAGGTAACCCAGCCACGCGGCAAACACCCTCAAACCATTTGGCGGCCAGAGCAGTGATCCCTTGTTTCGAATCTGCTCTAGCTGTTCATGGAAGACGGTGCGTGTACAGTACCGCGCGAGAATCAAAAAGCTGCGAATAGGACCTTGACGAGTTTGCAGGCTCTCGTCCAAGCTCCGTGTTAGATCGTTTGTTTTGAGAATGAGCAGGATGATGCGCGGCACTCGGCTGAGCATCTGGACCAGGTCGACGATGAGCCCTTCTTGAAGGGACGAGCTCATGTTTTGCTCCTCGTCGGCACTGCGGGTCTGCAGGATAGAGCCCTGATTACTGACGACGCTGAAGTCACGTCCTGTAATGGCGGATGCGAAGAGGGGAAAGTCTTGGTCGCCGATGCCGGCGACTTCGTGCGAGTACTTCTTCATGCGGTCCATGTCGCCGTCAATGACTGCCAGCCACATCTTGGCGTATGAGCGCCGCAAGGGCAGCGGGATATCTCTGTAGAGGCCGTGGTCGTAGAGTATGACATCAAAGTTTGGGCCGCGTCCGATGCCACGGCGAGCATTGTTCTTGCGAATGGCAATGTTCCCACCGTGAGGATCGCAGTGCAGCGGAGCGCCATCTCCGAAAATCATTTCGTTGAAAATGCGTGCTAGCGTGGCAGAGACCTCGTCGCGGTCGATTCCGTTCTTGTCCAGGTATTCCAGGTCGTCGGGTCGAGCACCAGACTCGCAGGCCATGACTATAATACGCTTCTTGGCCCAAATCACCTCGGGAATGACGAGAGGCAGTTCCGGCATCTTGGCAAAATGTGCCTTCATCCGCATGGCGTTGTCCGCCTCCTCTTGAAAGTCGAGTTCCTTTGGAAGCGACACTTCCATCTCGGAAGAAAGCCACTCGAGGTCGTATTCGGGGAAGAATCGTTTCAACGTAGAGAAAGTGTATTTTGTAAGAGCGAGATCCAAAGGCGCAAATGCTTCGAGGTCAGGGTGCTGCACTTTGACGGCGACTTTGCGACCAGACTCCTTCAACGTTGCTAGATGGACCTGGGCAAGAGAGGCTGCGCCAATTGGTTCACTTGAGAACTCAGAAAAGATGTCCCATAGCTCTCCATTGGTGTCTTTGCGGAACATATCTTCTATTGATGCAAACGACGAAACGGGACACTTGTCTTGCAACGGGACGAAAGTTGTTGTCCATTCGGGCGGCAAGAGATAATTCATGGCGCTCTGTGGAGGAGAGAGCACGGTTAGTCTTCGTGTTTGGCGCTATCGGGAGAACTGCCCTTCATACCAAATGTTGGCCCAGCTTGATGAAAATGCCGCCATTCTTTTCCAACACTTTAAATGTTCTCTCGGCGCAACGTTTGTGGCACGCTTGCAAGACCTTGGTTTGTTCTTCCTCGTCTTGTATCGTGGCTTTTGCGTTTAGTGTCGTACGGTAACTGTCAAGACGATTAGCCCCATGATATACCATGGCATCATGCAGGTCGGTGGAAACCCCTACTCATTAATACAAATAGCCAGTGCGGCAACAACTCTACCGGTTCGCTCCATAGACTCGTAGCTATTCCGAATTTCATCTGTAAAAGCAAGCGCTGTGCTCGCCACACCAGCTGCACTGGCCGAGGCGAATAACAACACCCTTCGAGATCGCGATCCTCTACGACCATTGCCGTTGGCTCCTTGTGATGAGCCCCTAGCCGAAGCAAAGCGTCTGAGTCCTCCAAACGGGTGAGAATTCGCGACGGCCAATTGGCCCTGACAAGCTGAGCATGTCCATGTTCTGGGGCCAAGCCGGGTGGCTATTCGGGGGATCGTAAGAGCGCTCATTCTGTGAAAAAGGGATCCTGGCGGGCATCGGGGAACACCGCCGTCAAATACTCTCAGCGACGTTGAGTGGTTGCCACCAAGGTTGAGACATGCATTCTCAAAGCAAACAAGAAAACAAAAACAACGTACGGCGAGGCAAGGATATGGAGTGAGGCAGAAGGGAGCCTTGAAGTGGTGCTAGTGTTGGACGGTCACTCGAGACAAAAAAAAGTTGGGGCGGCTCATCAGCATCCACATGATACATCGTCATCAGAAGATCAGCTTTTCAATCTGTGCGACACGGTGATTCGCCGAGGCGCCTGGCCCCCGTCCTCAATCGGTTGGGAACGGAGGAACGGGGTGTCCAGGCACGGCCTGTCCAGGGCCGAGCCAGCTGCGGCCGTGGCTGCCACTGGCACCAGCGACATCAATGACAATGGAACAGCGCTATCCCGCCTCCAGTGCAGACCTCAGTGATGCATGCGCTCTGAGGAACAGGCGGCGCACAATCTGATGCCCCCGAGAGCCACTGGGGTCCATGTCAGCATCAATCAATGATGGGAGGCAACGGGAGGCTGCATGTGTGGTACCGGTGGACGGCGTCAGTAAAAGCGCCGACCAGAAACACCTGCAGCCTGTAGGTAGCGGGGCAGGCACCAGACCTCGAGCGGACATGGAACATTGAATAGTTGCACTTGACCTTTACACATTCATGTTGTCTCGTTGAACCGTCTTCTACCAGCCAGCACATATTCCAACTCCCTGCTTGTTCTTTGCCAGACACACTATTTCTCTTGATTTTAAATCTTTACCCCCGTGCTTCCTGCCCCGATCTCCCTACAAACAAGCCGCATATCAACGCACCTCCCGCGCACCAAACCGCAAATGCCCATCCAAAAGTCTCCCAACCCGGCCCTTCGTACAGATACCCAGCCATGAAGCTACCAATGACGCCCCCAAGCGCAAACGACGTAGTAAACAGTCCAAACCCAACCCCGTATACTCCCTTGGCTCCCCAGACCCCAGGCTGCCTCTTTTCCTTCTCTTCAATCACGTAGGTAATCTCTGCCATCAGCGGGGTGCTGGACAAGGTGGTAGCAACACCCATGAGTGTCAGCAGCACGCCGAAAAGGACCTTGTGCGAGATGGAGTCCGAGTCGACCAAGCGCAGACAGACAAAGATGGGGATGGACATGAGAAAGCCACCGCTCGAGAGCCATTTCGTGCCGTATCGATCGGATGCGGTGCCGACAACAGGCGACAGGAACCCGGGCAAGAAGACGCATAGAAATATGAGGCCGGCTGCAAGCGAGTCCCAGTGAAACGTCTTGTCGACGAAAGGAGGAACTACGGTATAAAAGGCGAATCTGAAACTTGTCAGTGCTTTCTCTCCATGACGTTGCTACACTCCTCCAAAAAGAAAGAAAAGAAGAAGAAATGGCTTACTTGGATGCAGACTGCATAATGCAGCCCAGGAGTGATGCTAGGAGGCGTCTGGATTTGATCAGACTCCAATATGCCCTTGCTGGTCCTGCCATATCCCGCTCAATCGTCCCATAATCGGGATTCACGTCCCCTGAGCATCTCACAGCACTCCCTTCGGGCTGCTGCTCCTGGTTGGCCGTGTTCGAACCCTCATTCCGCTCACGATGCTGCCACTTCTGCGCAACCTTTCTCTCCACCAACAGCAGCCTCAGCACGATATCGCACACAATCAAGCCAAAAGCGAGGTAATACACGGCAAAATACCCGGCCTTCGCATACGCAATGCCCCCGATAATCGGAGACAGCAAGAAGCCCGCCGTCATGGCCCAGTTCACCCACCCCATCGCCCAACCTCTCTTCTCCCCCATCGTGTCAGCCAGCAACGCCAGACCGACCGCCCAGCATATCGCGGCGCTGATGCCTTGAAGAACGCGCCCTATTGCAAACAAAGCAATGGATGTACTTAGACATAGTAACAGTGTAGCAGCAGCCAGGGCTATTAGACCGAGCAGAAAGGGCAGTCGCCGTGACGAAGTGCGGTCAGCGTAGAAGCCAAAGACGGGGCTCCCTACACATAAGCCCGCGTTGTATAGCGCGAGGAGGATGCCGTTCCATTTGGCAACTTGGTCGTGCGGCACGCCGACTCGGTCCGTCAGGGCGAAGGGGAGGACGGGCACGAGGATGCCGTAGAGGAATATGTCGGTGAATACGGCGGCGCATACAACGAGCAGGATGAGGAAATTGGAGGAGCGGTATTGGACTAGTACAGGGCGGCCAGTGAGGTTGAAGATGCCCAGCGTCTTCATCTTGTTGCCCATTATGAATTTTTGTCTTGGGTGCCGGTTGAGCGTCTACATCGCCGAGAATCCCGTCTTGCCCACAACCACAACCACAACCACAACCATATTTATATTTTCGTGACTGAGGAAATCTCCACTGCGCCTTCTATCAATGGGTAGCAGTGGTGCGCAGACATTGTGTCTTGGAATGTATTGGCCCAATGCTCAACCAACTCGGTGAATGAGTCTTTCGGCCAGCTTTTTTCGGAAGTTCTGAGGGGCTTGTTTCTCCCTCGGAATTGGCATTACGGAGTACATTGTACATTATCTCCGACTTTTGCGCTCCTTATTTACAGGGCAAACAAATAAGCAAATACTGTAGTTAATTGGATGTTTGTCAAATTGGAGTTTTCCAATCACCGAACAACAATTGGCCTGGAGAATTTGCATGTTACCGAGCACGGCGTGGTTCGCCATATTGTACGGCGCAGTTTGCATGCATGTGCTTCCATCTGACTCGACGCCACCTGCCGTGACAGCCGCGACCAGGTCCGATATCTCATGGAGGGGCAGCGGGCCCACTGTTACGTCGCGCCACTGAATATTGACGTCCCACCACGTGATTGCGCGCCATGGTCGACCGCGTCTTAATTAAACTTCACCACCACCGCTATCCAGTTGTCCCCGTTCAAGATGCACGCGTTTCCCCGGGCACACTCAGCACTCTTCGGAAGCTCAATTCCCCATCCCTGATCACAGGCTACTCAATATTCGCACATGCCTAATCACCCCAAGGACTCACCGCCGCCCACCAACACCATGCTCTCCGTCGCAACACCCATCTTCGGGTTCAATCACCATCCAAGCGTGTCCTCCCCCCTCTCCTCATCACCTATCCGCGCCTCATCGCCCCTCTCCCCCGTCGACAGAAATACCCTTCCCCAGAGGCAAATTCAATCATCCCCCATTCAGCAGCCGAGTTTCAAATACGCGTCGCGACCAGTGCGCAAGAACCCCCTGCTGCGGAAGAGGGAGGACGCGCAGGAGTCAAGACGGCTCAACTTCTTGCAGAGCGTGAGACAGAAGCAGGATGACAAGGCGTGGCAGAGGAGAGATATTGAGGGACAGGTACGATTGCAGACAGTTCTTGCTGTTCGAATCGTGAAATGTACTAATGCAGTTGCAGTTCCTGAAGAATAGCTTGCTGGCTGATATTGGACGACTTTCGTACGATGCGCCAGCTTTATCAGATACGGATTTAGAAGACGCCATGGCGTTTAAAGAAGATGAAAAGCTCGAGCACAATGACCGACATGGCAGTGAGCGCGACGATATGACAGATGAGGTGTGCCATGAGGAAGAAGAGTTCGAGGCCATGATTGCTTCGTACGAGCAACAGAATCAACTTGGTCAGAGACCGTCGTCGCCTTTACTGTCTGACGAGGACTATGATGATGTGTTTGCTGAGCTAATCGCCCAAGAGCAAGCATATTCACAACCACAATCCTCTGGTGAGCAGATGGATATGTCATGAGAGCCGGAGCATCATAGCACTTGGATCAAAGCATTTGTGATTGCACTGTACTAAAATTGCACGGAGTCTAGGGGGCTTCATTTCATCGGCGTTGGGTATGGAGGACACGTTGGGCAGTGGCAGGGACTGCTATTGTACAGATTCGTCATTGTGTAGCGAGCTCGTGTACGTGGGGTATTATGAGGGTACGGAATATCGAGACAACTAGGAAATCTATTGTGGATTGCATTGATCATCTGCTCCTCCGAATGCTTCTTGTGCTGATGCCATGTCTCCTACCAAGTCTGACGGCGGTGAGCCAGCGGCTTGCATCTGTCACATGTGTCAACGGACTATTGTGGCGATAAGAAAAACAAAACAAATACAAAGCCGTCACATACCTTCTGCATTCTATCGACAATATACTCACGGTCGGAGGCGTTGCTGTCGGAGTAGCTGCTCTCCTCAAATTTGGCTACAATCTCTCGAACAAGAACCCTTTGCTCTTCATATCGCTTGAGATCTTCTGCTGGGGTCGAGGACTTATTCTTCTCGAACCACTCTGGAAATTTGTCGTCGAGCTCCTTCATGGGTTCGAACAAAATGTCCTTGTTGGTCAGTTGCTCCATCATGCCCATGAGCATCTTGGAGAATTCTTCCTCACTGCCTTCGCCGTTGAGGTCTCCAGAGGACATTTGCTTCAGCAGCTCAGACATGAAATCGTCACCGCTACTAGTAGCTGCGGCGGCTGTAGCCTGGTCCCCAGATGCCTGCATTCGTTCCATGGTCCGGCGGATTGTCTCTTGGAAGGGTGCTTCAGAGGCAGTGCCTGGGGCTCCGGCCTTGGCAGAAGAGGAGCCCGCTGCCCCTGTTCCTGGCGCTGCATCCCCTGAAGCAGCAGCCATTTGCTTGAACATATCCTCAAACTGCTGCTGCATTTCCGGCTATTAGGAAAGTATTAGTTCGTGGTAATGACCGACATGGATATGGCTGTAGCAGCATACCGATTGCTCCAGTTCACCTAGCAGGTCAGCCATGCCAGCTTGAAGCTGTTTGGCGAAATCTTCTTCTGAGAATGGCTCTTCTTCAGCAGCTGGGGATTCCTTAGGAGCCGCATCACCCTGCTTGGGTGTTGAAGTTGAAGGGCCGGCACTGCTAGACTCAGTAGGCTTGTTGGCCCCATCCTCAAGTTTGACGGTTGAAAATTCATCTAGCATGTCTGTTACAACGGAGTTAGAACTCTGCGATTTCCAATAACCATAGTATAACTCGTGCTCTGGCCTCACCATCCAAGTCGTCTAGGTCATCCTCATCCGGATCAGGCACGTCTTCGGTTGTTGCGGCCGGCTTTGGGGCCCCAGCTGCAGCAGCATTGCTATCCGTTGCCTTGACCTCTACATCGCCTTCCTTGATCTCTTCTGGAGCGACAGGTTTTGCGTCCATAGCGTCAACGTCTAGGCCGTCACAGACCAATATCAGATCTCCGGGTGCAAATGCCCTCCTGTTGCTGCACAGCTCTTTCGACTTGCTGGATCAGTTCAGGGGGGATAAAAATAGAACCAGGGTTGGAATATAACCGGTAATCACACCGTAGTTGGAGAGGACGGTGCTTGAAGATGCGATGGAAGCATGTGTTCCTCCGTAATTTAGTAAGTTGTTTGGTTTTCATGCCCCTCCAACCCTCCACGGCCCAGCAAAGCCTCGCAATAGGTTTGCTGCTGAGCCGAGGGAAGAGTGGCCTGGTGGTGGAGACACTGTGACAGGGGCCGGTGGCGGGGTGACGAGGGTACACAGGCAAGGAAGGAGCAACCAACCGCCTAGAAGGTTCCGTCGAGTGGCCAGCACTTTGCCCGACAGTGACTTCTTGGACACCCTCTGTGGTGGGAGTATGGAGTACAAGCAGGTGTGACTACCTGACCACTATCTGGTGGCCTTGGGTTTCGTGTCAGGCACTGTCCCTCCTCTTCCGGCGTGGCCTAAGCGGCCTTGCGGCGCTTCAAATCGTCTCCACTTGTCCTTTTACAACAATCCGCCTGTGCTAGTACTGGCAACTTCGACTACGGCAAAGCCTTTGCATCCGTGGATTTCTCTTCGGGACAAGACAAATACTTCAAGCTGTGCTCCCCAAGGGCCCGCGACGATAAGGCTGCCAACCCCGAGTGTTGGTTGTGCGATTCTACGTCCACTTTGCATCGCGCAAACGAAGACCCCTCATTTGGTAACCTCGCGCACAGCCTTTCGAGTCTTTCGACGGCGATCTCCAGCCAACAGCCCGACCACACGTTGACTCTATCAAGTGCCTTAAGATGGCCCTGTGTCAGAATCGATTACAGGAAGAGCGGTAGGTAGAAGGAGTTTTGCACGTGCTAAAGTTTTGCGCCAGCTCTGACCAGAAATGCAGCAAGCAGTGGCGGCGTGACCACCCGTTTGGCTTTTACGCGAAACCCGCGCGTACAAAGGAGGGAATTTTGGACCTGAAGAACTGGGAATGCGGTGTTCCGGGGAAGGAGAAGACAATCTGGGAAGGAGGCTTGTTCAAGCTGACTATTGCGTTTCCAGAAGGTGAGTGACACCGCTAAACAGCGTCGAAGAGTTGCTGCTGACAATATTTATCTCCAGAATATCCTACCAAACCCCCAAAATGTAAGATGCCGAAGAACCTTCGCATTGCTGATATGACTAACGCCCAAAAACAAACAGGCAAATTTGTACCTCCGCTGTTTCACCCAAATGTCTACCCTTCAGGCACCGTTTGTCTTTCAATTCTTAATGAAGAAGAGGCATGGAAACCGGCGATTACCGTGAAGCAGATCTTGTTGGGTATCCAGGACCTCCTGAACGACCCGAACCCTGAGTCACCTGCGCAGGCCGAGGCGTACAATCTGTTCAAGAGAGATCGAGTGGAGTACGAAAAGAGAGTCCGCCGCGTGGTGCGCGAAAACCCAGCACCTTGATGGATTTTCGACATTGGTTTGGAAATGACGAACTTGGTTCGCTCTCCAACAAAGCATTTGGCTATGGCGTTTGGGGAGGTGTGTTTCAGACAACACGCATGGATGATATTGCGAAGGAAGGTATTCCCGACACAAGACGATGGCATTTACTATGATGTTTTGATGAATTTGCGACAGGCGTATTAGGATTAGGTTTCGCACAGTTAGTTTTGAGTCTAGCGCCTGATGATAGACTGTAGGGTGCGCGAGACGGAGAAGAACGTCTATGGAGAGCATGCTTGTTCTAGGGCATGTAGAGACGAATCATTACAAGTCCTTTATTCCCGTGAGGTCTATCCACCTGAATACCACCATATGATGTTTGTGATGTTTGCTGCGCTAATGCAAACTCACTGGCATTTTGTAGTGCAATTTTTCTTCTAAATTTTTCTTCGATCATCCGATTAGTGCACGAAAGGTACTGACGCGATGGCGGCCTGGAGTTCGAAAGCCAGTATACTGGATAGCCATCGAAAGGCCCTAGTAATAGACTAGATAAATTCCCTAAGAAGAAGGTGCAACTGAGACCCTCCCCATCCACGGAGATCTGCGTTCGGTAAAGGGACCCTGCCTCAAGAACCCCTACAGCCCTAAGGTGTCGTACGATTATCTGTCATATTCACTCGGTATGTACGAACGTGGATAGAAAAGGACTTTGGTACGGAGCGAAACGATAACTGAACAATTTTTGGAATTAGGGAGGTTGACCTTTTATCTGCAGACTACAAAGGTATTAGCGGCACACCAGCCACGTTCCGCGAATGATTGATCGCCTCGCCGAAGTCGGCCGGGTCTACGCGACCCCAGGCTTGTACAGAATATAGGTTCAGCAACTGAGACACAACTACGGATCAAGGAGCAGGGCGTCGACAGACTCAGCTGTTGATATGGGCGTTATTATCTACACTCCAACTCCAACCAGGCGGTTTCGGTGGGGGAGGGCCCCGTTTTCACTGCCGCTCTTGGCCTTGACTCATGCTTGACGAGCTCCGGTTCTGTCGAGTGAGGCCGGCAGTATGGAGTCATAGTGGCTTTAGGTTTTCCTTACCAAATGGGCATGTGCTTCTTCTTCTTCTGTTCTCCCACCCTTCAACTTTCTCTTCCACAACCAAGATCAGTATACAATCCCCCCCCCCTGGTTCCCTTTTTTTTTTTTTTGAGCCATTTGGAGGGGCAGTCCGATCGGACGGCAGTGCGCAGCCGAGTCACCAAAAATTACCCCGCCAAGAAGTTGAGAAAAGTTGCTGATGAGCGCAATCGACAGCCATCCAAGCGTCCAGAAGTTTAAGCCGACCGCTCTGCGCCTTGCCAAGCAGTAAGTTGACCTTTCCTTATTTTATTGACAAACGCCTGCTGATTCAATGGTTGTAGAATCCGCCACCGAGGTCCCGATTGGAGTGAGTCCAGCGTCACGAGAGACATCGAGGCCCTTGAGGGACGCATTACTTCCTCGATCAGTCGCTAACGCCGAGTGAAAATAGGTGGAAACATCACCTCCAACAACACAAGTAGGTCCAATGGAATGGCATATTGACAATGGCACGGAATTATGTCTAATCGGTGACTGTGCAGTTTTATGCCATGAGCGTCTGAGCATCGTTGGGGTTGGTAAGTAATTGACCTTGAAAGCCAGGGCTAAACGTGCTGGTGTGCTAAAAAAAACTATCTCAGAGTCTGGCGCTCAGCCTCTGACCAACGATGATGAGTCGCTTGTTCTTGCTGTCAACGGTGAAATCTACAACCATCGTCTGATTCGAAAGCACTTGAGACACAAGTACCACTTCAAGACTACATCCGATTGCGAAGTCATTATTCCTCTGGTGAGCCATCTCAATACTCCAAGTGATTGTATCTGCCAAAAAAAAGGCCTTGTGGCTGACAGCAATGCTGGGTAGTATATGGAATACGGCCTCGATGCCCCCAACCACCTCGATGGCATGTTCTCCTTCGTGCTCTACGACAAGAATCAAGACCGAACTATTGCTGCCCGTGATCCCATTGGTATCACGACCTTGTACCAAGGATGGTCGTGGAAGGAGCCAGGAACCGTCTATTTTGCTTCCGAGCTAAAGTGTCTTCACACCGTCTGTGACAAGATTGTTGCGTTCCCCCCTGGCCATATCTTCGACTCGAAAACTGGCGAGACAACTCGCTACTTCAAGCCCACCTGGTGGGATCCCACCAAGGTCCCTTCAACACCTGTTGATCTGAAGGTGTTGCGCCATGCCCTGGAAAAAGCAGTAAGAAAGAGACTTATGGCCGAGGTTCCCTATGGTGTGTTGCTCTCTGGTGGCCTGGACTCTAGTCTGGTTGCTGCAATTGCCCAGCGCGAGACTCTTCGTCTTAAGCAAAAGGCAATTGCGGCCAACGCTGCCGTGGATCCCGTTGGAAACCCCGACTTGGGCGAGGGTCTTGTCGGTATCGACGACGACGATAACCTCTCCACTCTCACCTACCTTCCCCAGCTCAACTCGTTCTCTATCGGCCTTCCTGGATCGCCAGATAACAAGGCTGCCCTCGAAGTCGCCAAATTTCTTGGGACCAAGCATCATGTCATGACATTCACCATCGAAGACGGTCTCAACGCTCTTTCGGATGTTATCTACCATCTTGAGACCTACGATGTCACCACCATTCGAGCCTCTACTCCCATGTATCTGCTCTCACGTAAGATCAAGGCTATGGGTATCAAGATGGTGTTGAGTGGCGAGGGCAGTGACGAGATCTTTGGCGGATACTTGTACTTCCACGCTGCTCCGGATAAAAAGGCTTTCCACGAGGAGACTGTCCGTCGCATTAATAACCTACACTATGCCGACTGCCTGCGTGCCAACAAGTCTACTTCTGCTTGGGGTCTGGAGGCCCGAGTTCCCTTCCTTGATAAGGAGGTACGTATGGCACGCTGAAATTTGACGTTCAAGAAGGACGGTGAGCTGACAATAGTTTGATAGTTCCTCGAGACTGCTATGAACATTGATCCCCAGGACAAGATGATCACCAAGGACCGCATGGAGAAACACATTCTTCGAAAGGCCTTTGACACTTCAGATGAGCCTGATACTGCCCCCTACCTGCCTGAAAACATTCTCTGGCGCCAAAAGGAGCAGTTCTCTGACGGTGTCGGCTATGGTTGGATCGATGCCCTCAAGGACCACGCTGAGCTGCATGTTACGGATGAGATGATGAAGAACCCTAAGACCGAATGGGGCACTGATATCCCTGATACCAAGGAGGCGTAAGTCGCAGCCATGATACTGAAATTGAAGATATGCTAACACAGACCGCAGTTACTGGTATCGGTTGATGTTTGACGAGCATTTCCCCCCTTCGTGTGCGTCGACCGTTCTGCGCTGGACGCCGACATGGTCTAAGCAGACTGACCCCAGTGGAAGGTGTGTATAGTATTTTTGATTGACAAGACATTTGTGACTAATGGGTTTTCAGAGCCATTTCCACTCACAACGAGAAGTATGAGAACGCTGCATAAATGGTAATGTCCTCGCAATTATCTACGAGGCAACAGGGACATATACGGGATATGCAGATTTGAAGGGCTACAAAAAGTTGCGTGATCGGTCAGTGTTTGAGCATTTGAACTAGTTTTTTGGCCGCTGGTGAAATATCTAGGTATTGTAGACAAGCTAGGGCGGGGATAGATAGATATACAGTTACATTGCAACACTCGTACGCGAATCGTAATAACTAAAAGCAAGGCAACAAGGACAAAGTTGAATGCACTGCGCCATTTGTAGACTCTTGTTTGTTCAGGATTTACTGCATCGATGAGGTTCATCATGTGTATCAGCTCCGAGGTGGCGTCGATATCAATTTTAATCACCAAGCAGGTTGTAATCCTTGACAAGCGCAAAAACTACTCTTGTTTGAATTACGTCCCATTCAGTACGACAAATGCAGAGCATCATGTTCAGCATTAATAAACACAGAAAACGAGTGGCACATCATATCATATAACATTTGACCTGACAAGGATATATCTAAAACACGCTTGTCGGGCGCAATATCATGAAATACTGGGATTTGCTACGGGTGTTTGGCGATTGGCAAAGACGCCCTACCTGGAGCTGTGAGAACGCAAGCTTGGCAAGCTACCGTGGTGATTCTAGTTATCTTGATCGACTTGTAGGGACACTGGTCATTTGACCACTCAGTCGAGGATTGTACACAACATCTTTAGTTTGTCACCATTTCTGGATATGGTAATATAAGCCCCTGAGACGACAGCAGTTCACGTCGTATCAGTTGACAGTCGATGTCCCCTCAGCTGACATCGAGGGACAAGGCTGGAACACTCATCAATCCATCTCATTCAACCCCCACTCCTTTGGATCAAAAAGAAGCAGATTCTGTCTCAAGTCGGGATATGGTGTGGCATGGACACTGGGCTCAGGCTGGAGCCACACCCGAACATGCGACGAGTGACAGCGCCTCAGTTGGCGCAATACCGTCCACGTGGGCCATTGTTGGGGTGCCTGGCGCAAAGTCACGATGGCACTGAGAACGCCGCGGCGGGGAAGAGGAAATGAGAAGATGGCGGAATTGAAAGAGTGGCCATTTTGTACAGGACCCAAACACGGTTGCCGCGTCCCTCTGGTGCGCGTGCGTGTCTGAACGCATATTTCGGCTTTCAGAGCTGGCTTAATAATGGGATCGTCGTTATTGTGTACACGAGCATGGATGGTGTCTGTGAGTCATGGCTTTCCCGCAGAGAAACCCTGAACGTCTGGAGTTTGCGTCTGGAGACGACTCTACCAGTGGGCGGTGGACGCTGCGCTTGACCCGCCAATCTCTATTTGGTGCTGTTTGTCTCGCGAAGCCTCCTGGAGAAGTTGGAGGAGCGCATGAACAACTAATCCGCCATGGCCGCCGTGGCGGCGCTGCATGATCAAGGTGATGCATCCGGTCTAGCGGTTTGAGCTGTTGGCGAAATATCAGCGGACCCGACGGGACCATCATGTTAGGACGACGACAGAGAGACAGATGGATGCCTTCTTACAAGTTGCCATCAGCAGTCGAGCTGGTGCAAAAGCACGGAGTAGAAGGCGCAGGAATATGCAAGCCGTCTAATGTCCACGGCAGATGTGCTTGTCAGTTACTGTCGCCCACTCCATGCAACTGCCATGATTATAGCCGTGAAATTTATACAGAAAAAGAAAACTGCTGAGACGGACAAGGATACAATTACAAGATCATGTATAATTTGACCGGCGATTTCTTGTCCACATCTTTCCGACCATTGATTCCCCGTTTCCTCCATCCGTGTTGCTTGCCCCAACAACGTTGGTCTGGCAAAGTGGGTCTGAAGCACACAGCCACCCAATCAGCTGCTGTCGCACTTGGCCCGACAATTTCCCTATGTCCGCTGGGGTCCCGAAAACTTCCCACCTCTCGCCAGCTCTGGCCCTTCGTCTCCTTGCCCATTGCAACTCGCGTCACAACATCATCACTCTCCTCCAACACTCTCCCAGATACCAATTCTTTTCTTTACCTCCTCGCTCCCTCCATACCTCCAGTCAAGATGTCTGTTCCCGCCTTTTCCGACATTGCCAAGCCGGCCAACGATGTATGCGTTTATTCCCCCGGTTCCTGCCATGGTCGTCTGCTCCTCGGCATACGTTGTACTGGACTCAATGGCTTTTTTAATCGAGCTCAACAACTCGACCCAATGCCATGATATTTGCGCAGAGAGCATACTGCTAACATTGCTTTTTCTTGTAGCTCCTTAACAAGGACTTCTACCACCTGTCGGCCACCACCTTCGAGTTCAAGGACACTGCCCCCAACGGCGTCGCTTTCAAGGTCACTGGCAAGTCCAGCCACGAGAAGGCCACCTCTGCGGCTGTAAGTATTGCGTCCCGTTCAATCCAACTTGGAACGGCTGCTTCTCGCTGGGAAGCAGGTGTCAGGTGTCAGCCCTTGCGCCGTGACAAATACTGACGTTGCAACAGATTGAGGGAAAATACACCGACAAGCCTTCTGGTAAAACTCCCCGCCCCAAGTCTCACCGTCGTCCCGGTATACGACGAGATGGCTCCCTCCCTGTCGTTTCTGTATCACGCATTCTCGGGTCCGCCGCCGGCTGGCCGCTCGAGTTCGCTGCTACCATCCAACCCGGCTACGCTCAGCTGCTAACGAGGTATACGCGTACAGGCCTCACCTTGACCCAGACCTGGAACACGGCCAACGCCCTCGACACCAAGCTCGAGGTCAACGACACCCTCGCCAAGGGCCTCAAGCTCGAGGGTCTCTTCAACTTCCTGCCCGCCACCGCCGGCAAGGGCGCCAAGTTCAACCTCTTCTTCAAACAGCCCGGTTTCCACGGCCGTGCCTTCTTTGACCTGCTCAAGGGCCCCGTTGCCAACGTCGATGCCGTTGTCGGCCACGAGGGCTTCCTCGCCGGTGCCTCTGCTGGCTACGACGTCAACAAGGCTGCCGTCACTGCCTACAGCGCTGCTGTTGGGTACGCTGCTCCCCAGTACAGCGCTGCCGTCACTGCCACCGACAACCTGAGCGTCTTTGCTGCTTCCTACTACCACAAGGTCAACAGCCAGGTCGAGGCTGGTGCCAAGGCTACCTGGAACTCCAAGACTGGCAACACTGTCGGCCTTGAGGTCGCCAGCAAGTACCGCATTGACCCCGTCTCTTTTGCCAAGGTTCGAACTTGCTACGCACCGAAGTCATGGTACCTCGGATAGCTGACAATTTGTGCAGGTCAAGATTAACGATCGCGGTATTGCCGCCCTCGCTTACAACGTCCTCCTCCGTGAGGGTGTTACCCTGGGTCTTGGTGGTTCTTTCGACACCCAGAAGCTCGACCAGGCCACTCACAAGGTAGGACTTGTTTATTTGATACCTGGTTCATGGATAAAAAAAAAAGGAACGAAATCCCCTCTTGCTAACAATGTCAATAGCTCGGTGCTAGCTTCACTTTTGAGGGTTAAAAAGCTCATAATCACCCCGAAAAAAACAACCTCTCATCTAGCAGCTCCCGACATGTGCTACTAGATCAAAAATATCTATCCTCAGATTGAAGCTGCAAAGGGCACGCTTTTTGTATCGTACTAGAAATGTTGCATCGGGGGTTAAGTGGCTTCCATGTAGATATAGGAGTGAGACGAAGATCTAAATAATGAACAATTCTCACGACACATGTTGGGGCCAAAGTAGTAGGTGAATGTGCTTAAAGTCTAAAAATTTACCGTACCATACTCTGATGTGTTGTCCAATGCCCCAACAGCCCTATATACAAAGCCATGTATGCCGCCGTGATTGGCCCCTCACCAAACTGCCCGTGTTTCTTGACCCTGGAGCAGCAACACGATAGTATATATATATATATCGCGGCCATGAACCATGCTGCCAGCAGCAACAGCCGTCAACAGGAACCCCCGTGCCCAACCCGTCACACGCCGTCCCTGTTCCTCCTCCCCAGCCGCATAAACTGCAAGTAAACAAGGGGCGCCACCATGGTCGCCGCCAGGATGCCCATGATGATGAAGAAGTGCCCCGCCAGACTGGTCTGCGGCTCAAACTCGACGTCGTCGTCGCCCATGGCCCGGCGGCGCTCGTGCCGCCGCTCGTCCTGCCGCTGGTGCGTCCGCGCGTGAGCCCGCCTGTCAAAGTGCGGCACGTCGTCGTCGGGCCTGCCCGCGCCGAAGGGGCTGGACCCGGGGCCCATGCCGCCCTGCGCCTGGCCCGGCGCCTGGTGGAAGTGCTTCCAGGGGTCTCCCCGCGCCGACGAGGAGGTAGAGGTAGCGGTAGACTCCTCGTGGGCCTGGCGCCTCTTGTCGGCGTGCGCGCCCCAGCCGCCGCTCCTGTAGAAGCTCGGCGGGGGGCCGCGGAAGGTCCCTCTGCGCTTGGAGAGACCCGAGGGCGGGCGGCCGCCGGCGTGGTGCTGGTGCTGGTGCTGGTGCTGGTGGGCGGTGGTGCTGTGGTAGGAGCCGGCGGGCGGGGAGGCGTGGTGGTGGTGATGATGCGGGTGGTGCAGGCGCAGGACGTCGCGGTCGTACTGGGCGCGGCGGGAGGCGTCGGAGAGGACGTTGTAGGCTTCGGAGAGGAGGGAGAAGTTTTGGGCGGCGCCGGGCGCCGGGTTCACGTCCGGGTGGTGCGACTTGGAGAGCAAGTAGAAGGACCTGCGGGTTGTTGTTTTGCTTCTGGTTGGCCTTTTGCGTCTTGTCTTTTGGGGGGGGGGGGGGGGGGGGGAGGGTGAGGGGAGCTCAACTTTTTGATTTCGCCGGGCGAGGCATCGTGGTGGATGCCCAGGCGCTCGTAGTGATTCTGCTTGGCAAAGTCGGATGCTCTGGTGAGGGAGGCGTGGAACCGGCGCAGGTGAGCGGTGGCGGATGCGCCGTGCAGAGTTAGTGGTTGGGCCGCGAGCGCGCGACCTGCAGCGAGACGAAGTGGCATGCCTCGTGCTTCATCACGATTTCTGTCCTGTCCTTTTTTTTTTTTTTTTTTTTGGTGGTTGTGTGCTGCGTAAATGTCGGTGGGCGGTTCGGTGGTGATGAAGGAAGGACGTTGGAGTCGTGTGCGGTCAAGGCAGGGTGGCGGCGGGTGGTGAGGTCATGGCGGGTGCTTTTGCCGGCCCGGAGACCGAGACTGCGTGCGGCATGCAAGGTATGTGACATGTCCGGAGAACACCACCAGACGATACGGCTTGCGACGCCCATGTTGAAGTGCAAACAGATACACAATGGGAAATTTATTTGGTACTTTACAACCGTGGCAATCCTGAAAATCTAGCACTAGTGTCGTTCTATTCAGCTACAGAAAAAAAAAAAAAAAAAAAAAAAAAAAAAAAAAAAAGCGTGCATGCAATGCTGTCTATAACCAAACGCCATGACCTACGACCCAATCGGCCGCCGCATGGGGTGCGCTTCCGTGTTAAACACCCATTCGTCGAGACTGATGACATCTTCGTCTTCAAAAGTGAGAAAAAAGTATTTAGTTGTTTCCGCAAGCCAGAATGTCTGCCAAAGTCAGCTCCATACATCAAACTACTCATCACCTTGGGGACCGCAAATACTCACCTCCATGGAATCAAGCTTGGCACTCCCGTGCCTACTCGCATCCTGAATGGAAGCAAACGCCAACTCCGTCTCTGTCTCCTTGACTATGCCCTCCCACATTCGCCATGCTGCGTCGCGCCAGACAGGATCCCCCGTCACGCGCCACATGTAGAAGACGCTTTCAATGCCTTCCGGTCTCAGCATGTACCTCCCGTCGTTGATCCGAAGAAACCCGCCTGGCAAATTCTTGCTGCTGCCTGCGGAGAACCTATCTTGTTCGTAGGGACACGGCTGGTCCATATTTTCGCACTTGACCAGCTCAGTTCCTTCGGGCATGATGTTGGTCGGGAATGAGTCGTAGCCCCAGACGCAGCCCGCAGTGAGGCGAGCGGCTAGGTCGACATAGTCGTTGCGTCCGACGAGCTTGCCGGCGAGGGCGTACATGCCGCCCACGAAACAGGTTAGATGCTGCATTTGCGCAGTGCTTTCTCGCTTGCCCGTAAAGGTATCCAGGTTGCCTGACATGAGGATGTCCTCGTCCTTGGGCGTCATTGGCTTGAAGAGCAGCTTGTCTCGACCGGCATCCAAAGACAGGATTGTCATCTCGACGTATTCCGGGTCCAGTCCGCCGAGCAAGGCGTGCATCTTGGGAAGGTACTCGTACTGCGAATCGGCGCCAGCTCCGAAAGTGAAGAAGCCATCCTTAATGGTGCCCTCGCGGAAATTCATATCCCATGGCCACAGACCAGGGGCCTTGGTGTGGTTCTGATTTTCATAAAAGAACTGCTTGACCCGTTCCGTGGCATCGTAGTACTTGGCGTCCCCGGTGATTTGGCTGAGACGAGTGAACTCGACGCAGAGCGATCCGCTGGCGGCGCCGGAAATGCTGGTGTCGCCAAGGGTCTCTCCGTTCTCGGCCTTGGTGTAGCTGAGCCAGTGAGTCGGTAGGCGGTTCGGCGTGTCAAATGCCATGTACAGCGCATCGCCAAGCTCCACGGCCTTCTTCAGCAGTACCTCTTCTCCCGAGAGGTCGTAGGCCGACAACAGCCCCCCCAGATATCGAATCGTCACCTCAAACACGTTGATGTTGCTGCCGTCGGTCTTGGACCAGTTAATCTTGGCAACCTCCCTCACGGCATGGCGGAAATCATCCTTCAAGCCCAAAATCCACAACGAGTCGAGAGCGTCGACCAGCTGGGCCGACCACCCCGAAAAAGTAGTCTTGCCCTTTCCCGAGAGCGGCATTAGCTCATCCTTGCCCCACGCGTATTGCTTGTACGCATTCCAGCTCTTTATGAAGGCCTTTCGCACAGCCTCCCTCCGAGACTTGGAAGCATCATGGCTGTCCTCGGAGGCTGCTCGGGCTTGTACCCGAGGCAAGGTCTTGGGTCTTCCCGACGGTAGCGGGACTGTCTTGTTCGGTGGGAAGTAGATCTTGGCCTGGCTCCAGTCAATCGTGCTGGGAACGTAGGGAATGGAACTGCCGCCAGGGGCCTTGAACGGCAGGCGGGAAGGGTTGAAGCCCTGCCAGAGGATGATGGCCAGCAGGAAGAAGACGGCGAGGGCGATGTAGCGCCGGGCGGGCAGTCGTCCTTGGAGGCTCAGCATGGCGGGAGCATGGTTTGCCAGACTCTGTCTGGTGGTCCAGCCGACAAGGACGTTTGGAGGCGAGGATTCGGACTCGTTGACGGACGAGTCGTGGTTTGTAAGAAGTCAAGTGGTAGGAAGGCAAGGTCTTGGGGGTTGCTTGTGGACAATACGGAAGAGTGTCGGGCAGACAGCACTTGACCGTCCTCCGACGCCAAAGCACGAGCATAGCCCGACGGGCTCGCTCCATGCTCTATACTGGATACGGAGCGCGAAGTACGGAGCTCGGAGTAGATCAGGGTTGGACAGGGTTGGACGGGGCTGGTGAGGACCGGTCAGGGCTCGTCAGGGCTCGTCAGGGCTGGTCAGGGCTCGTCAGGGCTCGTCAGGGCTCGTCAAGCATGCATGTGTTGTAACTTTGTACATGGGCAGGTGCCTGGTGGATGCTTCCGTTTGGAAGCCATCATTGGCGGCTCATTGGCTAGCATCAAGTCATGGTCCGTTCCCCAGGCCCAGCCGTGTCTAAAGTGGGCAGTCATCCCTTGGAGTGCGCCAAGGACTCAGGGTGCCGGTAAACATTGAAGTCTGTTACGTGGATAATATCCAATGAGAGCCTGATAACCAAGCAAATACATACATGTGTGCCCACTTGATTATCATGATAATGAAAAGTAACCAAGATTGTACAGGTAAATATCAGGTACCTCGATGCTTAACGAGGGTGCCCTGGGGTACTCCGTAGATCGAAAGCCGCCAGCACCTTGGCGCACTCAAAATTAATCACACACATTCACCCGCACAGCCTTAGGATGCCCTACCCGGCTGCACTTCACGTCACACGACTTCGTCCTGCAACACCTGCAACACCTGCAACAGATTTCAGCCCCTGACCCAACATGAATTTGTTCCCCACCGATCGGGGCTGCCTGGATATTGATCACAGGGGGCTCTGTTGTACATACGTGGCACATTGTACATATGTCGATATGCTGTACATGTGTACATCGAAGTACTACGTAGTGCTCTCGCGAGCAGACAGACCGGAGACCCTGCTTTGATTGGGTAACTGGGCACGCGACACCTTCACATTGATCAAGCGTCAACCAGGTTTAACGAATGGCTGCTGTAATAACTATCTACTAGTTCCTTTTCCCTTCCTTTTTTTTCTTAAAAAAACATCTTAATGAGTGTTTGCGAGTTGGTCATAAATCAAATTCCACCAGTCTGAGACCACAACCACAAAAGTCCAATTTTGGCCAAGGCTTTTTCTGTCTTGGTAGGCTGCGAATCTTGCCTGCGCATTGTTGGCTCTATAGTTTGCACTCTTCACCTGAGGCTGCCCGTCCAGATCCTTCTTTAGTGGCGAGTTCCCCCGTCCAAAAAAAAAAAAAAAGAAAGACTGCCTCTAAACATGCCGCCTGTGCAGTTGCTCGCTCACTCCTACCACACCTCTGTCTAGGCATGCAGCCCCTTCTGCGACCCAAAAAAAGATCTGCCATCAGTATCAAAGCGGCTTGTCCTGGGTGTCGATGCCGCGGGTCGAGTGTCTAAAAACCATGTAGGCAGTCTCAGATTCAGCCCACTGCCTTCTCTTCGGTTTCGACAACGTCAAAAGTCCTCGACGTCTGTCCATAGGAATGTGCCGTAGCTTTGATCGTCATCCCAATCGTAGCCACTTGTCCACAAGACCTCGCTCGCTTAGAGGCCTGGCCGGTCCTCAAAGTCCTGCTAAGCCTTGCAGCGGCAAGTACTCAAAATTCGAGTGCTTTAGGTTGTCACGCAGTTCCTCGCCGCTAATTCCAATCGACTTCTCTCTAGCTTCAGTTGTCACTCAGTCGTAGCCGCCGCCAATCTGACTATGAAAGGCAGTGCTGACGCTCTTCTCGTCGTCGTCGTATCGTCTGCCAAAGCCGCTGCCCGGTGCTATCCGGCCATTGCTCTCGACATATTGCTTGAGTCTGTCGCTTTGCGTATATGAGACCGGCCGCATTCCCGTGACTGCATCATGCAACCCAGATCCCAAGCTGACACCGCCTTGACTGACCCCCTTACCCCCAATAACGCTGGTGGTCGTGTCTGTAAGTTCCGAGTTCGCAACGCTCTCGCCAGCGATGCTCTCCGTTGCGCGGCTGCGTCCTTTGTTACCTCGGCCAGGCACTCCTGGCAGCCCAGGCCACTGTTCTGGTGTGAAGCTGGAAAACATGGGAGGGAACGCAGAGTTGAGAGCAGCACCCCCAAAAGCGGAGCCTTGGATCGAGGACACATCATCAGGGATGTACGACATCATAGATCCAGAGTCAAAGTCCCGGCCTGGAGTTGCGCTGCCGTTGAAGCGTCCATTGGTGTATCCACCAGCGCCGTACTGAGACTGATAGTTGTTCTTCTGACGGAAGCTGACCTTGGGTCGGCTAAACTGCAATAGACAGGCTTGAAGATTTGTGAGAGGGCCCTCGACGAAGCACTTGCGATCCTTGAAGTGTACAAGCAGATTGTGCCAAAGCTCGTGTTTCGAAAGCACCTTGGGGTTGCCCAGAATTACCAGGCCATACTTGGCTCGGGTAAGTGCAACATTCAGACGGCGAGGGTCTGACAAGAAACCGATGCCCTGGTTCTCGTTGGAACGAACACACGAGAGGACAATGAAATCCTTCTCGCGACCTTGGAATGCGTCGACAGACGCGACTTCAACCTCCTTGTAGTATTCCTTCTTGAATGAACCCGAATTCTGCATGGTAGTAACAATATAACTTCTCTGGCCTTCATACGGAGTAATGACACCAATCTCCGATGGCTTGACACCAGCTTTGAAGAATCGAGTCACGGTCTTTTCCACATTGGAAGCTTCGGTGCGGTTGAGATAGGAGGTTCCCGAGGTGGAAATTTCCTCGTTGCCGAGATTCGACCAGAACATCATGGGGGTTTCTGCAATAGGCCAAGGGAATTCTACATCCCTTCGCAGACGTTGCTCATGAGTGATGCCGTTTTGCAAGCTACCGTCGTAGAACATATTTGAAGGGAACTCTGAAAGACATGGGTGCATTCGGTACTGCGTAGTCAGTCGAATGGGTGCAAGCTGGAGTTTGATCAATCGCTCAAACAGAGACTGGTTAAGACCAGCTTTTGCAGCCTTCTTGTTCATAATGACAGGTCCAAGCTGCTTATGGTCCCCAACAAGAACAACTTGCTTGCAGCCAAGAACCAATGGAATCATACACTCAGGCTCCGCAGACTGTGTAGACTCATCGATGAGCACATTTCGAAACTTCATCTTGGACAAGCGAGGGTCGCCTGCACCAACACAGGTGCAGCAAACAACGTCGGCATTGTTGAGAATTTCTCGCTCGGCCGCTTTCGTGAGCTGCTTAAACTTTTTCTCATCTTGGCTTGAAAGTTCTCCAACGTCATTCTTGAGCTGTGAGAGCTTGACGAGCTCGCTGTTATGCTCCGACAATCTAACCTGCTCGTGCAAGGCCAGGAAGCTGACAGAGGACTCGACATCCTCTCTCGACTTGGCCGTAAGTCGGACGACCTTCAGGTTAGTATTGTGAATCCGTTCGCAAAGCTGGTCAACAGCGACGTTGGATGGTGCACAGACGAGTACTTGGTTGCCGCTCATCTTGGCAAGATGATAAATGATAGTTGCGGATGTCACCGTCTTTCCGGTCCCGGGGGGTCCTTGAATAAGACTCAACGGCTTCTGCAGGACAGACTTGATGGCGTCGATTTGACTTTGGTTGAGTTCAGGAAGCCCAGGAACAGACCACTTTCTAGGTAGCCTCGACTGCACCGGCTGAAGCTGAACCTCGTGGCCCAAAAGGGTGTGGAAGATGTAGCCAGAAACACTCATGTCATCGACAGCAAACGTCTTCATGGCCAACTGCATGCGATCATATGACGTTGCCTTCCAGACATAATCCGCAGAAAAATTATGAGATAGATCGGTAGGCACGAGCTTGTCGTTTCCAGTCTTGCGCAATTCTAAGCCAACTTCATCGGACTGGCTGTTTGGGATCTTGATGACATAACCAACACCTTCCCACGGCTCCCGAAGCTCACCATTATATCGAAGCCTCATTTCATCACCAACCGCGAGCTTGACATCTCCGGATTCAATCTTGTGTAGATTAAAGCTCACGAGATGCTTGTTGTTGAGGCCGTAGTCCCATCGAACGATTAGACCGTCTTCGGATTGCGCTTCCTTCAGTTTCTTGTCATAGTCAGACTCCATCTTGACCAGAGGCCCAAAGATATTTTGATAGTGGTATGGGTCGTCGTATCGTAACAGGACTGGGTCCGGATCGTCATCAATGTTGGATGCTATCGACAAGCTTGCAACAGTTGCGGAGGGTTGGACTTTCCACATCTCCTCCAGTTTGGCAATCGTGTTGGGCGAGAGATGGCGAGCACGAAGCTGCTCAACATCGGATGGGGCATTAACAAGCCAAGTGAGAAATGCTCGCTCCTCGATAAGAGGCTCCCATCGGGAAATATCCCAGTTCATATCCTTGGTCGAAGTGCTAGATGCGCACGGCTGGCGGCACAAAAGAACAACTACGGTGTCCGATTTGGCTGGAATAAAGCCTAGCAAGAAGGCATTTTTTGTGCCACAGTTGTAGCATTCCAAAACCGTATCCCCCAGTGTCGAGTCGGGATGCAGCTGAACCTCCTTATGTCTCGCTCGGACCAGATGATTCACGATATGGGTCGACGTGCCATTACCTTTCGCGCTGCAAAACCACTTGTTGCAAGTAAGGCATTTGACGACGCAGGCCGGAGAGTGAATGCCACAATACCTAGATTTATCGTGTCAGATCAAGAATACATCGTATTTGGCTTTGTGATGCATCGTTGCTTACGCGCAAGCGTGAGGAGGAAGCTCCTTCTCTTCGTCCACGGCCTTGAGTTTAAGGCCACTCATACCCTCTACGGGAACGCTGTTGAGACTGTCATTTTCATCTTCCTCGAAAGCCTCGGTCTGGTTATCGTCGTCATCGGCGCGACGACGCCCGCCACGACCGCCTTCGTACTTGCCATAGAGCAAGCTCTCGTCAGGATCGAGTGCAGACAAGTCATCCGCGCCAGCCTTAATGGCAGCGGCTGAGTCAGATATAAGATGGTTCCCTACATGAGTAAAGGCGCCTTCCATGTTGTTTCTGATTGGGATGTGTTCTGAGGGGTCGCCGGTCAGCGTTGTGTTTTTTTTAATTTTTTTCAACCTTGGTGCTGTCAGCAAGAAACCAAGGACAAGGATGGGTAAAAAAAATACAGCCGGGTTGGTTGTACCACGGATGCAGTGCAATAATTCACTGCTTGTGTACTAAAAAGTTTCAACACTAACCCACAGAAGCGAACTTTGTTCGAAATGATCTGCCCGGCGCAGCAAAAGAGAAGCGCTTCGGGCGGGATGGATTTGCAGGTTTCGTAGTTGCAGATCGTGGTTTAGGTTCACATTATCGCGGCAAAATTTTGTGCTCGAAGACGGCCGTGTGGATTTGATAGCTGCGAGATCGACCGTGCTATCTAACAATCTGCGAAGAAGAACAGTTCTGTGAGGGAAAAGCTGAGGGATGTAGGTAAAGTTTTGCTTTCCGGGTCAGTTCCTGATTCATCGCCTCTAATGAAAGCCACCCCGACCCTGATGCGGCGGCGACCTATAGTGGGACAATTTTGCGCCCACGTGATAAGCGGGCTTCCTTATCGATAAGGCGCAAAAAAGTTGGACAGCCGATGGGGTGCTCTATTCTCTAGGTCTGTCTAGTATGAAGAACCAACCCTTACTTCAAGTTCTCTCACAAAGAAAAGAAATTAAAGGCCAGAAAAATGATTGTAAGTACTGCGATGATACTGAACCAATGTTTGACTCCGTACTGACTTCGTTTCTTCTCAATAGCGTAAACAAGCACGACAGCGAAGAGACTATCTCTACAGAAGGGCCCTTCTTCTGCGAGATGCTGAAGTCAGTGAAAAGCGCGCCAAGTTACGGGCATCATTGGCATCGGGCAAGCCTCTCGACCCCTCTATTGCCAATGACAAGAGCCTCAGAAAAGACTACCAATACGACGAATCAACTCCCGACTTGGGCGTGAATGAACAACTAGACTTGGACGACGAATATGCTCAACTCTCTGGAATTGTTGACCCTCGGGTCCTTGTTTCAACATCACGAGACCCTTCCGCCAGACTGTCAGCATTCGCAAAGGAAATCAGATTGCTGCTACCTACATCTATTCGAATGAACCGTGGTAATCTTATTCTTCCCGATCTGGTCAAATCAGCCCAATCCGCGGGGTTGTCAGATATCGTTCTCCTTCATGAACACCGTGGCACACCAACGGCTCTCACGCTGTCGCACTTTCCTCACGGACCTACAGTCTCGTTCTCGCTACACAATGTCGTACTGCGACATGATATTCCAGGGAGCGTGCGAGGCACGGTAAGCGAATCGTATCCTCATCTCATCTTCGACGGCTTTACGTCTCCGCTGGGCAAGCGCATTGTCAAGGTCCTGAAGCACCTCTTCCCCCCACGGGAGGCCATCACGAGCAAAAACAAGATGGGTAACCGTGTTGTCACGTTCAAAAACATCGAGGACAGTATTGAGGTCCGCCATCATGTTTTTGTTAGAACTGGCTACGATAGCGTCGAGCTTGCTGAAGTCGGTCCTCGAATGACAATGCGCCCCTTTGAGATCCGCGGGGGTACACTCGAGAACAAGGATGGTGATGTTGAATGGCACTTGTCGCAGTATACAAGAACAGCAAAGAAGAAGAACTATCTTTAAGAACCTACGGCGGGACGGCAAACTTTTTCTCAATACTCTATTACGAAAGCCTGTCAGGTTGCCTGTGGCAGCTGCATACGTAGTGGCAACTCAGTCGTGTCTGGTAGCGAGAACGGCATCAGGCCGATCAGTTGTGGCCGAGACGGCAATGGCAGATACCACACTACGTGTCTCGAATATCAATGCAGTGCGTCGAGCGTGGTTGAGCATGCTCCTGTGGATTCAAGCAAGTCCTATTCGATACCGAACTAACAGTGCGCCTCTGGTCTGAGCATTTGGACCTCTGCATGGCGGCCACTCGCCTCGAACGGGAAGAGGACAGACGGCATCTGCGTCAACCTGCGTAGAACCAAGGGTTGCTTCAGCAAGATAATTGTTCACAGCATAATAGTCTATCTGGAGGAAAGAGGCTCGAGCGGCAATGTCGGCGCAGATGATCATGCGGAGGATACCCACGCGACTTATTAGCAGTTTCTTGGAAAGTAGAATGCAGTGTATACATCACTAGTTGTCATAGTTCATGTCCTGTTTGACAGCGGTGATGGACCAGCGCAAGCGTGTAAAGCAACTCTGAGATTCATTCATGGCAATTGAGCGTCAAAACTGTCATCTTGAACAGCAATGATGTGTCCTAGTTTTCAAAATCATCGCCATTAGCGCAAAATAAGCCTGAACCAAGCTATTAAAGTATCAATTGAGTCAATACACAAACGTCTCTCCCACACATTCTTCACTCAGCGTCCAACACCTCTCCGCATCCCCCTCGTCCAACGCCCAAGCATTAACACAGGCAGGGTCGCTTGTGATTTTACAGTCAGCCAGATACACCCCATGGCCGAGCGTGGGATCCAGCGCAGCAACTAACGTGGTAGCACAGCCCTGGCACACAGTCTTTCTTCGAGAAGCCCTCGCTTCTACAAGGCTCTTGCCCGCAATCTTTTGTGCCATGTCCTCGGCAATGTCCAAAGAGATGTACTTTGACAACCCAGTCTCGACACTGCCGGGGTCCAGAGCAAATGACCGCACTCCCTTTGAAGCCAGTTTCTTGTTCAGCGACACCGAGAAGAGAATTTGTGCCGTTTTGGACTGTGAGTACGCCCTTTGTGGCGTGTAAGTTGTCCTGAAATGAATGTCCCCCCAGTTCATGCCGCTGTACTTGTTGCCCACGCTTGACACATTCACCACTCGTGCATTTCCGGCGGCGAGCAACTTTGGCATGAGCTTGTTGACGAGCAGGAAGTGGGAGAGGTGGTTCGTGGCGAATTGCGACTCAAAACCGTCTTTTGTCTGGGAATACGGAGGAACCATGATTCCCGCATTATTGATAATGGTGTTGATGAATGGAATGCCATCGTCGTCGAGGATGCATTGTGCAGCCTTGCGGACACTCTGCATTGATGAGAGCTCGGCCTCTACGAATCTGACATTGATGGAGGAGTTGGCTCGTTTGATATGGTGGACCGTGGGCTGGCCCTTCTCGACAGATCGTCCGACCAGAATTATTGTTGAGGGCGAGGCAGCGGCCAAGGATATGGCTGTTTGCGCGCCAATGCCCCCTGGGGTTGGGCCTGTGATGAGGACTGAACATGCATGTAAGTGACATGTCTAAATGCTGTATACCAAGGTGGGTGCGCGTGAAGCGTACATGTTTTACCCTTGACTTCTTGAGCAAAGGTATTGACCACTTCGTGGCATTCTGTTTCGAAACCAAAGTTGCTCATGATGTTGGGTCTGGTAGATGGGTTCAAGCTCTTAATTGCAATCCAGGTGTACTATTCACGGAGACGCAACTCATGGGTTTCACGCATTTTATATCCCAGTCCGGATCGGCCATCATATTTCACTGCGTACATACATAGAGGACGGATTTTATTCTCGGCGTTTGCGGCAGGCTTCCTCGCTGCCCTAGTTTGGTGGTCCACTGGACGTCGTTTCGTGTCAGACGGCCGCAAGGCGTAGAGCCGTAATCCCCGGCGCCATCTTTACGCCACTGAATGTGATTAGTCGTTTTCCTTTGAACGAATTTCATACAATGAGATGTATGCAGCAAGTATTCGCCAGGACAGGTACCGGCCTCTACGCACCGTATCATACTACCCTGCTGGCCCGAATGATACTTTCGTTGCCATCGTGAAGCGACCGCAAACAGGCAACCCGTAATTTTCCAAGGAGCCTCTTGATAAACATGCGTGGCAAAGCAAAATACTCCGGACTGAAATTCTTATCGGCGATAATAATGACGTGGGAATGTGCAAAATAGCCTTCAACAACTCGTCAGCATTCCTGCTCCAATCTCGTAATCCACAGTGTGTAGGATGAGAAGCTGATGGATGGGCCAAGGGTTCAATGGGGGAAGAGAGAAGTCGAACTTGATGAAAGGTGATAACAAAGGCGATAGATGATGATGGAAGAAGGTGGCTGATGATGAAAAAAGTTAGAAAGTCTACTGGACTGGTCGCCCCAAAGCTAGGTTCATAGTCAAGAAAACTGGGCAAGGAGAAGAAATTAAAAGGCAAACTCCACAAGACCTGGGGAAAACTCCCAAAGGAGGCAAATGTGGTGTCAAAATTGCAATTACTAGTAGTTAACTTCGTAGACGTAGTAATGATGCTGGTGACTCGGTCGACTTTCCGCCGCAACACTTCTAAGTTGATACTAGGTATCCTACCCTGGGGGCGAGGTATAGATAATGGGAGACCTTGAACGCCATCCATTTTCAGGGCCTACCTACCTAGGTAGGTAGTAGTTAAAGGCTATGTCCGGCCTAATTAGGAAGTAGCTGATGTTTCATCGTGGCTTATGCCAGGCTGCGAGAATAAAGTCAGCTCATAATCTGCCGTCTAGCATCTACTTCGTAGTAGGAGGCGAAAACTACTAGGTACCAGGGGGCAGACGGCCAGATGCAGACCGAGTACCTAGCTATCGCGCTCTATTACCATATACGACAGTATAGTACGTAGTGTATACTGATCATGCGAATATTGTGCTATAGACTGATAGACTTATGTAGTGATTCTCTGTAGATCTATCGCTCTTTTGGCACAGCCTCGATCTGTGACGACAGGCAGCTTCTCTGGGTCCTATTTTTGGCCTTTGTCCAAGACGAATGCCGCGCCACGGTGACCATCATCAGGGTCCTGTTTTACCAGGTACTGGTGACGAAAGACCGGTGGAATCGCTCTGGCCAAAATGGCGAATACGAGGCTTGCTGGTGTTTGGTCCGTTCATTGCCGGATTGTTTTTGTCCAAGAAACATTGCTCAGCCACCCATTGGCCAATGTCAACATGAGTTCCCGTGCAAGCCGCCGCATCCCTGCAGACTTGTCAGCCCCACATGACATGCGCATGTTGTTCTTGCCTCCAAAGAAACATGTTTAGTTGCAACCTATCTTGTGGAATGCTTGCTGTCTTTGGGCCATTCAAGTGCAAAATTCTGGTAAGAGGCAAAACAGTGATGCATCAATGGTAACATGATTGTGCTTGGTAGAGGTTGAGGGCATCTGGACTTTTACGGAATAGAGAGATGTCCAACCTGCCTGTCTCTCTGGTTGCTCCTGCCTGCCTGGTGGCGCAACAGCACCAACCCTGCCTCGTGGGCTCCCAGTAGTATTACTCCTTGCTCCTTCCCCAGCAGGCTGTCAAGTGGCGCTCCTGCTTCGTCAGACATGCGACCGGCTTGTGCACTACGTCGTAGTACTAGTAATTCCGTAGTAGCCGTACTAATAAAACCGAGCACCAGCTCCTTCCTCCCGGCGTTCGCTATCCGTCGTCCGCCACAGGAAAAGCCAAGTCCTCTTCCGCCAGCTCCATTTGTCCCACTTTTAACTTGAGAGCTCTCGCCTGTCCGCCAACCCTCCCCAGTGTCGTCTCAGTGTTTTCGCCGTGTTTTGTCGTCATCTTCGGATGAACGCGCCCATCGATATCTCTATTCGCACTCTGACGTCGCACCTCTGCATTGAAACCAGAAGCAAAGTTGTCCCATAATGTCGTACCAACAAAACCCGTATTCCCCGGCGCCTCCCCAAGATGCAGGGCGCGCAGAGAGTGAGGTAAGCTTGTCCGCGAAGTTTCTCGGCGCATCCGGCATCGTCATAACATTATGAACGAGTTACTTTCCTGCAGGGCGTGTTTGCCCAGCAAGGTGTCAATTGTTGCCCGGAGTATACACCATTTGCTAACTATCATGTTTTTCAAAGGATAATCGCTGGGGAGTTGGCCGTTACGAAATGCAACCTTTGAACAACCAGCGACCGGTCAGCTACCAACAGCCGGTCAGCTACCAGCAGCAACCACCACCGCAGCAACAGCACGATGGGCTTTCAGAAGCGCAATTTCTGGATCAGGTCCAGGGCTTGCGCAACGACATGAAAGCCTTTAATCAATCCCTCGATGAGCTCAGCAAGCGTCACAAGCGAAGTCTGGCCGACAGAGACGCCAAGGACCAGTTCGGTGACTATCGCTTTGAAGTGCAAAATCAGCGAGAAATGCTCCAGGATGGGGTCAGGCGCCTTGAGAACGACCTCGCCAGTACCAGTCCCTCCGACAAGGCTCGCCAGACCAAGAAACGCCATCTACAGTCGTTAAAGACTCCGCTACAAAAGGTCGTGGAAAAATATGTCAAGGTGGAACAGGACATTCGGAATGGCGAGGAAGCGGAGAGAATACGCCAATTGGGACTTGTCCACCAGGATTGGGACTACTCGAGGCTTCAAGAAGAAGCACGCCGTGACTGGGGCAATGAAGGCGTTTTCCAGGATGCTGTATGTGCTCCAATTTATCTCCCTACATATATTTTCTTTTTGCCCCTTCCTCGCAAGATATTTCACAGGCTGACAATTCTGTTAGCTCATGAACAACCGCAGTGAACAAGCCACTCAAGTACTCGGTAATGTTCGCGCTCGCCATCAGGACTTGCAGCGTTTGGAGAAGGACCTTTCCGAAATTGCCCTCCTGTACCAGGAACTTGCCACCATGGTCGAGCAACAAGACGAAACTATCGTAGCCACAGAGCAAAACGCCGAATATACTGTCGACAACATGGAGGCCGGTAATCAGCAAGTCAAGGTAGCAACAGACCATGCTCGTCGTGCCCGCAAGCTCAAGTGGTGGTGCCTCCTCCTCTGCGTCATCATCATCATTGTGGTCGCTCTTGGTGTTGCGCTGGGTATCTGCCTCAACGGCAACAGGTGTAGCGGCGGCAAGTAGTGATTGCGGCACTTGTATCATATTTCCACTGCCAGATGAAGAAGTAGCTGCGGAGCGAAGCTTGGTTGCTCAAAATGAGCACGTCATACATGTCACAAACGATATCGCTTCATATCGTGACATCTCGGGAGTCAGAAAAACTGTCTGCTCAAAGAGGTGGGTTGTTCAGTAATATTATATTCTGGTTGTTGAGGAGATGTTGGCGCAGAATCAACGCCCAACATACGTTTTGTTGTTGGATATGCGAAGTATTTCACAGTCGGGAGGAAATGGTCCGGGATGGATCTGCGACGCATGAAGTGGCATGCAAGCTCAAATCAACACGCCATGGCTGTATAAATTGGTCAAGGAAAGTCATTCTATGTTCACGGGATACGGATTTCAGTATAATTTTGTATGAGAAGTAATGTGTAGGAAGGAAGAGGGCAATTTCACGCGTCACGAATTCGTCCGTATAGAACTCGATATCTCTATATGTACCCGGTTCGATACGGCGAGCTTGACCATATTGTACTTTAAACTCCGTGCCTTCACGGTACAACCGTTTGCAAAAGTACGTTTAATTATCCAAGCACCTCACACACTTGAGCCAGTAGACAGCAAAAATTTGGAGAGAAGTTTCATAAGTTAGGTACTTATACATGTACAAGACGACCACGACGTGACGCCGACTGTTGCATCACATGTTTTGTGCCATCCAGTCAGCCAGCCACTAAAAAGCCCACCAAAGAAACACTGATATTTTAATTCATACCTGCTTCCTATCACAGGGACCACGAATCCATGCATCTAACTCGTCGATTCAAGGTAATGCATTGTCCACCATCCTACACTTACACTCGCGGCTCATCCACCTTTTTATCCTGCCCGGTTTTTACAGAACGAAAATGATGCGAGCAATGTTGATGTTATTTTTCCTGCCCGTCAAAAGAACGACTTGGATTTGATTAGGTTTTTTATCGGCCCATGCCGAGGCCAGGAGGGGCACCGCCACCAGCCAGCTTAGCTGCTAGCTTGGGGTACTTCTCGGTGACTTGGACTTGTGTCCTGGTAGCTTCGGCGTAGGAGAGCGCGTTGACAATTTCGCCTTCGGTGCGTGCGAGCTCGGCGGCGCGCTCAAAGTATTTGAGGGCTTCAGTGACCTTATTCTGCTGAAGGAGGAGCTGGGCCATGGTGGCGACCGCAATGTCGCATTCAGGGTCAACTGGATGGGCGTTAGTATGGTGACTGAAATTGTGTTCACAAAGGGGAGGCTTACTGATCAGAGCTTTCTGGCATAGCTGCTCGGCCTCCTTGAAATCTTGCTTCCACTGGAACAGGGCCAAGGCCTTGTTGATCAGGGGCAGGACGTTCATTGACATGGGCTTGGTCTGCTTCTCCATCTCCATGGCGGTGTCGAACTTCTCAACGGCCTCGGAAAAGTTGCTTTGATCGAGCAACAGCTCACCATAGTAGTTGTAGACATCAGGCACCTTGGGGAAGTTCTTGATGCATCGGCGGAAAGTGGCCATGGATGAGGCGATAGAACCCATCTTGTATTGGGTTACACCGAGCTGGATGTGAGAGAAAATAAAGTCCTTGTCCAGGTCAATAGATTTCTGATAGTCCTTTTGAGCCTCGGCAAGATCCCCCTTGATGAAGCTAGCCTGAGCACGGTGGTAGTAGACGTCGGGGTCGTCCTTGTCCTGCTCAAGGGCCTTGGCAAACTCAGCATCGGCCTTGTCGGGCTCACCAAGCTCCAGGCTGATGCTGGCACGCTTGATATAGCTCTGAATCATCCCGGGATCAAGCTCGATGCTCTTGTCGAAGTCTTCCGTGGCCTCGGCGTGGTTTCCAAGCAGAGTTCGCATAGTGCCTCGAAGGTTGTAAGCCAAGGCCTCATACTCGCCAAGATCACCCAATTCAAGTGCCTTCTCGAAAGCTTGTCTTGCGTCTTCATATCCTTCGCCAGTCTTCTTCTCAAGACCCTGAAGGCCAATTTGCAGCTGGCCCTTGCCCGTCTCCGCGTCGAGCTCGACAGAGTCCTCAAGACCCGCGGGACGGCCTTTCTGTCGGAAGCTCTGGAGATAATTGCCGACGAAAATGGGGCTAGGCAGCTTAGGGGGTCGAGAAGCCATCATCTCCTTGGCACGGTGCTCGGCAAAAACCTTTAGAAGTCGCTCGACAGCTTGGGCGGTGGACTCGCTCTTGAAGTTGTCAATGATGCAGGATGCAGTAAAGTCGAGGAGAGCCTCCGAGTACTTCTTCTGGTGTTCGTAAGCTGTAGCTCGGCGGTTGATCGCCTTGATATATTCGGGGTCCATAGCAATGGCGGCAGTAGTGTCCTCGACCACCTTGTCCCATTCGCTCATAGCACTGTAGCAGGCGGCACGGTTGGAGTAGAAGACGGGATCCGGTTTGCAAAGTATGGCCTGGGAATAGAGACCAATGGCCTTGTTGTATGCCTTGTCACCGTAGGCTCGGTTGCCGGCCTGCTTGAGTTTGGCGGCATACTGCTCACGTTGCTCAGGCGACAACTTGGTGACAGTAGATTCGTCGATCTCGGGAATTTCGTCTTCACTCTCAACGGCAACGCTCTTGGCTTGCGACGGAGCTGGGGTGGGTTCGTTGGTCTCGGCAGCCTTGCGTTCGGCTTCTTTTCTCTTCCGTCTCTCCTTCTTGCTGAGCTTGGGCGATGATTCTGGCCTGGATTTCTGCTGCAAATCAAGGTCAGCTTTTGATGATTGCTTGCTTTTTGATATACACAATTGAGGTGTCTGGCAGTCGCTTTCAGATGTGAAGCATCAGGGGCACAAGCCGTCACCCGAGGAGTGTGTGAATTGAACATGTCGAACATACCGAGTCAGAATTCAAGTAATAGACAACACCAGCACCAGTGACTACGACAGCAACACCGGCAATGGTGTAGACAACGGCCTTGTTTTCCGATACCCAAGAGGAAATGCGATCCCAAGTCGATGAGGGCGCATCTACGGGGATGGCTGTTGGCCTCACAGGAGGCATTGACGGTAGGGGGTTGGACATGATGGGAACGATGGGAAGGTATGAGAAGCTATAAAAACAACAAATATATTAAAAAGGACAAGGTTGAAGAAACGGCCGCTGAAATGGTGCGAGAACCAGAGCGTAAGCCAGGACGATGGAGGTGCGTGGGAGGGAGCTGCTGCAAAGCTGAGCACGCGCAGAAAAAGCTGGACCAGTCCAATGCGATTGAACCAAACCCGTCTTGAGCGTTTGAACCTTTGGAGCGAGCCGGCTGCAAAATTTCAAGCTCGGCCCGCGTCAAGGTCGTCATACCAGACGGCTTAGTAACCCGCCTAGACCCGGTTTTCTGCGGGCCTCTTGCACAGTCGCCGTCCAATCTTTGTGCGCATGATGATAGGCCGTTTCCAGCGTATGCTGGCCCAAGTTCCCTTAACCAACTCTGTTGCGTTTATTGGATAGCTATTAACATCGCCAATGCGGAAATACCAATTGCGCTTTCCGATCTTGCAAACTTGTTTAGGGTTCATCCGCCATTGGGGCGGCAAACCATGGCAATAGCTGCGTCAATCAAGTAGCTCAGATGCCGGACAAAACGGCTCAGACTCGTCGGTAATAATTGAGGCTTCTGCGAGCATCAAAAGTTCATTATGCGTCTCCATTGTGCATAATCAATCCTATTACCATAACGAATCCAGCAAGTGTCTGGTTGGATGACTGGCGATCCCCACTGGCCTCGTCACAACAGCCAATGGAGGTTCGGATATCCCCTCGTTGAGCATCGTTCTCGTCCGCTAGTCGCAATGTAATTCCCCATTCGCATCGGTATCAAGGGAATAATAGGCTTGCAGTTACAGAGTACTACACAGAGTTGCAGTGCGGAGCCGCGCGTGGCTATTCTCCCAAAAAGCTTGAGGTTGCCTTGCGTGCCTGGTTGTGCATACCTACCTATGTACCCTACAACGACTACAACAAACAACCGCATCCTTTCTCCCGAGACCAAGTGCAGGCGCATTGCAACTTCTACCATGGCAAACGACTTTTCTCTCTTCACGTCGCTTCGATTCGATGTCAAGCTTAAGCATGTCCCATCTATGGGCCTAGCGTATGCTGGATGGAACTACCGAAATGAGTCACCACTGTACATGCTCGACTATCACCGAGATCGCATCCTGCGGGCTGCCGTGCATTGGGATTGGGATAAGGTGATCGAAAAGCTGTCTGGAGACGCAGGTCTTAGAAACCTTGCTGAAGCAGCTGAGGCTGAAATTGGTCCTTCGGAGACTGGGCCATTTCGACTGCGAATAGTGGTCACAAAACAAGGCGACATCACGTTCCATCAGTACGACACTCCTGGCCTCGACATTGGCAACCTTTTCCCAGAGTCACTCCCTGCACCAGGAACATCACCGAGCCCAAGCCAACCGCAGGCCCCCCCGCTGCTTACCGTTGTCGTTGACAGTGTTGATTCCTCAAGGTCAGAATTCACCCATTTCAAGACCACCAATCGGGCACTGTACGACGATGCTCGGAGCAGAGCTGGCATAGGCTCCGTCAGTGCAGCAAACAGCGTCGAGGTCTTGGTCATCAACGAGGAAGACAACACCATCATGGAGGGAAGCACTACGACACCATACTTCTGGCGTGGTGGGAGATGGATTACGCCGCCCGTGTCTGCCAAATACAGCAGACAAGATGGTAGTGGAGGAAATGATGGCACCTCCCGACGATGGGTCCTGGAGCGGTGAGTAAGAAACGGCATGGTTCCAGTTGATTGTAATTGCTGATCATTTTTTGCTAGAGGCTTGGCAGTCGAGCAAGAAATCAGGGCTGATCAACTTGTTGACGGAGAGGCTTGCTACATAAGCAACGGTGTTAGTGGATTCAGGGTTGGAACCATCAGTTTGAAGAGAGGGGGCCAGTGATTGACAATGTCGAAGGTAAAATATTGACACCGAGCTCACGGCATATAGTCTACTGGTGCGTGGAAAAGAAAATTAAGTCCGATGGGTGGAATCCTGACTCTTGGCCACCTACCTACCTAGGTAGGTCGTCAGCCGTATACCTAGTAGTTATGCGTACATGTGAACCGAGGACTCCAGTAACATGTTTTGGATTGGCGAGGTTGAGCGCGAAGGTGAGGTGGGAAGGAAGGACCCTTGGGAAGCTAGGAGGGCAAGTGGGGTTCTAGCACAGCTTCAGGCCAGAAGCGCATCAACCGCGCGAGTCAAAACTCATCATGACATGATTGACTACGTCGACTTGTTTTGGACAGCAGATCCCCCAAGGCTAAATGTTAAAAATTTTCTATTTCCTATTGTCCGTGGGTCGTCATGGTCAACGACGCTGAGTTCATTAGGTATCCCGCTGATTTAGTTTGTCGCGCTGCAGTCCGAAGCATTTATCAATTCTCCATCTGGGTTGCACAGCTAAAGACGCAAGGTCACCGCCGTTATCCATGCGCCGCCTTTCGCAATCTTTGCACGGCATGATGTCGTCGTCTCGTGATGTCGAAGGCGAGACTGCCCTCGCGGATATGGTTGTCTCTGGCCGTCAGTTTTATGAGGCGCAGCAGTACAAGCGGGCTCTGGAACAGTTCACGAGAGTGAGAGCCTGTGAGCCCCTATTGTGTGAGAGTGAGACCTCTTCTGACGTTTTGGTAGGCAATGAAATACTGTCCTTGCGCTAGGGGGGTCAAACGTGAGAGATGTACATGCAAGAATTTTGAAAGGGTCGCTGCTGAGGAGGGTTGCATCTTCAAAGAAGCCATGTATAACTGCAAATGCGACGTCGGGAGGACCTTCAACAAGTGTGACAATAGGAACCACATCCAGGCCCTGGATTACCGAGCTGCCACGTTTGAAGCATTGGGTAAACTGGATCGTGCTAAGAAAGATGCCGAATGGATTTTGGAGCTGGCTCCAAGACTGCCAGATGTAAGTGAGCTTTCCTGGGTGAAGTCGCCTCGCACTGACAATAGACCATGAAGGGATATCTTCGTCTGGGAAAAGTAGCGCGGTTACAAAAGAACCATGAATTCGCGTGGAAGATCTACAATGCTGGCATCAGCATAAATAAAGATGTGGAAGTGGCGTCGTCGCCAAAGTTGCAGGTGCATTCTGACAAGCCCGAGCTCGCAGACGACACGTTGGACTGACGTGAATTTAGCAACTTTACAAAGCGCGAACGCCGCTTCACAGACATTTCTCTAGGAAGGATCCCCTCCGGCTGCCTACAGAAATTGCGATGCTTATATTCTCATACATGGAATTTACCGAATTGCCGTATGCGCCTTGCTTAAATCTTCCCGACGATCCTCGTACTGACGTTCTTTGCGCAGTCCATGCTTAGGCGTCTGCAAGCTCTGGAGGCGCACCTTGACAAGCCCTCTGTATGATCGATTATGGAGGACAATGATATTTCCTGGTAGAGGCATGAAGCGTGCCCCTCGATACGATGCTCTGAAGAAGATGCTGTCTTGGGCAGGCAAGGGGGGAGCGAGGAAAATCGTCATCCCGCTACCGAAAGCATTTCTACTAAACCAACAAAAGCTAACACTACTTTTGAAAGCGTCCCCATGCTTAGAATATTTGGAAATTGGTCCACAATTCGATATCCTGATGTTTCCGCCCAAGGAGAATATGTGGACAAAGTTACGGCATGTGTCTATCAATGGCACTGGTGATCCTGCTAAACCGGCTTGGAGTACACCTGTAATTCCGATAGGCGGATTTCCATTGGCGTTTCTCAACAACGCTGCGGCTTCGCTGGAGCATCTTGTTCTCACCGGAATACCAGAGCCGTGGTATATGACACAGTCTGTGCCATTTCTCCCCAACCTAAAGACCTTGCGGATGTGCAACATTTCTACATTACGCCAGTCATTTCCTATAGTACGTAACCTTGGAAACTGTGATCAAGCAGCTGAAAAAAAAAAGACTAACAATCGTCATAGTTTTTCCTCTCTGACGCCTTCCCTCGACTTGAACAACTCTGGATCGGCCCCAACATCCCAAATCTTGACTCAAATTCCCTATCCGGCTGGCGAGAAAAGTGGCATACGATGTGGAACCATCTCAAAGTCCTCATATTCGAAGAATCATCCGTTGTTGGGCCTATTTCCCAAGTCGAAAATTCGCTCCTCACGCTGCGTCTTTTGACATGCCTAAACTACGGCAACTCCCTACAACACATCCGCTTCGACATTCCCTCAGACAACGAGGATAGACATGGAAGGCATCGTGTATTCAGCAACAGTCGTACGTTGCACGGTGATATTGATATACCCCAGTATCCTGAATTTCGGAACCTCCACTCACTCGCTTCCAAGTCTTTGTGCATCTCCCCAGACATATTAAGACTCCTATTTTCTGATGCTTTGAATATGGGAAAAATACAATCATTTGACATTGTATTTCCAATAGAGTCACTGAACGATCGCGTCGGAGACAGGAGCATTACTCACCTCAAGGGATACGAATGGCTTCGTGGCGCAGCATCCATCACGTCCATGGGCTGCTACAGGTTCCGATTTAGATCGTACCCTCGAAACGACGATGACCTCCCACTCCCTCAATTTCTCGCGAGCTTTCCGAATCTCGAAACGCTGAGTATTTTCTCGGAGAATTATGAGGAGGCGGAATTTGCTGGCGTAGTGGCAGCCATTTTGAAGGCGACTACATTAAAGACAATCTATACGACATCGGTCAAAGGCGCGGTTATGGATCAGTTGAGGACGGTTGCAGAGAGCCAGGGCGTCAAGTTGATATGGGGACATCAGCCACAGGCATGGCCGGTACCATTGGATGAATCGTAACGAACACAAGAGCCATATGTTTTTGGACACAGGATAAGGACCAACATTAGAGACTGCTTGTTGATTTGGATATGGAAAGACCAAATCTTGTCTATAAAATCTATTCTAGATAGTCGTGGCATTATGATAAAGATCACTCCCCTGACCGCTTACGCTTCATATAATCCAACTCCTCAGCATGCTGATGCCAAACACAAAAGCCCCTCAACGCAACCTACCCCCTACCAACCTTGAAGGATAAAATCTATAGAGACGTCAGCAAGCAGTCAGCCAGCAGTCATTACACGGCCGCCCAACATTCAAAAAGAAAAGGAAAGGAAAGGAAAAAAGGGAAGAGGAAAATAAAAAATAAACTTACGTCATTCTTCCCAACAGCAACATAATCGTCCTCGGCCACCCTCAACCCCCCAAAACCTTCAACATAGGCAATCGGCGCATCTCCCATGACCTTCTTCGCAACATCTCCCACCGTCGACCCCTTCTTGACAAGCACGCAATCCCGAAACACAACCTTGGACTCTGACGCCCCGGAGCTAAAGGTTGCTGTATTCCTCACCGGAAAGACGGGGACCAGCCCCAGCAGCTCTGCCGCCCTCGTCAAAACCTGCACGACGCCCGTCGACCCGAACCGGTAGAGCACCATGTCCTTCAGGTTCTCTATCCGGTTGCGGTTCTTCTCGTCCAGTTCCTTTAGGCCCCCGCCGTCGGGGTCCCCCTGCTCAATGAGATCCTCGCGCGTGTCTATAAACTCGCTCCCCTCGACGTACTTTATGTACCCCTGTTTGGCCATTTTCCGCAAAAAAATTTCGGAGATTGCGGAGCAGAGGACGATCGTCTTGGGGTCCTGCATCTTTGCGATTTTGGAAATGTTCTTGTCGGCGTCCGGGTGGTCGATTTTGTTGAGGGCAATGACGGTGGGGAACTTCTCGTCGACAAAGGCGTTGACAATGTGGGCGACGGTCTCGTCGGGCCATTCCTCGAGGGGCTCCTTGACGGCGGCCCGGTCCAGGGTGCGGGCGATGACGGTCGACGTGGCGCCGTATCCGGAGAATTGGCCCTGGAGGGTTTCCACGGCGGTGGCCTTGACGGCGACGTGGCGGCGGCGGATGCTGGGCCACCGCTGCATGAGGTTGCCGAGGATCCAGGCGACGATTTCGCTCCGCAGCCAGGCGATGTCGACGGAGGGGTCGTAGCCGCGCGTCTCTTTGCCCTCGGCGTCCACTGTGCCCGAGGCGTCGACGACGTGTATCAGGGCGTCGGCGTGGCGGAGGTCGTCGAGGAACTTGTTGCCCAGGCCGCGGCCCTGGTGGGCGCCGGGGACGAGGCCGGCCACGTCGAGGAGCTCGATGGGCACGGAGCGCCGGCCGTCGACGCAGGCGCCGTAGTTGGGTTTGCAGCGGTCCGAGACATGGTGGCGGGCGCAGGCACAGTCGATCTGGAGGTAGCCGATTGCTCTTTGGGGGTCGATGGTGGTGAAGCTGTGGCGCGTGTTAGATGCCGAGTTCTGGGAGCGGACGAGGGGTGGACGGTACGTACGGGAAGTTGCCTGGTTTTGGGGGAGGGTGTTGTTAGCGGTTTGCGCGCATTTCACTGAGGCAGCGGGCTGGAGCCTTGCGTACCGACTTTGGAGGAGGCATCTGTTAGGCTGTTTAGAGTTGTGCTCTTGCCGGCTGAGGGTTTGCCTACGAGGCCGATGAGCGGATCGCGAGGCATGGCGGGGTGGTTTCGCCGCCTGAGACGGACTCGAGGATGTGTAGGAGGCCTCTCGTTGCGCAAATGTGGCTATAGTACGGGAGAGTTGGAGAGATACAAGGGAGATTGACTAGACAGGGTGGCCGCGGTCTCTATCCCTTGAAGGCGTGGGCTTGTGCACAAGGAGGAGTTTGTGCGATGGTCGTCCGGTTCTTGTGAAGTCTGGTCGCAAAATTCGGGGATGCGCCCCGCCATCAATGGATCCGTCAGGTCAGACCGGACGGGCTCTGCAGGCACTAAAAGAAAGGGTAATAGTGGGTCTAACGGCCCACCCTGGTTAAATCGGGCCAGACCGTCACTTACACCAAGAGTCTTCATGTGTTCCCGTGCCATTGATCAGGCACAACATATTTCAAAGAATTTAGTGAGTTGGGTGAGACCTAGGACTGGTAGAAGGTCTCCGGCTGTCAGAATAAAATTTTTTTCGTGGCTACAGGATACATGGGTGGGTGTTTGACCAGGCAAAACACCTCGAGAACAAGACGCCTTCCAATGGTCCCGAATCTCGATGTTCGGTTATGCCTATAAATGAATTATTTTCGGCGCACTAATTTGCTATGCCCCCTCTCTTGTTGTGTCAAATGTTGGCTTACCAAGAGAGAATTAGACTGGAATTCAGTATACAGCTTGCACAAGACTGGCACATCAGAGCAGGGCCTGCTAGCAATTATTCTAGCATAGCAGCCCGCCGTTTCAAATACGTATCGACCATCTTGAATGCTGAGTCGTCAACCTTTGTCAAACCAGCGAGACAGTATATTGAATACACACCTTCGAGAGTATCATCCAATGGCAAGTCTCTCCAAAATGACCTCTATTCTTATTCCCCTAGGTTACCTCGAACCGCGGCGCACGGCACTTCGATTGAAGATGTACCTCGGCTGACTACAGAGGCTGTCACGGAGGAACAAAAGAAGCGACCGCAAGAACAAACCCCAGGCATTGTAAGAGCCAATCGAGTTAAACCTGGCAAATTGCCCTTCCCAAGATGATACTTCTCGCGCAGGCAATAGATCTCACTTGCGCCTCAAATTGCGCCAAGCAGAAGCCGACGTTGCGATGAAACCGACGGACGGCGCTAGATCACGCGATCTTTGCGTTGGAGTTGTGAATGTCTCAGCGCAGGACGTAGCTCTGGTGCTTAAATATTGTACCAGGTGGTTTTTGGGTAAGAGGGAAAACCGGAGTATAGCAGTTGACAAGAGGGAGAATCTGTAGACATTGCCAAGGGACAAGAGGATCGGAAGGCGATTGTTCCAATGTACATGACTGCAATGATGTTCCAAGAATACCAGGAATGAAATTGATTAGATACAGCCAAGATAAGCAGTTGGCAGAAAATGGATTTCCCCGTCTGTCGAAACCCTCAGACCATGCTCAAAAGGCCGTTAGACATACATGCCGTCCGCCCCAGTCTGTTACGAATCCCTTGAAAAACTCATACTGCGGCGAGGGAGATCTTCTATTTGAGATGAAAGGCCGAGTTCTAAATGTCTCAAATGGACTTGTAGGCTTTCTCTAGGATTTTATGTGCGGCGGATGAAATGACCCCGCTTACGTCTAGAGTCGAAAGGTTTTAGCAGGATACCAGTCATCGTCTTATGTGGAGGTTATCATTACTTTCAGTCACTCTAGGAGCGATCTATTCTGCGCATACAAATGCCGATGGGAATGGGGTCTGGCTCTTTTCCTTCTCTCTCTCTTTATCTCTCTCTATTTTTTTTTTTTCAAAGAAGAAATTAAAGTTGTCTGAATTTCGCCATAGAGCATCCATCCGTCCATTTGTCCATGATCCTGCCCCGCCATCAACGGGACAAACAGTGGGGCATCAAACCACATCAAACGAAAGACAACTCCATCTACAGACATGGTGCAAGAACCTCACTCATCTCACACACATGCGTAGCTTGCATGTCGAATTATCCCGAACCCACCCGCCATAAAGCATCGTCACACACCGTTGTCTGTACCGATACGGCCGGTACACCCAGCCGGAAGCAAACCGAGTTTGCCTCCAGAGCTAGTCCAGAGGTCAACAAACACATGTCATCCAAGCCATCAATGTCGTCCCAGCTCCCCATCGATACGTTCCCCGCATGGGCTCATCTCAACGACGTTCAGTTCACACACGTCAATCTTCAAGATGTAGGCGAGGGTAAGGGGTTCGGACTCGTTGCGCATGAGGATCTGGAGAGTGCCGAGGCGGATGGCACGAGCAAAGGCCTTGTTACGATTCCTCACGATCTGGTGCTATCTGCTGAGGCCGTGGAGGACTTTGCCAAGGTTGACCACAACTTCAAGCAGTTACTTGAAGCAGTGGGACGACAAGTACGTCGCTATTCCAAACCCGGATGACGCGGCTTATTGACCGGGGACAGTCCACGAGAGGTGATATAATGCTCTATTTAGTCTCCCAATTCGCCCAATCCAGCCGCCCAAAGGGTCTATCGCCCACCCCATGGACTGAGTACATCCGCCTTTTGCCTCGGCCCATTCCCGTTCCAACTATGTGGACGGAGCCGGAACGCTTACTCCTAAATGGGACGTCGTTGGAGGTTCGTCTGTCATCCGTGTTCCTGATATAGTAAATGGGGCCGTTTCTTTGATTACCCGGGGATTTTCTTATTTAATCATCATGCCCTGTTTTTTGATCTTACTAGGGGTCTAGACTGACGGCGTGATAGGCTGCCCTGGAAGCCAAACTCCTCTCTTTGGGCAAAGAGTTTGACACGCTGCGTGAGGTGTCTGAGGATTTTCCATTTTGGAATGAGTTCCTGTGGAGCGGCGAAGAGGTTTCTCTGGAGGACTGGGTATTAGTTGATGCCTGGTACCGTTCGAGGTGCTTGGAGCTACCACGGTCAGGAGCCGCCATGGTCCCGGGACTTGACATGGTGAACCATTCGAGCAAAGCAACAGCCTATTACGAAGAAGACGACCATGACAATGTTGTGCTCCTCATCCGCCCGGGATGTCCAGTTCGCAGCGGCGAGGAAGTCACAATCTCGTATGGCGACGCTAAGCCTGCTTCTGAGATGCTCTTCAGCTATGGATTCATCGACCCCAACAACATCGTGGACAAGTTGACGCTGCGCCTGGATCCCTTCCCAGATGATCCCTTGGCAAGGGCAAAATTACGAATTTCTAACAGCGGACCGACTTTGACAATCTCACGAAAAGAGACGGAAGACTCGCAAGGAGCGTCTTCAATTGTATGGCGCTCACCGTTTGTGTACCTGATGTGCCTCAACGAGGAAGACGGCCTGTCGTTCCAACTTCTCCAAGATACTGCAGGGGACAGACAGCTAAGACTCTTTTGGCAAGGTGAAGACGTGACAGATCAAGCGGACGATTTCGAAACCCTGATCCAGGGCCACGATCTCTGTCCCGTGTTTAAACTCAGGGCTATTACTGTGTTGCATGAGAAGGTCGGAGAGCAATTGGCCCGAATTAGTCGCGGCCCATCAGACGATGAGCTAGAACCCTTGCAGGCGGCTGGCTTGCTGAGAGCTGAATCCATAGCAGCCGCAAGAATATTGAAGGATGTGGAAAGCAAATTGTTGGGCCATGCGTTGGAGGCGTTGGACAATGAGGTGAGTTTCGTATTACACCTTGCTCATCTTTCGCGCATGTCGTTCGATTGTCTGCCAATGGCGTTTTGTGGCACACCCCCTTTGAAGGCTCACAGCCGTCAACTCTTGCAAGAATCGGGAGACATGGAAGGCTGAGAGAAACAAAAAAACAAGATTCGGCAGCCGCACAAGGTGGCTGATTGATCGAAGACTGACTAATCCAATCACATCGCTTGTTGAAATATTGCGATACTAATCAGGCTTTGTTACGCTCTTCTAGAGGACGAATCTTCTTGCGAACAACCACGTGGTGGCATATCTCGGATCGAAGGAAGATTACCCAATCGGGCAAGAAGCGCAAGCCACGGCAGCCAATGACGACGCAGACGACTTTAGTTGACCGAGGATAAACTGCCTACTCGGTAGTGTACTTGAAAACAACATTGGAGGTAGCATGATAATCCGCAATGGTACTGCGACCGCTAGTCGCCGTAGGAGGAACTTGTGTTTGTCGTCTCACTTAGTTTGGCGTTGGGCGTGAAGAGGAGCCTGTATTGGCACGCCCCGTGCGTTGGGCTTCTGCACTAGGGGCCATTCTGCTGCATTTACCAGAGAACTGGGACAGAACTTTTGGCGCTGCTAAAGCGGTTGTAGTGATGGCAGGTCAGTTCGAAAGTGCCCAAAAGATTCCGTCTTGGAACAAGGCTGCCCAAAGAGGTGGCCAAGGTCACATGGGGGGCGACGGCTGTCGAGTGGAAGTGCCGGCTATCTCTGTATGAGTTGTGCTGAGAGGTCAGTCCACCTCTCAATAAATTATAACCGAGCCACTGGTTAAGCATACATGTCAAATTGTGAAATCATTCCATATTTGTCAGGCAACCAAGACGGGCCAGCATGTCTGGGGTAATCTCACCGTACCCAACTCTCTGGGTGGACTGGAGAAGCACAACCGTTGACCCCACAACGCATGACAAGACCAGCTCACCTGGGGGAGCCCTTGGGGCCCTTAGGACCCTTGGGACCACATGGAGGCGGTTGTGGATGCCGGGATTGTGTGGCTTGTTCGCTACGACTCATGTTGTTGGAGATTCTCGAAAATAGACGACTCTAGACATTGCTCCCAGGTAGGTATTCTGTTTTGATGGCGGCTTGATTGCCAAAGCTCGGCTCATCTCTGTGACCATGATTTCGGCTTTGGCCAAGGGGGACTGCGTCTTGGTAGAAATAGCTGGCTGGGTAAATTGGGCCAGCAGGACGACAACTCTCTGAGCAGAATTAATGGCGCGGTTCCCGCTTGGCGTCAATGCGAGAGTCCAGGGCCTGCAAATCCCTCGTCAACATGCCCAGGGGGTGCAAAATTAGTTGAGGGAGGATAGAAATAGAGTATGCGATCTTCCAGGGAGGCTAGCAAATACTGGCGAATGGAGGCAGAAGAAGCAAGACAGTCAAGCTACAACAAAACCTGCGTCAGTATCGTGGCGTGGTCGGTGTTTGCGGCACAACCGGACAGGCGGTATTATACACTCTCAAGTTTCAACTCTGAGCCTTGAGGGTGTGGTAGGGTGTGGTGTGAAGCCATGTCTCAGGGCAAACTTAAACTTGGAAAGGATGAGCACCTGCAAACGCTGGCACAAGTGACCCAATGGAACCGTGGTGGTCAGGGGACTCGGACGGTTTTTTCTTTACCTGTTCCCCGCATTCTATTTCACCGAATCCGGGGTAATCAATCTTAGCATGACGGAGCATGTTCGAGATGCCGATGTTGGGCGTGCAATAAACATGATTTGCCGGGACCAGGACAGCAAGTTTTTAGGCCCTTGTCCATAGTTGGGGGAAGGAGGTATATATGTAAACGATGCGACTTCAATAGAAAAGAAAGACGCCATGTGCGTAGTTTGAGCATATCATCTCGTAGCGCTGAGAGTATTGAGCAAAGCGACATGGAGCGACCAGATCGTAGCAGAGTTTCATGGCTTCGCAAGACTATCTATCCACAATGATGCCACGATGATGGATGTGTCTCAATTGGTATCATTGGAGAATGAGCCAACACCGTATGAATCACGTCGTTGTAAAGGCAGACACAGGGCTGATTCAAGTCGAGGGTAATGGGGTGATGGGGTAATGGCCAAGACGGATGTGCCGCATCATGATGGATGAAGTCTTTCCATATCTGGCAAAATGCGTTGGTGGCATCGTGTTGAGAAAGAAGACAGAATTCAGGGCAGAGTCCGACATCAGCCGAATTATCTGCCGGATAAAAGGGAGGCGCAAGTTGGTGGTGATGTGGCGTCTGCGTCGTGATGACATCTGGATGGATTGACGATGGGGACTGGGAGAACAAACCTGCAGGGGCCACCGACTGGGCAGTGAAGACCCAGGTGCCGTAAGGGCGGCGCCTGCGCTGCCCCAGACAAGGCATCTGGGCGTGGGCCGTGGACTCGCCGTGGACTCGGAGACCCGTAATCCCCCGCCTCCCGTTGGCTCAATCGCACCCAGGTCAGTGCTGTGTCCTGAAGACCGGGGAACATTGAAGCCAAGAGTAGCGCCTGGTCACGCATCCCGATTGCACCAGACTTTCCCCGGAATCCGTTCATGGACATGGACATAGTAGCCTGTATGTACGGCATGTACATGTACCCCGAGATCTCCGCACGGAAACATTGCGTTGAAGCGACGAACCGTGTAAAGTAACTACTCAACTAGTTAGTAGACCTGGACGTTCAAACAGTCGACGCTAGCAACCGCCAGAACAGTCAAAAAAGTCCGACCATGACCATCTTGCCCCGGACATGTCCATCTCCATCCCCATTTCATCATTTCATTGTCCGCTCCACACATCCTTTGTCTTCTCACGCTGTCCCTTCCCGGCCCACTCCTACTTATCCCACGTTTTCCCTTCTTCTCTTCCGACTTCAATAAACCTCCCCACTCTGGTGACGAGCACGCCAGCTTGACTCTTTGTTGCGTCCTCCCGCCTACGCCGAGAACGACAAACTTCCAGAGGTCAGAGGGCAGGGACTGCGGATAACATCTTTTGCGAGTTCCGGGACGAAAGAGAAGCAACAAGAACAGAAGAAAAATCGAGCCTGCATCGCCGTTCTAGAAATCCGGGGAGAGAATTTGTCCCGCGTCTTTGAGAAGCGCAGCCCAGACAAAAGGTACGAGGGGGGAGCCCTGGCGTGAACTCGCCAATCGACGTCTACCTCGGCGCATACTCCCAAGCTGCAAAGTTACTGAGCAGAACAAGCTCAAGGGCTCGAGGGTTTCAACACTACACATTATACACATCATTTTGCCCGCCTTTCACTTCGATAAGACACGAGTACGTACGCAACGTTGCAATCTATCAAGTCCATCCCTGGACGTTGCCAAAATGCCTGGCATCCTGCCTATGAAGGTCATCAAGGTGGGCAACAGCGCTCAAAGTCGTATTGCCCAGGCCTGTGACCGTTGCCGCAGTAAGAAAATTCGTTGTGATGGCGTTCGTCCGACTTGCTCGCAATGTGCCAATGTCGGCTTCGAGTGCCGGACCAGCGACAAGCTGAGTCGCCGTGCCTTTCCCCGCGGATACACAGAGTCGTTAGAGGAGCGAGTTCGGCAATTAGAAACCGAGGTCAGAGAGCTCAAAGACCTCTTGGACGAAAAGGATGAGAAGATAGATATGCTTTCCGCCATGCACGCCAACCACCATCGCCAACCATCACTCACATCTGCCTCCAACACACTGCCTTCGCCAGACACCTCCAAGGACAGTCCCGCATCTACTGCCAAGGAGGATACTTTCCGCGTACAAGGCTCGCCGTTGCTTTTTGGCGTCGAGCATTCTGACTCCTACTTCATGGGCCCGTCCAGTGGCCGCTCATTTATCAGTACGTCAACTTTCCAATCGTGGGCCTCACTGTAGCCGCGCCAACTAACCGTCTTCCAACAGCCTCCTTCAAGCACAAACTTCGACAGAGGGGGAAATTGTGCAATGACTTTAATCCAGAAGCCTTTCTGCACGTTCAAGGATGCGCACCGTTGACTCAAGAAGAACCTAGCCAGGTTTCCCGCCTACCTCCTCGCATCTTTTCTGACCGGTCTGTCAACGTCTACTTCCAGGAGTGGGCGCCGCTATTTCCGGTTTTGCATAAGCCTACCTTTCTTCGCATCTACGAGGAGTTCGTGGCCGATCCTGAAAAGGTCAAGTGCCATCACAAAATTGCACAGCTGCATCTTGTTTTTAGCATTGCCGGAGTCTCATCTGAACAACCCGACTACCCGCAACTGGCCGCTTGCGAAAAGCAGTGGACCAAAGCTATTGAATCGATGGTTCTGGAGAACACCATGAGTACGCTCCAGTGCCTCATCCTTGCGCTCCTGTATTGCGCGATTAGGGCAGACAATAAGCGAGTCCAGCACTTCAAGGGTCTGGCCATTGGACTGTCCCACCGACTCGGCCTGCATCAGAGCCAAAAGCGATTTTCTTTTGGGGCCTTGACCTTGGAGACGAGGAAGAAGGTATTTTGGACTCTTTATACTCTCGACTGGTAAGTTGGACAGTGCATCAGGTTTGCGCCCGAATCTCATCTGACAATATCGTAGCTTTACTGCCGCTACCCTTGGGCTGCCAAAAATGCTCAAGGAGGATGATATCCACACGGAATATCCGTCCGATACAGATGATGAATACATTACCGAGAAGGGATTTCAACCTACATTACCGGGAGAACATACTAGATTGTCCAGCGCCCTGGCTCTTTTCCGGGCCACTCGGATCATGGCAGCAATCTTGGAAAAGAACTATCCTGCAGTGGCCAACCATGAGCTCTCTCTTCAACAAATGACTAGCTTTGAGGCGGATCTTAATGCTTGGTACCAAGAATTACCCGCGCATTTACGACTAAACTTCTCTCAAGATAAGCCATCAACAGACGTGACTGGGAGCAGATCTCCCATCCTGGTAGGCTTACTTTTCCACCTCTCCCCGTCTGAACAGCCACTTGCTAAATCATGACACACGCAGGCCTTGGCGTACCATCATATCCGAACCCTGATCTACCGTCCCGTTGTTGGCTCTAGCCTTGGTGCAAAGGCCGCACCCGCCCTCATTTCCATCGCGGATTCCAGCAAGCGAATCATTCAAATTGTTCAGCTGCTCGAGGAGAGGAACATGAGCTTCTCGTTCTGTCTCAATAAATTTGACCTCCTGGCCCTCTGCGGCCTGACGCTTCTTTACCAGGTCGTCGATCTGAAGGCGGACAGTAAATTGAGCCGCGACATTGAAAAGCTTGTCAACTTCACTATCAAGTCGATGAACCAAGCCAAGGCTCCAGGATGCATCGACCTGGCCCGCATTGCAGCCAATCTTATCCGCGTTGACGAACATCCAAGCCCTCTTCCACCTCAAGCACCAATGGCGGCACCATCACAGCGTTCGTCCTCAAAAGGCTCGAAAAAGAAGCCAGAACTTCAACAGGAGCACGAAGGGATGCGTCGCATGACCATGCCCGATACCCAGACCCTGGAAAGAGACTTTTGTCCTCGATCGCGGCAGTCTTTTGATAGCGTCACCTCTTCTGAGGCATCGACCAACTACCAAGGCCACCGTTTGTCAGTAGTAACACAGCCAACCCGCATTAGCACCAAGACTCCGATATCCCGCGTCATTCCCAATCTCGATTATCTGTCTCTGAACAACACTCCATCTCATACTGGTGCATCTTCACCCGCTGGAAGATCTCGCATGGAGACGCCCGGATTGTCAGTATCGCCATCCGGTCAAATAATGGCCGCTGTCGACCCTACAGCAAAGATGGCTGACGTGTGCAATTCTGAATGGGAGACGCTACTCGGATCAATGGATAGCAATGTTTACGATGCCATCTATGGTGGCGCAAGCCTCCCAAGTGAGACAATACCCGCGAACTCGAACAGTGTTGGTTGGTCGCCAGAGTCTTGGGACATGAGCAGCATTAACGTGGGTGACTTTGGACGGAATCCAGAGCCGCCACAAAGCGTGCTTAGCATGAGTGACGAAAGTTTGAGCTCTGGCGAAGAAGTTGCGCCGTCAGAGTTGGGCCTTAGCGTGGGAAGCGCAGAATTCAATAAATTGCACATGCCAGAAGCCTATGGCTTCGACCTCGAGGGATTTCCTTTGTGAGAAGAGCTGAGCTTTGCTGCTGCGCTCTTATTCAGGACTATTGCTTGGCTCTTGGGTATGAATGATGGTTCGAATCGGTATTATTTGTCATTTGTTGGGTGCTAGCTGGCGTTTAGGATGGACCAATGACATGGAGGGAGTAGCGTTGTTTTATTTTCATTTCTTCTCTGACTTCTTCTCTTTATGACGGAATGCTGGTATTTCTGTGACGGGCTTCGGTGGGATTAAGGATGCTGGGTACTGATATATCAACAAACGGCAAGTCTTGAATACTCTCAGTGGCGTATATGTATGTGTAGGATTTGGCAGACGTGCTGCCATGGCCCCAGCTTTACCGGGCTTGACATGGTTTTGTTCTAATCAATATTTATCAATTGCAAACGGCGAATGCCCGTTTACCATTGTGGTGAATTGGATGGCACTGTCAAGTCCGGAGCAGCATTTCTCTGCAAACCGCATGTTCCAGGGCAAATCACAAAGTTCAAACTGTCGCTGGAACGCCACCACGGCTTGGCTCACCCATCAGATGCAAACCCGCCCATCCCGTTTTGATTACCCGTTGAATGTTGGCAGTTTCCCAGTCTACCGGTACATCCGGGCGCCAAAACGGCGCAACCCCATACGTACTCAACTCGGACCGTCAAACATCCCATGTCCATTGCAATGCGCATCGCCAAATAGAGCAATAACCACCATGTACCACCGTCACATCTCATAACAATCCCAACCCCTCCTCTTTCCCCAACATTTCATGAATCCCGCGAGCCGCATCCCCTCCCTCATCTTCCATCTGCAAAAACACTGTACGCCCTCTGTCCTCATCTTATCCGCCACGCCCTTGTCGCGCTTCCACTCCGTCCCGGCCTCCAAACTCCGTCTTCGCCGCCGCCCTGTCCGAGACGGGCCTCTCAAGGACGACGCGGGCCACATTGTTATCGTCAAGATGGCGGACGAGAAGGATACGCTGCAGCTAGGGGGCGACATTTCATGGGATATTCCAGAGGGTAAGCGTAGAAATATAGTACATATATATATGTGCCGGCATTCTCGATCTGCTAACCCCGGAATACAAAAGCCCCGTGGACAACCGCCCGTCCGTCCAAGCGAGATCCCGCACGTTTCCTGCCGCAGGCCATCGCGCATAGAGGTTACAAGGCGTTGTGGCCGGAGAACACCATGGGCGCCTTCAAGGGCGCCGTCGAGGTTGGCGCACACGCGATCGAGACGGACGTGCATTTGTCCAGGGACGGCGTAGCCGTGCTGTCGCATGTGAGTCTGCCCATCTGCCCAGCCCGGACACGACAATCCACGGTGCTAATGTCGCTCCAGGACGCATCCCTCACGCGGTGCTTCGGGATAGACAAGAAGCTAGCCGACTGCGACTGGGAATACCTGTCCACCGTAGAAACGCTCCGCGAGCCGAAGCAGGGCCTGCCCCGGCTCCAAGACCTGCTAGAATGGCTCGTCGAAGCCGACAAGCTACAAGGCGACGAGCACAGCCATCGGCCCTGGGTCCTGCTCGACATCAAGGTCCGCCATCATCCTCCGCTCTGCACATCCCCCCAAAAATGTACAGGACACCAGATGATCTGACCGGAAGAAAAACAGCTCGACGACGACGCCAAAGACCTCGTAAACGCCATCAGCAGCGCCATAGCCCAAGTCCCCGCCTCAACACCATGGCAGGGCCGCATCGTCCTCGGATGCTGGAACGTAAGACCTCCGACCACCCTCCCCCAGACCAAGAACAGCTAACAAGGTAAAATCAGGCCTCTGTGCTCAAAGCCTCGCGCAGAACCCTGCCGGACTACCCCGTCGCCCACATCGGCTTCTCGCTCTCCTACGCGCGGCACTTCCTGCCCATCCCCAACATGGGCTTCAACATGGCCTTCCACACGCTCGTGCGCCCCTACCAGGGCCGGCGGTTCATGCGAGACGTGCGCGCCGCCCGCCGCCCGCTGTACGCCTGGACCGTCAACCACCCGCGCTGGATGCGGTGGTGCCTCGAGCGCAACGTGCGTAGTGGCGGCGGCAGCGTCGTGGACGGCGTCGTGACGGACGACCCTAGGCTGTACCTCGACGTGTGCCGGCGGTACGAGGACGACGTGGACGCCGGTGCGCCGGGGCGCGACGACCGCGGCTCCCTCGGACAGACGGTCGGGCTGGCCGTGGACATTGTCAAGAGGCACGTCCTCGCCAAGCTGTTCTTTTGGTATAGGAGGCATGTGCAGGGCAAGTTGGATGACTTGGATGGCAAGACGAAGCGGCAGATAAAGAGGGACTAGATAGACGGGCGGGCATCATGATTGAGACATGGGGGGAGGGGGGGGGAGATATTTGTGAGCACACAAGGGGTTTTACGGCAATGTTTTTTTTTTATCATTTTACTTTTCCCTCCCCCAAGGCGGATATGACGATTTACGACATGACACCACTCAAATTTCCTGGCCAGTGGCCATTTACTACTTTATTAAGACTGTTTCTTGTTATGAATGGGTAGCCCGTCCCTCAGTATCCCGTTCCGCGCAATGCTTTCTCTAAAACGCCATAAATGCACCAATGCCTGCCCTTGAATACCAATTTCACCGACTTAACCACGACAAATGCCCCCCCATCTAAATCTCGACGTCAATGTCCAGGTCCAACGCCCCAATCACATCATCATCCATGAGCGGCTTGTGAATCCCCGGCACGCCATTGCTCTCCGAGTAATTCTTCTCTTGCAATTTTGCGAGATGGGACAGCATCTCGGGTTTAGTAGCAGCAACCTTGGGCGTGCCGTTTGCCGGCGTGCTGGCTTCGCTACCGTTGGCAGACAGCTTCTGCGGCGTGTCATTAACATCGTGCACAAACTTGGCCTTTGTCCGGAGTCGTCGCGACGGGTCATCGGCGACCTGCTCGCCCCGCTTAAGGGCCATTTCGATCTCGCGAGCTCTGGCCTTCTCCTTGAGCTGGGCCTTGCGGACGAGCTCGGCATTCATTCGCCTGTTTTCGCGGTTGCGCTCTGCCAGCCGGTCTTGTTCTGTTGCGGCCCGGGGCCCGTCCAGGTTCTTTGATGAGCCTAGGGTCGTCCTAAAAGCCAGGCGTTGCGTCCCAAGCTGTTCGAGCTCCTCCTGGAGTTCCTGAGCCTTGGTTTCGTTACCACGAGCCACGGCCTCATCGAGCAACTTGCCAACACGCTCCCTTTCGGCAGGGTCGAACCGACGTTTGAGTTCATTTCTCTTGGCCAAACGGGCTTTGATCTCTTCACTCGTCCACTTGTGGTTGATCAAGTTGTTGATTTCATCAATCTTATCTGCTAGATATGCCTTTGTGGGCAGCTTGACGTTCTCATTGGTGCATGTCACCTGATAGCGGTTGAGCTCGTTCTATGCGACTAATTAGAAAAGGGTCCCGCTGATGCGAGCCTGCTAGAATACACACTTACATCAGTAAACTTGCCGCTTGAGGCAGCAATAAATGGAAACTCCTTGACCGCTTTGCCATGTGCGGCTCTGACGTATTGATCCGTGACAAACGGGCCCTGAGGCCCGGTGAGAGCGTATGGACGGCTAGTAGTGAAACCTATGTGTCATGTCTGGTTAGTAGCCTGATCTCGCATATCCTTGCTCATGCAGCTACTCACCCTTGATAACTGCCATGCGATATTGCTCAACCCCGGTCTCTGGATGAGGACCTAGAGCAATTCGGATATAACAACCGGTAATGGCAGGCTCAAACCCAGGTGTGAAGCAAACCTGAGCAAACTCATTTCTGCCAAGCCGTACACGCTCAAAGTCCTTCAGCTCAGCAGGTGGTGCCTCCTTCTCTTGCTCCTTCTCGGGTGTTCGGGACCTAGCGCGGCTAAAATCATCACCACTCTCCTCTTCATCCGAATCTCGCCGTGCGGGGGAATAAGCTCGTCCGCGTGTCTTGTCTTCCTTGCGCTTCGCCTTCTCTGCGCGAGCTCTGCGAAGAGAGTCCATGGCAGACTCGTTGCCTTTACCAGTACGCTGCCGTGAGGTCTTTCGTTGGCCGTCCTCCAACTCTGCGGTGTCGGCGCTACGCTTCTTTTTGACGTTCCTGCGCTCCGTTTCCTCAATCATTTGCCTGAGACGACGCCTCTGTCGCTGGCGTTCGACCTCGTCCATACGTTCCGCGAGAATACGTTCTCGGTCGACTTCTCGCATGGCCATAATTTCAGCCCTTTCTGCCTCACTTGTGAACTTGCCGTCCACGGGATACTTGTCATCTTCGTCGGTACCGCCAACCCTTGGCGCGGGCTCAGCGTCTGAATCGGATTCGTCCATGGGTGCTGATTCCAGCGAGTTTGGTGACGACGGAGCTGAGGATCTGATGAAGGGGAACGAGCATTGAGCCGTCAGCAACGTATTTATGAGCGACGACAAACGAGGATACAGGAGATCGTGTTCAATGCGCTTCACACGGATCCCACCCAGGCCCGTCTGAGCAATAGGAAAGACGATACTCACGCTTCACCTTCCTCCTCGGAATCATCCTGCCTCGCACGCCGTTTCGACTTCTTCGATTTGCCAGCATCGTTTCTGGAGCGACGCGGCGACTCCGAGCCACCGCGGCTGCGGGCAGAGCCCTCGTCTTCAGAGTCACCACCCGCAAGGGCAAGGAGCTCATCTTCGATGTCAGACATGATGGTGGTATCGTTTGTGATGGGTAGTCCAGCGGCGAGTGCCAAACGGCAAATCTCTGCTCAAGTTCTCAGGACAACTCGCGGAATCGACCAGTCACGACTGGGCGCGTTAGACCAGTCCAAGCCGATGGCTCACTCTAATAGAAAGAGGCCGGAACCGTGTGGTCAAGGAAGTTGAGGCTGGCAGCGGCGAAATAATCGTAAGGAACGATGACGATGGGAGAGGCGAACAAAAGAGAACAAGTTTCTAGTTGCAGGACCTTTTGTCGTAAATCGAGTGAGCGCTCCCCATTGGGCCGCAGCAGCACTGGCTTCTACCCGTGTGGCGCGCAAGAACGAAGTTGCACTTGTCGGTCGCTGCATCGGCAAAACGTTTGTCCAGGCTGTGCATACAGTGCTAGTTTGTTGGGTAGCTGAGCTACTCACACTGTTAGTTGAGAGCAGATATATTGTTTTGTTCTACTTAAATACCTACCAGGTAGGTATATTCTGTGGCACAATAAGCGAGAAACTCCTAGTTTCTTTCTATATTTCTTTCAATAAGTAGGAGAAACCCCTTGCATATCACTAGCCATAGCTGAATCGCAATCATTCTGCCTACGACGCACAGGAATACATTGCAAAGTAAGAAATATCTACTTGTATACTATAACGCATTATGATCTAATAAAACGTATACTACTAGTAAACGATAGTACACTTTGAGCGCGATACCCGGTACTTCGTACTCGGTCTGTTTAAATACTTTGCCCCCCACCGTCCAATCGGCGAGTCTCCCGGCGGACCTCCAAACCCGCTCGGCGTCATCTCTCGCCCGAGCCAGCATCGTTCGATCTTATCGCACTCACACTCTTCCAAAAAACTACAAAACCACCAATTGGTGAACAGACAGCAACCATGGCCTCAACCCGATGCCTTTGCAGGCCCACACGAGCTCTAGCCTCCTCCAACCTCCTCAGCTTCCCCTCCCGTCGAGCAATGTCAACCACCTGTTCCCTGTCGCAGACCCCTTCCGAACCCTCCTCCGACACCAAGAAGCGCAAACCGCTAACCCGAGAACAACGCGACTTTCTCTCCTCCGCTGTCCGTCCAGCCCCTCCGGCAATCTGACCCCGAACCCCACGTATGTGAAATCATCACTGACGAAACCTTGCCAGCTCCGTGTCAACCAAGCCGGCGAACTGGCCGCCACGCTCATCTACAAAGCGCAAACGCCGCTCGTCGTCCGCCAGCACCCCCACCTCCGACCGCTCATGGCGCACATGTACGACCAAGAAGCCGGGCACTTTGCAACGTTCAACGACCTCATCCACAAGCACCGCGTGCGTCCGACGGCGCTCTACCCGCTGTGGTCTGTCCTCGCCACAGGTCTAGGCTGGTCAACTGCCCTGATGGGCCGCGAGGCCGCAATGGCGTGTACGGAGGCGGTCGAGACCGAGATTGGAGACCATTACAATAACCAGATTCGAGAGATACTCGAGATGATTACCCAGTGGGAGGCAGAGGGCTACCAAGTCAGTACCGAGATTGGGGAGTTGGTACAGACGTTGAGGAGGATACGGGATGAGGAGCTGGAGCATTTGGACCATGCGGTTGAGCACGATGCGAAAAAGGCAGAGCCGCATTGGTTGTTGACTGGAGTTATAAGGGCCGGTTGTAGGGGAGCGATCTGGGTCAGCGAGCGAGTTTGATGGACACGTGTAAGTTGCAGTGGCATTGTGCATGCCGTGTATCAACAAAGTGAATATTGGGGTTTACAAACGAGCATGTAAGGAATAATTATGTTTTTGATTACAATCAGCTCTATACAATGTACGACATATGAAACAAGGTTCGCTGTGCTATTATGCGTGTTCAGGGCGAGAAAGATAAAAAATAAAAGGAGGGGACATTGAAACGCCGTGTGTATGCTTCCCTAGAGGAGATGAAAAAGAAAAAATGTATGCCGAATTCCTTGCTATGCAGCTACAAGACGAAACTCCTTTCGCAATGCAAACAAATTTCTGTATGCCAGTTTTACCGATTCTGTAAATATTTTGATGTCTCCGTCTCCCATTGCCATATTTGACAGGCTGTACTCCGTACTAGTCACTACACACGAGGTGGTTAGATTATCATATCGACAAGGATAGGGCCAACTTACTAGATTGACAACGGAGCAACACCGTCTACTTGGTAGCCCCAGTTTCCATTCTGCTCTTCAGTTAACAACCAATCGTACGGAAACTGGACAATGTTGCCTTGGACCAGTTTGAGTAGCTCTTCGGCATCAGCTCTAGAAGGCATGTCTTCGAGGGAGAATCCACGACGGCTTCCTTTGGTGTTGGCACGACGACGCTTTTTGACGGACCCGAATTGAGCTTGCGACGGGATATTGGGAGTCTCCCGCGAGGGCGGCTTGTCCAATGTAGCGAAGGCTGTCTTACGGTCCGTATTCCTGCTGGCCTGCGGTTCCAGAAGCTTAGCAGGGGCTTCCTCAGGTACAGGAACGCCCACGTGGCCATTTGGTACTGTTGTAGGCGAAGCATCGGCAATCTTTTCAGATCTTTGGACGGGATTCGAATCGAGAGGACCACGTGGTTGTTGAGCTGGCTCCATTGATTTCTCATTTAGCTCCCCGTCACCATTTTGCGCCACCGTGATATCAAGTTTGCCCATATCTTGCTCAAGGAATGGAAGCTGCTTCATTGTCTTCTCCTTGGCGGCAGCTACTATTGCTTCAGGGCCAGGCGCTCCAATGCCCGCTCCGCCAGCAGTAGACTCAACCTGATTATTAGTCTCAGCTTTGGACTCGGACTCCTCTCCATTAGGCTTGCCTTCCATGCTCGCACGGAAACGCGTTCCGTAATCCACGTACTCACGATACTCTTGCCAAGTCCTCACTTCGGAATCTGGCATGCATCGGAAAACTCTGCGGTAAATCTTGGTGTTGTTCAGAGCTGCACGATTCCAAATATCATCGATAAAGCTAGTGAGGAGGGGATCCCGCATACAGTCCTTGGAGATGTCCGTTGGTGTAATATCGGCAGCCATGGGATGAAAAGCGCCACTCTTTGGACGACCAGTTGTAGGGTCGACGTGTACCGCCGGCCCGCCAATATCAGTGTCATCAGCCACCGGGAGAGGTGGTAGCTGGGCGGGTCGAAGGAGACCAAGCTGCTCTGTTGTGCGTCGATTCATCGCAGGCATAGGTGGGAGATCTCCGGTTCCAGGACCCTCATTGCCAAGGTGTCGATTGTCAGACATGATGACAAGCTCATGAGGTGGCTTCGGCTGACAGATGGTTCCCCTGCCCTCAGTATTCATGCCATGTACCAATACTTCACGACCGCCAACTATGACAGAGTCGCGGCCTTCATCCAAGCCGGACTGCTCTGCGAGCTTCCACTGGTCCTCGCCATACCCAGATACGTCTAGCCGCTGCTGCTTCTTCTGTTGCGGGCTCAAACCGACGTCTGCCTCCTTGCCCTTCTTCGACCCCGCCTCCGACTCCGACTCCGACTCCGAAGATGGCAAAGAAGTGTCTTGGAGAGCCTTGGCATGTTCCATGTCAAGTTCATAGTTGAAACTTCTCTGGCGAGGGGTCAAGAGACTATCCTGCCGAGTCTTGCTTGAGCCAACACCAATATCAGCATTGTCCTCGCGATAGATTTCTTCCATCTCCTTCTCAAACACATCACGATCTAGCTCTTGCTGTCGTTCCTCTTCCAGAATCTCGTCGACGTCGAGGCCGAGGTGTTCTCGCATCAGGCGCAGTCGGAGAGTATGCGCGAACCGTCCAACTTGGTAGGGCTTTCCAGCCATGGTTGATTCAATCATGTCTGTGTCGCGCACAATCGCAGCGCATTCAGAGTCTCGTGTCCCAAGCATTGAGCGCTCGTTGATATTGGCAGATCCAATCAAAGCAACTCGATCGTCAACAATGATTGTCTTGGCATGGATGTAGAGCTGCTCCGTCACGAGGGCATCGTTGCTCATCACACCCCATTGTCGCAGGCAATAGAAGCCGATGTAATCCTCAGGCTCGATGTCAACGGCACGGAGCCGCCCAAATATGGATTGCTCCCCACGGCAAATACTCTTGTATTGGCACATGAGAATGAGTCTGACGCTGGTTCCTTCTTGTTCATCCACTGTATTCTGGAATCCAGGCATTAGAGGAATCATGATTGCACAGCGCCAATCTTCCTCATTTTTGTGGGCGCGAATGATGCGCTCAACCAGAGCATCGCCAATGCGATTGACAATCTTGGTGTTGTATGCTTCTGTACTTGTTATGAAGAACTGATTCTCCATGTACACGAAATGTTCCGAGTCCTCAATCATTTTGATGTAAGCATTTTGAATGCTGTGTTCCGTCTCGTCTGTTCCAAGAGACCATGTAGTTGCGGAACGAAGTATCTGCACTTCGCACGTTCCAGTCAAACCGAGGGCTTCCAACTCATCCAGTTTTGCATCTGGAGGAGGCAGCAAGAACGGTAAAGGTCGGGTTGGTTTCCGTCCGCGACGGAGGTAGTTCCATCGCTGAACAAAATGGCGAGTCAAATCTCGCGCTGGTTGCCCAACAACCTGCATAGAAACGTCATGCCATGGCATTCGAGGCACCTTGCTGCGATCGTACATTTCTTCGTATGGCTCGTTGAGTCTGAAAAAATCCTGGACTCTGGGATTAGAGTAGTCCTTTCCAGGAAACAGCTGGCAGTGCTCTGCATCCTTTGGTTGCTCTGTCATCTCAAATCCAGTAGGTTTATCATCAACGATGGGGTGTTGGGGACTGTCCCAACGGCCAAAGCACAAGTCGATACCACCAAGGAAGGCCACGTCGTGGTCAACAATACAAATCTTTTCATGGTGTGCAAAGAAAAATTGGTTCTTCTTGAACTGGTTAGGCGACCGTTGTACAAAAATATTTGGATGCAGGTTTAATAGTGAGAACTTGGTGTACTCGGAATCGATGGGGATGGCGGCCTCGACATTCCGGTAGATGATGATAAAAATCTTGACACCCTCTCTGGCTTTCTTCTGCAAGAGCCGGTCAAGCCGCCACTTCTGGCTGATACATGCTGGTCGTCGCATGTACAACTCAGGGCTCAGCCACCAGTCATGAATGTAAATGACATCCCTGGCCATGTTAATTGCCCGGGAGACATTCCACATGTAGTCCCTGCCATCTACGAGCCACTGTGCGAAGACTCCATTTCGGACAGGCGCGAAACTGCCGAATCGCTTCTTCTCGTACCATGCAGTCTGTTTGAGCATTTCATTGATTGAGTCCTCAAATTGTTTCATGACGGACTGATATCTTGAAAACAGACGTACTTTGCGTTCGGATGTATGGAGTGTCAGAGTATGGTGCTTTTGGGGGAGTGCCTCAACAGTGAGGTCAATCTCCTTTGCCTTATCTTTTGAGCCGATCTGTTGAAGCGCATTCTTCTTGGAGCTGATGCTGAATTTGGAGTCGACCAGATACACGTCATAAATATTCATGTTTTCTGGTGACTCGACACAAACTATATAGCTCTGGCGAACCAAGAACCACTTACGGCTATGGCGAGCAATAACCTTTGCTGGGGTCAGGACTCGGCGGAAATCAAGTCCCTTGGATGACTGTATGTGCAGATATCCCTCTTTGCCATGATAGCTCCCCTCTGCAGCAAGACGGACACCAAGAGCAGACAGCTCCAGAAATCGACAAAGGCGGTTGCTATCAGCTCTGAACATGAGCCATCGTATCATTTCTGATAGGTATTTTTCAAGGATGCGTCTTTGTTTTTCCACGTAGCGTTGTCTGCGGGTGGCTATGTCGATAGCTTGAGCGGTGCCTTCAGCATTTGACAGCTCCCCGGGGTCCGTAAATCCAGTTGAGCGTCGTCTCATGCCCCATAAATTGGCACGCGACTTTTTTCTCGTCGGCTGGTGCTGCTCGTCATGTGTGCCGTCTCCATGGTCCTCGGGCGCGGTACCCTCTCCGCCTGTGCCTTCTCCAGCAGTTTCATCGCCTCGAACACTGGCCCGTTCATCCTCGTCGCTATCATCATCCTTGTTCCGAGCTCGACGCAGATACGGGAAGGCAGAATAAGGGAACTTGGGCTGCTTCGGGCGCCCTCCAAGATCACGGCCGAGCATATACTTGTCATTGTTGAGAGCAAATCTGTACCTGAAATGAAGATTGTAGATATCCCTGATGGTTCGAATCACTGTCCAGCACATTCGACTCGGGCCACTGCCGTATTCGAGTTCCATGGTGAAAATCCAATGTCTGTCTTTATCGTCATCCGGGATCGGGGAACTATCTTTAATTTTGAGCTTCAGTTGTTCGAGGAGAACAGGGATCCTCTTATTCCCGTGCTCGTCCCTTTGAATCATACTAGCAAGCATCAAGACTGCCGGCGCGCCAGCTCTGAGCTCTGCCATCAGTTCCGCTGATTTGAAATAATCGAATCGATCCTCCTTCTTCTGCCGCAAGAGCTTCAGTGTACTTTTTACCTGCTTCCACTTTTGTGCGCCAAAGTTGGAGGCTCGCTCAGAGTTAAAGAATGGCCGGCGAGGCGTCATAGCATCACCATCAGAAACGCCGCCTCCGCCGAATACAGTGATTCGTCGCAAATGGCCATTGCGGCGACCTACAACAGCAGAACTTTCCATGTCGTTCAGGTCATCACCTTCGCCAGGCGGTTGCGTGGTCGTTCCCATGAATGAGTGTCCACGCCTGAATGGTCGTCGTTTAGGACCGCTCCTAGTGTCCCCTTCTGATAATACCTGCTCAGGGTTTTCGGACGCCATGGAGGTATCTGGCATACTAGCCCGACGCCGGAGTAGGCGGTTATATGCGCCCCAGGTGTCCGCATCGCTTGCGAAACGACTTGGTGTTGATGGCGTCGATGGAAGGCCCTTTGCGAACCGCCTCATTCTGCGTTTCTTCTTCTTTCGCGTGCCATTCTCCGGGATAGCTGATTCATCAGCAGTCTCGTCGACGTCAGCATCAGCATCAGCATCGACATCGGCCTCGGCGTCAGACTGCTCTTCAGTAAGAATATTGGGAAGCCGAGTGCCGAAGCGTGTTGAAGTAGGGGAGTTGGTAGCGGATTGAGAAGCAGACTCGGCGAATGGTGGTGCAATTGGAGATTTCAGAGATGGAGTGCTGGGCGCGCTGGCCAAAGCCTTGATCTTGGACATTATGGACAAGCTCTTGTGTCTTCCAGGAGTTTCGGGTCCATCCCATGAACCTTGACGGCTGTGACCGCCTGCAGACAGCAGCTGGGGATCTTGCCTCGCAAACTGAACACTTCTTCTCCCAGCTGCAGCAGAGCCATCATGGTCTCCTGAAGAAGCGGCGGGGATTTCGACACTGTGCTCTGCCTCGCCAGGGGATGGCTGAGACCTCTTCTGGTCTACTTGGCCAGGTGCAACCTCATGGCCGTTTGCGGTAGGGGACACATCTTTGTGTTGTTGCCCCCCATTCCAGTAATCTGATGCTTCCGTATTTGGCTTTGTGTTCTCATAGCTCTCGGTCGGATCAGTCGATACGGGTTGTAGGCGAATCGGGGGGCTGGGGGGCAACTGAACTCGAGAGAGGAATTCGGCACTTGAGGGAGTTGCATTCTGCGGTGTTGTGCTCATGGGAGACACCGAGCCCTCCCGATGATGATTTTTTGCCATTCACGACCGTAGAGCTTGTTTTGCTGGCTTACGATATTCGTGTGGGCGAAGATTGAACGACAAGCATGAGCGAGAATGCTAGCGTTGTAATGTTATATACGCCTGGTTGAAATAGCGTGTCCACGACACATGCTGAAATAAGGGTCGGGAACTGCGATATGCAGCGCAGAGTTGATCTTTATCGCTTCGGTTCCTATAGGAGTTCGGGGTGTACACAATACATTCAATGTGGGACAGCCTGAGCAGGCGGCCGCGGCTTTGACACCTGGACGATGAACACAGCGATTGTAGCCCAACGGGCGAGAAGCGTGTTCCAAGCAATGGCGAATACCCGCAGTCGATCCCAGTATGCTGTGCTCGCAGAGGTCTCACGGGATTGCAGAATTGCTTTAGCTATTCCCAGGCCACATGTGACGAAGATTCGATGTGGTGACCAGCCGTAGCGCGGTTGAGCGGTCAAGTCGTGGTGCACGTGGGTTTAGAAATGGACGGTGACGGTTCCAGGGAAGGATGAGGCCAATGATCCAGTGACCCTGAATGAATGTTCCAAGTGTCAACCGGTGGAGTCGGGGGATGCGGCACCGTTAGCCCCACTCCAATCAAGTGCCAATTGGTCGTCCCAACAACTACTCTGTACCTACAAGGGAGGCAGGTACTGGCGTGCCCTGACGGTCCAAGTGGGTACAGCCTGTCTGGTGCATTGTCGATTGGACTCCGTGGTGGTGCCCCACCTTTAGACAACCCTAACCCTTGATATTTTCTCATATCTCAACTTTCATCTCCGTCACCCTTCATCACAACTCTCTCTTTACCAATGTAGCCGTTTTCACAATCGGTCTACGAATGTCTCCCTCCTGACTGCCCACTGCGTTCTCAAATGTGGATCCATTTGCTAGCTCGCCACATCTTGCTTCAACATATTGGGATGGGAGTCTCTTCACCCTTGGCCCGGCCCTCCGCGTCACCACGAGATATGTCGCCATTATTGCCCAGTCCATATTTTGGTCCGCCTTCAATGCAAGCAAAGGCTGCTTCTTGTTGAATACAGCAAGGGTGTCTTCATGCAGGTGGATCCACCTTTCATGCCGTAGCTTCCTTAAACCTTTCTTTCACATACGTGGCCAAATTGGTCTTACCCGCCAGCTCTAGGAAGGTGCTGAAATTGGTGGCTAGTTGTTTATGGACATTCTCTAGGGTAAAGAGCATTCGACGAAGGTACATGTATTGTCTAACTCAGGAGGCGGCCCTCGTAGCCTGTGTTGAAAATATGATATTTTGTCCTCATTGGAGAAGCCTCGAAGCAAGAACCGCACGACCAGGTAAGCCCACGGAAAGATGTCTTGGGTTCTGTTGTAGTCCGAGAGATAATTTCATGCGCTAGGTCTTTATTTCCAGCTTTTGGTTGTCCAATCTCGGTGCTTCGCCCAGTTTATCGTCAATGTTCATGTTGGTGTCGTCGTTGGTTAGGTCTTGCAAGTAGTTGGCGGTAGAGTTTTCGTGAAACAACATTTGAACCCAATCAAAAGCCTTGCTGCGTGCGGCAACTACCCTCGATTCGGCTGATTGACCTGGTTGAAGTGAATCGGGCGCAGAATTCTCTCTTGCTTGTGCCGGGCGAGTTTAGGAAGGTTGTCCGTGTAGTTCTCGACAGCCTTTTTTAACAGATGGTATGTTTGTTGTTCTCCAGACTCATTTTTGCAGAGCTCGATGGTCCAGGACATGAGCGTAGTTGAATCGCTGAGAGACTGACCAGCACCATGGCTGCATTCACAGGGATAGTGCTTGCCCAGTCAAGTCCCCCAGAAACACCTTACGTCCTTGGGCAAACAAACAAGTAAACGCCATTGTTCTTTTTTATGCTCCGTGCCTGATTCAAGGTTGGCTGCATGTGATGATCTGATGCACCAATGCATTGACCCCGCTCCAACTGTCCATGTCAGCTGGTCCCTACGGAGTACAGTCAATGGCACTAGTGGGCGTCTCCAGGCGTCTCCAGGCTTCGCCATCACCCGCCATCCACCAACCTGACCTGCCGACTGTGGCACGGCCCGCTGGCCCGCTCCCCCGCAGGTCTCCAGCCTCCAGACTGGATGTCATTCTCCCAACTGCTGTGACAATCTCCTCCATACAACGTCGGCGGCTGAACTGTCAACTTCAGCTGAAGCACCTTGACACCTCCTAGACGACTTGGCCGGTTGGGTAGTGATTCAGCCATGGCGTCTCCCAGCACAAACCACGTCCAATGGGCGTAGTAATTGGTAGCTTTGTAGACCATCCAACATGGAATCACTACAAGGCATGGCCGGTCCTAACCTTGAGCCTACTCCGTACAACCAGACAAATCTCTTTGCCCACATTTCTTGCCCACGTCACAGGAGATATCCTGAAATTCTGACCGTCCGAAAGACCAGGACGAGGGCTATGATTGCGGGCACTCCGTATTAGATGTGCTCTCGGGCTACACTGCCACTGGCACGATTATTGCTGGAGTGCTCCGGGCAAGGGAGGCGACGGCCAAAAATCCGCTTTTGTAGTGAAAAGTTCTGGGCGAGACATCTCATTTCGTCAATATCGGATATTTGGCACCAAGGCCGCTTTTATTGTACGTCAGTGTGGCGTCGCTGAAAAAAAGAAGGAAAGAAATGAGAATCGCCCGATGTCCAGACTCCAAACCCTGCCAATCACAGCCCCTGTACTGACTAACGCTGCATATCTGCGTCCAAGAAATCACCAAACGAGTCTCGACAGTTACGTTCTCCCTACTCCGTACTCTTGTATATTGATACCTCTCCAATCCATGGTTCCATGCGGCCACATGATTGCCAGACAATCTCCAGCAGTTGGTTCCCACTCTGTGCGAACGTGCAGCCATCGTCCTGCCAGGTATCATTATCCCGCTCGCTGCCAAATATGTGATACAGATGTGTCACTTCTTCGAGCGACCCTTGCGATTCGAAAAGAGACATTGGCTGCAGATCTTGACGCACATCGATGCGTTTATTCGGTCGTCAACACAACCCACACGCCAGATCTGGCTTAAAGACATGCTGTCCCGTCGGAACGCTGCTCAATTTACCATCCAACCTAAATATTTCGTCATGTTTACTTGATCGGCATCATGCCTGGTCACGGGTTGCAAAGCTGCCACAATGATCCTCTGCCACAGCTTGATGTGACGGGAGACTGTCCGCATATCCCCCAAAGAGCCAAGATGATCGCAGGAAGCGAAACGACCTCTACCCAGGCGCAAGTCGACACGACAACCTCCGGCTCAATCACTTCCAGCCTAACCTCCAACATCGTCGATGAGTTAAAATCCTCGGCCCAGTTGCAGCAGGAAGAGAGGAAATCAACAACGAGTGGAAAATCCGCAGGTTCGATCCGCGGCCTTGCGAAACGCAGTTCTCGGACTTTAGATGACTCCTTTTCTCCAGAAAACGCGGGCCGGCCAGAGGATACGTGGGACATGGCGGCAAATCCCATGCCTGTGCACTGTGAAGGTGATGGTGTAACATATGTGCCGCCTCCACAGCTGTTCAAGGCGGGCATGTACCGAGACGAGACGCACGGGAGTCTAATCCCCGGAGGCCTGGGCGACTCTTTCTCCGCCAATTCACAGTCGAAGATAGACTTAAGTTGTCCTCTGGAAAGATCATCATCAAAGAACGAATCAGATGGCCGAAGCATAGACTCGGCATCCGGGCCGAACACGGCGAATCAGAACTATACGTCACAGCCAGCCAGAGACGAGCCATCCGATACTGAGTGCTTTTGGATGTCGGACTGCTCAGAAACCGTTCCCATTCTAGAAGATAGACACCACTTTCTGAACGTCAAATCGGGCAAAGTAAGAGATGCCCTAGTACGATTGGATCGTTGGCGGTCACGCTGGGCCAACAGGCATATGCGGCAAGTTTCGGTCCAGAAGAATTATACCCAACACATAGCGACGCGCTCCCACGACGACGACTCGTCCTGCGGAAGAAAGAATGGCACCAAGTCTGGGAAGAAGGGCGTGACCCATGGCCCAGAGAGGACTACGACCAAAGGAGGAAAAGATAACCCAGGCCTTCGAAAGGACGTATTCAGGTGGCCCGGCGGACATGCAGGTCAACGAGGGCTCAGCAGCCGTACTGTCCTCTCCCCGCGTTGGCCTGCCCACATGCCGAGAAAGATGCGATGAAGTCTGGCGACAGTCATTCATACGTTTTACGATGAACTCGACACGGCAAAGCAGCGTCTCTCTACTGTCGCCGGCTTCCGGTATACTCGTTGCGTCTCAGTGAACTTTTCGGAGAGAGAAAAACTGAAGGGTCGTCATGCCACAGATAACCTTGGTCAGAGGCGCGGCGATTTTTGCCATTCGAAAGAGCCCTCTGGAGCAGCAAGGAGCAACTCATGGGAACGGGGAGAATGGTTGGAGGATCAATGGCTCACTATTCTTGGCAAACTGCTTCTGGTCATCCCGGGAGCCACCCTCTGCTCACGTCAACATCGATTTGGATGTAGAGTTTGAAACCGTCTTTGTGTTACTGGAGGATTGCTCATACGAAAATAATGAAAAAAAAGGGAGGTGGGGGATATGCTTACATACAGCGGAAAGGCCAACGTCTGATTTCGCATGGGGAATGAGAACAGATGAAAAGTTCCACCAAGTTAATGGGGCAATGCTGTGATTAGGACACGTTACCATACGTATAGATAGATGGCAGTGAGAGTTAGGGAGTATTGTGTTCAGATTTGCATTCTGCCTACTATACTAGTAGGAGTTGAAAGTGTCTTTATAGATTGATGTATGTATTTTCTTTATATCCTGTCACGTGTCTTCGGGGTTGTAAGGAATTCAAGCTTGATTCATGAGCGCACTATTGACATTTGTCGCAAAGTTCTATGGCTAGAGCCAAGCAGCCCGTAAGCTGTCAAGTGGGGACGAGCGAGCAGAATACTCCGTACTCCGTGCTCGTCTCAATTGATACATCAACGCGCAGCAGCCAGTCACCCACTGCACATGATGAACAATCCACCACACGCAAATATGTATTTCCTCCATCAGCAAAAAGTAAGTTACACTGGCCCAGCAGCGACTCGATCCAAATACCGAGGGCCTCATCCCATGCACTCGTGTTGCTGGGGGGCCAATGGAGTGCGAGTAGTTACGGAGCGCCTGTTGTTGAGACTGTCTGGATTGGCTGATGGCTTGGATTGGCTCCATCAATGGATTGGCTCCCGACGGGTTCCCCTGAGTGCCGAGAAGCAAAAAGTATCAAGTAAAGTCAATAAGTTAATTAACTGGCCAATGTGCCCAGGCACCACTCGTCTCCCCCCACTGTCAACAAATGCCACCAGACTTTCAACCCTCCCAACGCGCCGCCAATAGCGTAACACCGTCAACCCGCTCAGTACAGATATTGAAGTGTCAACTGGTCTCTCCGCTCTCCACTTCTGTGCTCCAAGCGCAGGAAGCCACTCGTTGTGTCTGCACATCGCCAAACCAGCTTTCTCACTTTCCTTCTTTTCCTTCAATGTTTGCTTCAGCCCTGTAGCCTGATCACGCATCTGGTCGCGGTAGACTCAGCATCATCATAGCCCAGGTTGTGAGCTCTCTCAGCCGCGCTACATGACCTGAATATTTTGCTGCCTCGGTTTCCTATTTATTTATTCATTTTTTTTTTCCTTTCCTCTTCTCTGCTCTCCTTAATTCTTTTAAACTCGTACAAAGGCCACAGTGCCTCCCGCCGCTATAATGTCCCGATATTCGCTACGCCAAACGCCTAGGTACCTTGAAAACACCCATGGGAGAGGATGGCGGGACGGTTGGCATGCCATTGGCTTCAATGCAAATTCGCACCTGGAGCCAGGCACAAGCCCGCCAATTCCGCCAAACAGTAGCCTTCTGGTGAATGAACACGGGCTAATTGGATATACAGGAAGAAGGAACTCTTCGAAGGCATGGTGGAAACACCTACCGCGTCGCGGCGGTCATCGCGTCGCCAGTCCTCGTTCCCCCCTGAGCTGCTATCCGACGCCGACAACGACTCGAGCTCGGCCGGCGACGTGTCGACACGCACTCGGTCTTTGCGCCGCCGCACCGCCAAGTTCACCGAAAGCTTGAACGAAGAGGAGGAGGAGACGAAGCCCCAGACCAATGGCAAATCTGCTCACGGGGAAGAGGTCGTTTCCAATGGCTCCCCCAAAAAGTCCACCCCGAAGTCGACACCCAAGAAGCAGGCCGCGCCAAAGTCAGCTGATGCCGGCGTTGTTGACGGATGGCGCGAAGGCCAGGACCCCAAGGTTGACTACTCGGGCGAGTTCGAGTTCGGCGGTTCTGTTGGCACTCTGGCCATGATGATCCTTTTCCCGGTTCTGATGTGGTACATGTGGATTGGGGCGACCTACTATGATGGCAAATTTCCCTCCAGAGCACCAGGCCAGAGCTGGGCCTCTTTTGGGGCACAGCTCGTCAACTACGTGTATACCGGCGCGTTTCCCCATGTCAAGGCTTGGTTCTGGTATTGGTCGTATCTCATCTTCCAAGGTGCCTGCTACTGCTTGCTCCCTGGTGTATGGGGCTGGGGCAAGCCTCTTCCCCACGAAGGGGGCAAGCAGCTCAAGTACTACTGCAACGCATTTGCCACGCTCTACTTTACGCTTGCTATCCTGGCGACCCTGCACTTCACCGGCATCTGGCCGCTTTACAATGCCATTGACGAGTTCGGCCCCCTCCTGTCCGTTGCCATCCTGAGCGGCTTTCTGGTCAGCTTTGCTGCATACTTCTCCGCCCTCTACCGCGGAAAGGAGCACCGCATGACTGGCTACCCCATCTACGACTTCTTCATGGGTGCCGAGCTGAACCCGCGCATGTTTGGCATATTGGACTTCAAAATGTTTTGCGAAGTTCGCATGCCGTGGTACTTCCTCCTCATCCTCAGCTTGGGTACTGCCGCACGTCAGTGGGAGCGCTACGGCTACGTCTCCGGCGAAGTCATGTTCCTCGTCATGGCTCACTACCTCTACGCCAATGCCTGTGCCAAGGGCGAGGAGCTCATCATCACCACCTGGGACATGTACTACGAGAAATGGGGGTTCATGCTCATCTTCTGGAACCTCGCCGGCGTTCCGCTGTCCTACTGCCACTGCACCATCTACCTCGCTAATCACGACCCATCCGAGTACCACTGGAACCGCTGGTTCCTAGCCTTCTTGTACATTGCCTACCTCTTCTGGTACTGGGTCTGGGACAGCTGCAACAGCCAGAAGAACCGTTTCCGCGCAATGGAGCGCGGAAAGATGGTTGCCCGCAAGACTTTCCCCCAAGTTCCCTGGCAGACCATCCAGAACCCCAAGACCATTGAGACTCCCCAGGGCACCATCCTCGTCGACGGCTGGTACGGTCTTGCCCGCAAAATTCACTATACCGCCGATGCGTGGTTCGCCATCTCCTGGGGCCTGATTACTGGGTTCAAGTAAGCTCCATCTCTTGTCTCTCTTCCTCTCCCTCACGCGTTTCTTCTAGTGGCCAAAAACTAACTCGTTAACAGGAGCCCATTCCCTTGGTTCTACCCAGTCTTTTTCTGCTGCATGATTGCGCACCGCGCCGCGCGGGATATTCACCGCTGCCGTAATAAGTACGGCGAGCACTGGCTCGAATATGAGCGACAAGTTCCCTACCTCTTTATTCCTGTGAGTTTTCTCTTATCCGCGCCTTGATTGGATTATGGTGGCTGATGCATCGTGCAGTACGTCATTTAGATGCCGTTGCTTCTTGGGGGGCACTCTTGCCTTCAAAACACAGCTTTGTATTACAATAACCGTTGGCGGGGGAGGAGTGATATTTCTTGCGTAAATATTCAGCTAGCACAAAAGTAATGAACTTGGTTAGAGGTGGAAAACATGTGTGGCGGGTGATTGGGGGATGGGAATTCTCATCCTGGGGAGGCGTAAAGAGTGGTTTACTCAGTTTTATCATGTCTATAAGGGCTAACTAATATCAAGTAATTGGGAATTTTTTGCCATCAGTAATTCGCATATACAAATACACGCTCACCCTTAAGCTCAGGCGCGAAGCCATCATGATTCATGACTCAATGCTCCCACATCTTGATCAGACAAAGTCCGACTTAGACAGATGTATTGACGCAAGATAGGAAATTCTGTGTTGTAAACCATGATATGAGCAACAGAGACTACACTAGATTCTCCTTCACAGCCACTGTCTATAATAAAACCGGTCAAGGCCAAACTTCGTCTGCAACTAGTGTACATATACGACCTCCATTGGGATTACACCCCCCATCCTTCGTCACCTCCTTTTGAAATCATGTTCTGCCAGCGATCAAATAGCCCGTGCGCACCCCTAGCGTATTAGAGATGTTAAAGACCTGCTCGCTGTGCGCCTGGTGTGTGCCGATCCATGCCAGAAATAGCGCCTCTTGCTGATAAGTACAATTTGTCGGGTCGCCTTTTACAGCATCGCAGATGCCGCTTACTGGCAAACAGTATCTTGGGTGGCCTTGGAGTTCATGAGCAGGGCAACAATGAGGCCGTACAGACCTAGTGGCATTGGTCAGACATCTAAACAAAACACAATATGGCTGAGTGTTACTTGTTGCGCGAGACTTACCCAAGACTTCAGCGAAAATGAGAATCAAAATCATGCCGACGAAGAGACGGGGCTGCTGAGCAGTTCCTCGGACACCAGCATCACCAACAATACCGATGGCGAAGCCGGCAGCTAGACCAGCCAGACCGACAGCCAGACCAGCACCGAACTGGATGAAGCCGGTGTACAGAGGGAGTTCCTGTTTGAGACCGTCGGAGATGAGGACAGACACGACCAAACCGTAGATACCAATGATACCAGCCATAATGACTGGAACAATGTCTATATTGATGCGTTAGCTTCGACGCTGGCGAGATCGTGCGGATAAGGCAGGTGCGCACTCTTCACGATAAGGTCAGGGCGGAGGACACCCATGGCAGCGATACCGACACCAGACTTGGCAGTACCGTATGAGGCACCCAGGCAGGTGAATACGATGGCACATGTGCAACCCATGGCGCCGAAAAAGGGCTGTCGACAATGGTTAGCGGAGGTGGTCATTAACGCGCACGATTGTTGTGCCGTCGCCCCAAGTCGGGGCCAGTAGTGACGTCGGTCGGCGGGTGGACAGAGTGCGTTGACTAACCGCGTAGACGGGGCTACAGAAGTATCTTGGTCAGCTTGAAACATTGTCAAATATCGCACGCTTGTCACATATATCGAATAAGAGCAATGCCAGCGATGCCGGAAGCTTCGCTCCATCCAATCATCACAACAGGGAGAGAAGTATGGCAGGCGTGGCAGGTGTGGCAGACGTACCAAAGCTCGGAGACCATCTTGGCGGTATTTGGCGTGTCGGGGCTAAATAATCGAAGAGAAGAGCGAGATCGAGTATGTTGCTAGCGTCAAGGCCCAGCAGTTGATGGCAGGGGAAGCTTCGGTGATGGCTGGCCGTGGTTGTCGGGTTAAGTCGAGATGCAGTGGTGGATGGAGGACTCAGTCCCTGGCTGGCGTTCTGGTTGGCGTAAGGTTTTGCCGCACGGGTCAAGGACAAAGATGCGGGGTTACGTAATCTCGACTGCGGCCAGGGTAGTCGGGTAAACATCGGCCCCTGAAGCCCCCATTCCTGAGCTGCTGGTGCGAAACGTGGGAAGCAAACTTGTAACTTCGTGATGGATTGGTAGATGCCGCTTTTTACATCGGACTTGGCAGCGTCTCTATGCCGGCTCCGTAGCATGTCTACAATATTCTGAAGCGCCTTTAAATCTGTTCATATGATCGATCGGTAGACGCCCCAAGCCCAATCGGCAGCGCCGGGATTTGATCCATGACCAGCAGGAAACTTCAGAGACATTATTCCGATTAACTACCGTAGTACCTCCCTAGGTAGGTACTCCGTGCCTGGTAGTTCATGGCAAATCACGATATGATAAGACTGTGTAAGACCGGGCGTCATCCATTCGTTCAAAGTTGCCGACTACCTAGGTACATAGTTTCTCCATTTGCGACGCCAGCACAACCTTCATGAAAATTCAGCTAGATAGTTTCCCGGCTCCCTGCATAAATGGTTGACCACCCAACTCATCGTCTCTTCAGTAGTATTGTCTCGTCGTCTGCAGTCCATGCGATGCGCGTTGCGCTCTGCCACGAGCTGATGGTCGGGCAACAAGCATTGAATGCATGCATGACGTACCAACACCCTGTCCTGATGCATGAGACAAGATCACGGGCAGCAGCCAGCACAATAACCTGATTCTTGCATTCTCGAGACATTTCTCCCGTCGATTGCATTGGGAAAGAACAATTCAGCCCCTGTTGCTGCGTTGGTCACTCACGGTCGATCATCAATGACGCTTCTCCACTCGTACTCGATTCCACGTCGGACGCAATGCTCCGCTTAACCCTCAGCTCTCTCGCCTTGGTTTCATCCCCGCGCTGCATCGTCGGCCGAGCAGGGTCATTCATTCATAACTCATCGTATTGACCATATTGCCCTGCTGCCCGTGTTGACTGCCTCGTAATGCTGCTCAGCGAGTCTTGAGTCTCCGTCCGGCGTGTCATCGTAACATCATGCCCGGAATTAGCCGGAAGATCCTCATATGCGCTGCCATCGATGGTCTCATTCTCCAGCCGCTTCCCACAAAGGGACAACGACCATTCCAGCCGGCTAGGATTAGATATGGCGACTCGTCTATTTCAGCAGTTCCACGGGACCAAATCCCGGACACTTCAGGCCCAAACTCATCGTTCGAAGTATTTGGTGTTATTGGTAAGACTTCCTTCCTTCGCTCAGGTGCTGTATGCTGTTGAAATGTCTCTTAACAAGTTCATGCGTCATCAGGCTTGATTACGGTTTCAAGACTTAGCTATCTCATCACTATTACCCGTCGCCAGCAAATTGCACAGATCTTCGGGTTTCCCATTTATGTTGTCACTGGCGTTGCCATTACTCCATGCAACACAAAGCAAGAGGCCGATGAGTCCATCCGCAGGACAGCCAGCCTTCTCAGGAAGCAAACACCGAATGGGGAAGATGGCGACTCCGAAAGCAGCGACGAAGACGTTGAAATCCCTCAGTCTCCCCTTGATGAAGTGGAAGACACAATCGGTGAGGAGGACAAGACTCGTCCCGACTCGTCTCGAAGCAGTGTCGCCGAGGATGTAATGCGTCGCCGGGGTAGCTATGGCCGTTTTGCACAGCGGTGGTTCAGTAACAGTGGATGGACCATGGATCAAAGACGAAGCTTGGGCTTGAGCATTGCAACCGCAGGCTCACCGACAACACTGGAAGCATCCGGCGAGCCAGCCACATCCAAGACACCAATTGAAGAGGATATGAGTGACCAAAGTCAGGTAACAGCGTTGTTGCCAAAGTTATTGCGGACGATTCAAGTCTTCTTTGAGTCTTCTAGGAGCTTTTACTTCTCCTACGATATTGATCTCACTCGAAGCACCTCTCAACAGGCTTGGGTCCCGAATCCAGACACACCTCTGCACACACAAGTTGACAACAAGTTCTTTTGGAACCGGCATATACTGGGCAAATTCATAGCAACTGGTCAAGACTCAATAAGTCTCCCGCTAATGCAGGGATTTATTGGCCAGCGAACGTTTGTAGTGGATAGTGATCCTCCTCAGATGGATGAAGGTGCATCCGAGTCAATGGAACTCGCCGACATGTCTACCTCTGGATCTCTACCAGTATCACCGCCAAGTGGACGCGTTGGGGACCATGCCGATCTAAGGCCGTCGGAGAGGAAGTGTCTTATCACGTTGGTGTCTCGCAGGTCGACTCAACGCGCTGGTCTAAGATATCTTCGTAGAGGCATCAATGAGGAAGGCTTCACGGCGAATATGGTGGAGACGGAACAAATCATCTCCTCGCCTACATGGGACGATTCCTCGCCAATTCACTCATTTGTACAGATTCGCGGAAGTATTCCACTGTTTTTCACGCAATCGGCATACTCACTAAAACCAGTCCCAGTAATACAACACTCCCCCGAGAGCAACTACAGGGCCTGCAAGAGACATTTTGAGAGGCTTCACTCCAACTATGGATCTCTCCAGATTGTCAACTTGGTTGAGAAGCGCGGTGTTGAAGAGCCCATTGGAACACAATACGAGGCAAACGTTTCACGCCTCAATGAAGAGCTCGGCGAGAACGACAAAATTCCATTCGAGTGGTTTGACTTTCACCATGCTTGCCGTGGAATGAAGTTCGAGAATGTCAGTCAGCTTCTAATCAAACTAAGGGGTAGGTTGGAAGAGTTGGGCAGCACAACCCAAGTCGGCGGCGAGATTACCCAGCGGCAGGCAGGTGTCCTCAGAACGAACTGCATGGATTGTTTAGACAGAACGAACGTGTGTCAGAGTTCCTTTGCAAAGCATATGCTAGATTTGCAGCTGAAGGGAGATGGGATAGATATGAGTGCGCAGCTAGACCAGGAGACGAGGTGGTTTAATACTCTCTGGGCAGACAATGGCGACGCAGTCTCCAAGCAGTATGCGTCTACGGCCGCTATGAAGGGCGACTATACGAGGACAAAAAAACGAGACTACCGTGGAGCGTTGAATGACTTGGGACTGTCACTGGCACGATTTTACAGTGGGTGAGTACACATGTCTATTCTGAAGCATTTTGTGGCTTGCCTCTAATATAATGGTTGAAGCATGGTGAACGACTACTTCAGTCAAGCAGCTATAGACTTTCTGCTCGGAACCGCAACGGAAAAAGTCTTTGACGAATTCGAGTCCGACATGATGACCAAAGATCCTGCCGTATCCATTGCAAAAATGCGTCAGCGAGCTGTCGAGCTTTGCCAAAAACGAGTAGTTGCCGATGCCAGTGAGGAAGTCCATGGCGGATGGGTTCTCATCAGTCCCAACATGGCTGACGTGGTAAAATCCTGGCCCATGGAGGAAGTCGTCCTGCTGCTGACAGACGCTGCTCTTTACCTATGCCGCTTTGACTGGGATCTTGACAAAGTATCCTCCTTTGAGCGCGTCCACCTCGGCAATGTGACGCACATCAAATTCGGAACTTATATCACGTCAACACTTGCCCCAGCGCACATGGACGAAACAAAAAATGTCGGACTCGTCATATCCTACCAGCCAGGTAAAAGCAATATCAAGAGAACCAATACACGAACGCTCTCAACTAAGGGATATATTGCGCCGAATTCGGCTTCTCAGGGAGAGGCCAAGACGCAGGTAGGCCTTGTTAGTTTCTTCTCGCCCAAGGCAAAATCGCCTGCTGTCCGGAGGTTGGCGTTTAAAGCTCCGTACATGGATTCTTCCACGGCTGTATCAGGAACAGCTGGTCTGCAGCAGACGGAGCTGCAGCAGGTAATTACTATATGCGCAGAAATCGAGCGGCTGGCTCTGGAAGCGCAGCTGCGGAAGGAAGGGGAGGGTGAAAAGAGTTTCGTGGAGAAGGGTGAGATTATTTCGCTGCAGGAGGCGAAGAAGAATACAGGATTGTTGGAGCAGTTGGGGCATTCGATCAAGAGACTTGTCTGGGCCTAGATGTTGTGGATCGCTCCCTAGAAACGTTACGAAGCATTGACGAGTACTTGTAATTAATAATTGTCATTGAAATTACGCTTATTCTGTTTATTCTTAGCTACGAATTAGCTAGCTTTTTTTCGAAATGCGATAAAGATGCATCTGGTATCGCATATTCTCCAACTGAATAGGATACGACAATCCCTCCGGCATTCTAAACCACATCGATTCCTCAGACTCTAGCTTATCCCATGTATATCCCGAGGATTCGCCCTCCAACAAGGTGTGGTTCAGTAACCACTGCATAGGATAGCGCTTCTTCTCCTTTCCCACCGCAGCCTCCGAGTAACTCCCCGGGCTGTCGACTACGAGCAACAAACTCCCCCCTGGAAGGACTTGGCCCAGACTCCTCAGGAACTTGGTGGTCTTGCCGATGCCGCCTTCTGTGTAGAGCTCATTCAGGGTAAACATGAGCGTGACGATCAACGGGGCCGATCCTACCTGTTCCAAGAGTGCCTCGGCGGTCAAGGACAAAACATCCGCCTGCGTAAAACTAAACGCCAGTCGGGACGGGTCGACAAGAGCCGCGTTGGAGGCTCTAGCTGCGGCCGAGGCGTATTTCGACAGCGCGGGAGCAGTGGTCAGCTGCATCTGCAGCATGGACGCGACGTGTTCCCAGGGCGCGGAATCGAAGAGCGCGAGCGTCCCAGCGCGCTCCGTCTGGTCGAGGTAGGATGCAAAGGCGACGTGTTCGGCGGCGCAGCCCCCTACGCAGAGCATTTTGATCCCGCCTCTCCTTGGCCTCGCTTCGCCCGGCGAGTCTGCAGCGCCATCGTGGGACGCCTCGGACTCGACACTGCCCGCGGCGTCGGACGCCAGCACCTCAAGATGTGCGTCGATGCCCACGAAGACGGAGGCATAGCACAGTGCCCTCGTGGGACTCCATCGCGCGGCATACGCCTCCAGATAGTCCTCCCTGCCAAAGGCCCGTCCGAAATCTCTGCTATACAACGCTTGCTTGATCTCCTGTAGCAGCGCGGGGAAGTGCTCCGACGAGAGGACGTTTGCGAACGCGTCTGCAAAGATGTTCACCAGGGTCTGCTGGTGGCGCTGAGAGTGAGTGCCATTGGCGGCTGCGGGAGCTGGGCTTGTCTCTGCTGGTGCCGTCCTGGAGGCGATGCGGCTCTTCTTCTTGGGCGCTGATGCCTTGCTGACCATTTCTTTGTCATGGGCAAGGGGGAAAGTCCCGGCGGCTCGATTCCTGTTTTGGAATGAGGTTTGCTGCGACTATTTCGCGTGTGGGTGGACGGGTGGCGGGCTGGATTTGGAGTTCGAGGCTGGGCGAGGCTGAGGTTGAGTTTGGGGCATTCTGGCCGATTGGAGGGGATGCAGGACTTGGTCGAGCTTCTCCTGGCTTAGAAGCGCATTTGGCATCATGATAAATCCGGGTCTAGCGAGACACCGGCGGTTCGCGTCCACTGCCTCAATCTCGCATGCAATTGGGACAACTAACGATTTATGTACATGTTTGCCAAAGGGTTGAACCTTATTACATGATGGATGTAGGGTGAACTTATATTTTCCTCAGCCCTTTTTTTGGATCTACATCACTACAAATCTCTCAGGTTGATCGGCAAGGCCAGAAGTGGACACTAGATTGCCTGTGGAATGTAACTGGCATATGGATGCTGATGAAAGCACCCTCATAACCATTACCAGAGGCTGACTGATCTGCCTCTGGCCCCTGGGTAGCAGACGCTCAGGTCCGACCGCGACGAAGAACGCCACCGTCCCAACTTCGTTTCCATCCGGACCACAGTCGTCCGGCATTGCTGTTCATGAGCACGTCTCGGGCTGCCATTGGCAGGATGTATCAACCGTTTGGGTGCAAATCCAATGGCCCCGGAGATGAATCGTCTGCTCCCCCGAGCCAAGAGCAGCAGCAACGTCACTGGGCCAAAGTGTTTCCACCGTCCCCAGTCGTCTGTTGCATCACCAATATTCCAGCATTGAAGTGGGCTTCCTACGAGCGCTGTATTCCTGTCAAACCGCCTGGCTCTAGGAAGAGTTCCAGTTAAATCATTTGCGGCGAGCCTGCCAGCCTGTGTGATGGCAGCATTGGCCCAACGCGATGGGGTCGTTCTGGAGAAGGCACCGCGACGTATTGCGTCAGTCGTGTGCAAACTTTTATCTACATGCCCATCCACTGGAGCATCGCAGGTCGTGGTGGAATCGATTGGAGGGGACATGGCCCAGTTTTTTTTTTATCTTTTTCTCTTCGGTAGTGTATTGTAAAAGTAACAGAACTCGAGCTTTTGTTGTCAAGGGCCATGTGGGCTTTCGTGATGATCAGTATTGGTTTAGTTGGTTGCTCGAAGGGGCTATTCCGTCGGCTATTGCTCTTTGACTTCTCGACGACATCAAGACTCTTGCGCAACTGGCCCCCACATGTCGACAACCAAAAAAATCCAGATACATAACGACCTGTTCAACGGCAGAATGGTTCGGATGGGCTGGAACCAGGGGCCCGGGCTAGGTGACAAGTGACGAGCGGCGTCGCAAAGAATAAGGCATGTATTTCAAACGTGAGGCGGTAGATCAGAACTTGAGAATTGGCAATGATGGTCCAAGGTTCTCCCATGTCTCCCATGTCCATGGGGCACAATTTCTACGGGACATGTTGATCTTGCCCTCCTCGTCGCCATCACCGTCCAACGCTTGAGGAACTCGACAGACGTGTAATCCGGTGCTGCGTAACGTGTGGTGCTTAAGTACCTGGGTATTTTGGGTACCTAGATGGTCAGTCAGTCGGCAGTTCCTGCCCGTCCCAATAACGCACCCAAGTAGTTGCAACGAGCCACTCGAGTAAAACCGATTCTGCAGCATCGCCGTAGCAGCGCGCAGATTCATGCTAAAGTCTCGTCCTTGCACATCTGCGACGCCGGACCCACCGGCAAAGTCCACGTCCCCAAGAACCATGACATAGGTTACATAACCAGCCCCTCAGCAGAGTTCCCAACGCCGGTATCGACAGCTCCTGCCCAAGTTCTGTCCCATCCGTCGGCCCCCCCGCCTCTCGCTCTTCCTTATAATACTGAACCCTCCCTCTTTTCATCCCCGAACGCTGCCCATTCTCTCTTCAATTTCCCCATTACAACCAATCGACTCCAGACAGCAAGCCCATCATGACTTACGGCGAGATTGACCAGTTGGCCATCAACACCATCCGTCTGCTTGCAGTACGTTCGCGCTCTCTACCCCGCCATGTTCCTGCTCCCCCTCTGCCCCGCCATGACGCTCGGTTTGCTCGGTCGCCAACGAAACACGGATATGCGACGCCGGGAGAGGCATTTTCAGCATGGCATTGAGCCCGACGGACTACACAAGAGTGATGCCAGTGACTGACAACAATGCCTTCTTAGGCCGATGCCACCTTCAACAGCAACTCGGGACACCCCGGTGCTCCCATGTGAGTAGCCTTGCGTGCAAAGCTCTTGGGCCTCTTGCTAGGAAAAATTGTTGGCTGACCAGTTCCCAGGGGCATGGCACCTGTTGCCCACGTTCTCTTCAACAAATTCATGAAGTTCAACCCCAAGAACACCAAGTGGTTGAACAGAGACCGTTTCGTCCTCTCGTAAGTCCTCTTTTCGCCACTCGACACTGGCTGCCACTGGGTCGGCGAATATGAAGCTGACATGAATGGCAAATAGTAATGGCCACGGCTGCATGCTGCAGTATGCTCTGCTGCATCTCTTTGGCTATGACTTGAGCATTGAGGACCTCAAGAACTTCCGAGTAAGCCGCGAATTTCCCAACAGTTTAGCTCAATCAGCGAGTTGGTCTAATCCTTCGTGTAGAAAGTCGACAGCAGGACGCCTGGCCACCCCGAGTCCCATGATACCCCCGGAATTGAAGTCACCACCGGCCCCCTCGGTCAGGGTGTGTGCAACGCTGTTGGTCTTGCCATGGCCCAGGCTCACACTGCCGCCACCTTCAACAAGCCTGGATTTGACGTTGTTGACAACTATACATACTGCTTCCTCGGCGATGGTTGCTTGATGGAGGGTGTCTCCAGCGAATCATCTTCACTGGCTGGTCATCTTCAGCTCGGCAACCTGATCTGCATTTACGATGACAACCACATTTCCATTGACGGCGACACCAACTGCGCCTTCACCGAGGATGTTGTCAAGAGATACGAGGCCTACGGCTGGCATGTCGAAGTCGTCCACGACGGCGACTCTGACCTCGCTGCCATCGAAGCTGCCATCAAGAAGTGCCGAGAGGTCAAGGACAAGCCTTCGCTGATCAAACTCAAGACCACCATTGGCTATGGCTCGCTCCAGCAGGGTACCCACGGTGTCCACGGCTCTCCCCTCAAGGCCGATGACATCAAGCAGCTCAAGCAGAAGTGGGGTTTCCCCGAGGATGCTTTCCATGTCCCCAAGGAAGTCTACGACCTTTATGGCAAGCATTCCTCCGAGGGTGCCTCCCACGAGGACAAGTGGAACCAGCTGATGAGCAAGTACGCTGAGCAGTTCCCCAACGAGGCTGCCGATCTCAAGCGCCGCCAGACGGGTGACCTTCCTCAAGGCTGGGAAAAGAACCTGCCCGTCTACACCCCCGCCGACGCCGCTGTCGCTTCTCGCAAACTTTCTGAGACTGTGCTGGGCAAGATCGAAGGCGCCATCCCTGAGCTCTTCGGTGGTTCTGCTGATTTGACTGGCTCCAACCTGACCCGTTGGAAGAACGCGGTTGACTTCCAGCCCAAGGCTACTGGACTCGGAGACTATTCTGGTCGATATGTCCGCTACGGTGTCCGTGAGCACGGTATGGGAGCCATCATGAATGGTCTCGCCGCTTACGGTACTATCCTGCCTTACGGCGGTACCTTCCTGAACTTTGTCTCCTATGGTGCTGGTGCTGTCCGTCTCTCTGCTCTGTCCCAGGTCCGCGTCATTTGGGTTGCCACTCACGACTCCATTGGTCTTGGAGAGGACGGTCCTACTCACCAGCCTATTGAGACTTTGGCTCACTTCCGTGCCCTGCCTAACTGCATGGTCTGGCGCCCTGCCGACGGCAACGAGACCAGCGCTGCTTACTACATTGCCCTGACCTCCAAGCACACTCCCAGTATCATGGCTCTGTCCCGACAGAACCTGCCCCAGCTTGAGGGTTCCACCATTGAGAAGGCCAGCAAGGGTGGTTACGTCCTGCATGAAGTTCCTGGCGCCAACATCACCCTGGTTTCGACTGGCTCTGAGGTTGGCATCTGCGTGGACGCTGCCAAGTATCTCGAAGAGAAGCACGGTGTCAAGGCTCGCATTGTCTCCATTCCTTGCTTCGAGGTCTTTGATTCTCAGTCCAAGGAGTACAGACTTTCTGTGCTGCCTGATGGTATTCCATCCCTGTCCGTTGAGGTCATGAGCACCATGGGTTGGGAACGATACACACACGAGCAGTTTGGTATTAACCGCTTCGGCGCTTCTGGTGCCTACAAGGATGTCTACAAGGTATGACCTCGACAACATTTAGCCCCAACACATCTTTCTCTGTATTTTCACCCTAGCTGACAACCTCTGCAGAAGTTCGAGTTCACGCCTGAGGGCATTTCCAAGCGCGCCATCGCCACGATCGATTTCTGGAAGGATGTCCCCAACGTCCGCTCTCCTATCAACCGAGCTTTCCAGCAGCACATCTAAGATACCATACTGTTGCAGCAAGACTGCCCTGTAACTAGAGCTATATGAGTATATTTTCTTTGTCATGGGACGAAAATTGCTACGTTGTGACGACGATATTGGGAGCGCGGAACATGGCAGAGTTTGGGATGGTCATAAAATATATAGATATCGTTGTAATCCGGAACAATTCAGATGATATTAAGTTGCCAAATGTCCAACCAAGACTTTTGTCTAAAACGAGAAACACCTAGCTGGCTGCAATGTCTGTGCAACTTGATTATGAAATAAGCACAGAGGAGACTTGAAATGATTTGCAAAAATAACTCCGCGCTAATGAAGAAAACAATGCCGAAAATCGCGAATGTTGTCATGGCGACATGGAGTGTGTTAGAGGCCGTAGGATGTGTGTCGGAACTTGGAAGTCGCTGTGCCAACTGCCAAAGTCATGATGGCGTGAGGTTTTTTGTGTAACTGCCAAAGTAAAGATGGCGAGCGGATGCCCAAAAACGGCGGGTTGATGGGATGGCAAATCGTTGCTGTTTTTGTCCAGAATTTGCCACTCGCTTAACTGGCATGGTGTAGATGCTGGATCTGCGATCAAATACACCCTTGCATGTCGATCCGAGCATCATGAGCCCGTACCAACCATAGCCGAGTTTTGGCCAATAGAGTCTCGCAATTGGCAACAAGGCTGGATATCCAAAAACTTGTAAACCGGCCCCCCGCCAAAAAAAATTAAAATTCAAACAATTCTCCCATCTTCTCAATCCGCACCAGCGCCTCTCTCGAGTTGTGCCGTCCACTCCTTCTGAAACTCCCTCCCGACTCTCTCCAGCCTCGCGGCGGCCCTCCTGGCCTCTCTCGCTTCCTCAGACGAGCCCGCGACGACCACGCCTACCAACATGGGTGCGGCGTCGTCGGGGGACTGCTGCGTTTCGGTGTCTTCATCCGTGGTGCCCGACGTCATGGTATCTATGTCCTTGTGGGTGGTGCTCCGGCTAGACGGGACAGACGAGGAGGACTCGCGAGGGTCAAGATATGTCTGGAGTACCACGGCGCCAGAGTCTGGGTATTCGATCATGATGCGCTGCGGGCGGCCGAGGTGTGCGCGCTGAGCGGCCGTCTGGGAGGACAATGCGCTCGAGGTCAGGGCGGTTAGGGAGTCGAGGTGGGAGGGGGAGGATGACGAGGTTATCAGCGGCGTGAGGGTGATGTCGCTGAGGTGGATGGAGAGAGTGGGGTGCTGTGAGGGGAGATTGGCCATGACGTCGGTTTGGCATGAGTCGAGGGGAGAGAAGAGCGAGAAGAGGCGGGTTGGAGGAGGGGAGGAGGAAACGAGGGGGAATACCAGGTGTATTAGTATACGGGGACGGAGAGCCGCAGAGCAATTGTAAAGGACGAATATAAGCAAATGGGAAGAGAGAGACAAGACACAAGACGGCAGGAGGGGATACGATGGAGAGATGAAGTAGAGAAGGCTGAGCTGATCAAGTCGAGTGGTCTGGCCCCGTTGGTTGGGTTTGCGCCATAGGACCATGGACAGAGGACCATGGACGGGAGGCCAGCAACGGTCAAGCCGGTGCAGAAGTGCACGTGTGGCCTTGTTCCTTGCTGGAAAGTGGAGGAGTGCGGCGGATTAGCGTAGCGTCGAGAGTCGATTCTCGAGGTGCAGGCTGCCGGCTAAAGTGTTGGCAACTCAAGGACTTTGAAATGTTACCAATGTTCGCCGGCTGTTGTAGATGTGGACGGGGGTTGCACGGTGCTTGGCTGGGCGAGGGGGAGGCGCACCACCCGAGAGGGGGCAGCTGGGGTGGAATGCGGAATTGAGGGGCGGCGCTCGTGCATGCAGACGACCGGGAGATTTTGCTGCGGCAGCTGCGGGATGGGATGGCGCTACGGGAGCAGATGGAGTCGCGATGGTGGTGGACGGAGGGAGACGATTCATGTCGACATACCTACGGAGTAGGTTTATATATATGGGGGGAAATGGAAAAGGAGAGGGGGCCCTGGTGGTTTATTATACATGGTGGATGGGGTTGGTGACGACACGACGACGTATTATTATTGTGTTGTAGTGGAGGAATCTATTTACGTGCATCCGCAGATGTACCATAGTATGTGCGGAGGATAAGGTAGCGCAAGGAAATATGCATGCATATCCCCTCAGGAAAGAGCGAGTGCACAAGCGCGAGTTGGCGACGGCGACAGTTGTTAGTACTATTCCGCGTGCCAGCCTAGTACTTATTACTTGTATAATAAATACGAGCTGCATGCATAATAGCCCTCTGCATAAGTAAGTAAACATGAACAATGTTGGAACAGCATCGGATCTAGCTCCGTGCCCCCGTCTCCAAGTCTCCAAGCCTGGAACACGTGCAGCTCACATTGAGTCCTTCTGCTCAACCCCGTCCTGCCAAGCAACCAGGATCCTGGGTAGATCAACAGGTTCAGCGTCCAAAAATACTCGCCTAAGGCCCTTGTTTTGCTTGGTTCCGGATTTTTTGTTTTACTTGGGCGCTATCGAGCGCGCAGGTTTTTCATCCAATATTGTGGCAGGCTATCGGCCCATTGCGGTGCCCCCCTCCCAACTAACTGCCTGAGAACCAGACACATTTGGCTCTTTAGCGATAGCCTCGTCTTGTCTTGCCTCCTGATCCTGGTCTTCTCCCCGAGGCCGTCCCGGGCCCATGCGGCTACGCCGTACAGGTACGAGAGACAACAGGATTTGTACTCGCGCGCCAGCTGTGCGGTTGGGGGCCACGTTGTGCATGAGTCGCAGTTTGCGGGGGCACGAGCTGATGGGGCCGGGCAATAGTTGCGGGCTAGACATACATGAGGGCTGGCTGTCTGTGTGGTAGTACGTCTTGTGCGTGAACCTTTTGTTTCAGGCGTTGCGGATGGAACATTGGACTTTTTCTTTTTATATTTTCGTTGGTGAGCGCTGGTCTGCCATGTGTCAGTGGTTCGTGCTCGTCTTGACTCGAGGTCGGAGTGAGAACATGGAATGAGGTTGGCGCTAGGAAGTTGCAACCAGACATGTGCTCGGTGAAATGCGGGGGAAGCGACAGGGGGAGCTAGCTATCCGTGTCGATCGATTGGGGGAAGCTGTTGTTTGGCCGAGTGAGGGCGAACATCGAATCCCTCTGAATGTGCGCAGGTCTAATTTTTGTAACGGGCCAGGGTTCTAGCTAATAATAAGTAACTAAGATTTTAAAGATACTTAAGTATATAAAAATATATTAGTTTATTATACCTAATAATATAGTATTTTTAAGTATTTTTAAGTATTATTAAGTATTATTAAAGAAGTGGGTTAAATACATCAATTAGACCTGCGCACATTCAAAGGGATGGTACGTACTAGTAGTAGTAGTAATAGCTTTTTTTTAACACTACTTACTGAGTAAGTAGTACTATTTTTTTTTTTTTTTTTGGTGGGCTTCGCTTCGCCCTCTGCGGTATTAATTGGACTTTTGCGGCGTTGGTGAGCATAAGTTGTTCTTGGCATGTTTCTGGGCAGAATTTGTGTCCTGGTGTTTCTGTGTCGAGGAGGTTTTGATGCACCGGCGCTGACTCGCCTGTACATACATTTATGTGCCCTTGTTCATCAGGGTACACATGTACGTGCATCTGCTTTTGATGTTCACGTATTCTACTCGCTTGTTGCCGCCACGACGAGCTGCCGAATACACCGGATGAAACAGACGGCCACCAGGGATTGCTGTGCGCATCTCAACCATCTCAACGTACCATTGCTGGTCACGTTGGCATGCATTCCAACTCGGATGAGTGAGCTGCATTCACAAGGCTTGCTCTCCATTTGGGGGACGGTCATGTACGACTGGAAAGCGTGCCCAACTTGCATAATATTAAGTGTGCTGCATCAGATTGTCGGAGCAATGCCTCACGAACAATGACTATGCCATTGATCACTTTGCGAATGTTCTTGTTATACGTACCGCCATGTCATGCCCAAGGCTTCAACCTTTTTTTCGCTTACATGTCCAGTGTCATGTGTCATTAAAATATCCGGCAGGGCAGGATTGGACACGATCAAACATCTCGACAAGAGAGTCGACTCTGTAGGGTTGCTCTCTTCGCGGTGCTTTCAGCTGGATGGATCAGCGGTCGATTGGTCCCTTTTCTTGGCTTTTAGAGTACGGGAGAAAATAATATTGTCCGCATCGCCAACTATGTGCGTTACTTTGTAAAGGTAGGTTTGTTATTGGATGGTTCCTCCTGGCATATATCCAAGCTGTTGACCCATGTGAGCCATGAACACTCTCAATAAAAGGGCGCCATTTGACAACCAATGGATAAAGAGACGTCTCATCCTATTACCACATGCAGGGGGGATTCAGACGAAGTAGCAACTCGGTCCGAATCAATCACCATGTCCCTTGGTAAACCCATCACCGCGCATTGGCCTACCCTGGAGCTTGCTGCATCTCCCTGGCATTCACCGTTTATCAACCCGCCAAGAGGACATGCTACAAGGCCGTTTATGGGCTTGAAACGGATTTAGTGACGCCGGTGTCGTTCATAAGTCAGTTAAGCCAAATATCGCAGATTTTGAAACCTGTCGCTCGATTTCAAACGACGATCAAACTCTATCTCGATGGTCTGCATAATACTGACCAGACAGAGGCATCCGTTGGTTGTGCCCAACCAGAGAACCTCTAGGTTTGAGCCAATGAGCAACGAAAAAAACGACAAAATAGAATACTGTGATATATATATATACATATACATATGTGTGTGTATACATATACATATGTGTGTGTATATATATACACATACTCCGTACACCTTAGTAGGTGCCTAAATAAAGAAGACGCGCACGGCGCACACAATGTCCCCGCGCTGTCACGGTTCACGATTCTGCCATACGTTGGCAGATGCAGCGCCAGAGTGGGGATCCGCGATTGCTGCTCAAAGTCGGGTTTGCTTGCCGGTGAGGAGACGCCCCTGGCAAACAATCACGATTGGTAACGTGAGTTTACGAAACATGGCAAGAATATTCACTGTGACTAGTCATCCAGCCAAGAAGCACGGTAGGTTGTACTGGAGGAGAGGAGGTGCTCCAAGCCAATCATGAGGATTCTGTCGTGAGCTGCAGTACGGGGTGTTGGATGCCCTTTGTCGCCCGACTTCGGAGTAACTGGGTTCTTTGCAGTATAAAGTGTCACAGCGTGGGAGTGGCATCTGAGTTGCAGTCGGCCATTCCGTTTGGCGGTCATGGGCAGCCAATTTATGATGGGGTTGTTCGGGTTGAACTGATTGGGGTGCATGAGTCCCAAAAGGCCGGGAACCGTGAGAATGGGCAAGATATGTTGCCGAGGTCACTACGTGGTGTTTCCGGCCGTCATGGTCCTTTGCACGAGGCTTTGGAGTGAGACAAGGCATGCATGGGAAAGGAGAAGGTCCTTTTCCCCCTTTCTTCTTCTTCTTGTCGTTGTTGCTGTTGCCTTGTCGAAGAACCGTTCGAGTTGGCGGGTATTGTGTGCAATGTCTTGCTGCTGACGGACAGGGACAAGTTTATTTCTTGCCGTTGCTTCGAAGCTGGCTACTCCATATATCGAATGTACCGATTAGGTATGCATGTAAGCTCGAACATGGCTGGGCATCAATTGCAAGCGGCTCTTGGTTGGGAGCAGGCCGTGGCAAACGGCAACTCGTGGTTGGGAATCGAAGTGGGTGTACGGGAGAGAGATGTCTTGACAAAAGCCAGATGGATGGATGGTGAGAGATGAGCGAGGTATAGTCTGATGCAGGATAGACCATGGCATGGCACCACGGCGACGGCTGGGCTGGCGGCTGTCGATGCTCGATGTCGTTGCATGTCAAGTGCATGTGGTTGCTGGATTTCCGGCCAATGCTTAGTAAATATTGGAAATGCCAGAGCCTTGGGGAGGCGTGGCCAACGTGCGCGTGGGGACTCTAGGAGCATTGGGAGCACTGGAGCACAGCAATGCAGCCTGTGGCCCCGGCCAGTCACGTCGTGAGCATTCACTGCGCAGCGCTCAAGCCCCACCCTGCCTCCCAAGTTCTGGGCTGCGAGCGCCCTGAGCCAGGACCAGACTCCAGTGGCTCTACAGGCCCAGCCAGCACTCTCCCGCGCGCTCTTTTTTTTTTTTTTTTTTTTTTTTTTTTTTTTTTTTTTAAATCCAAACCAGAGGCAGCCCGATGCATGCTGCCAAAATCTGGCCAGGCGCTCCGCTCCACCGTGCAGACGACTTGACTGGTTGTCCCTCCATCCACGCC